GCATGATCTTCTTAAAGATGTCAACGTACGATGCTTTCTGATTGGTGCATCTAATATGCTCTTTAAGCAACGCCGACATCTTATAGATGTTCTTGTGGAGGTAAGGTTGCTCAGAAGAAAAAAATGGCTCAATTTTAAAAACAAAAATCAGTCTTTATTGATTAGATTAGTGTTTGTTTGTTCTTGCCTCACTGATTCAAAAATTGGTCTTTGAATAGGCTTGATTTTGATTTCCAACCTCTGTTAAGGTGGAGGAGGGCAAGGTGATTGTATTTGATCCTGAGCTTCGTAAACAGCTGAGCTTGTCCACTGCTGACTTGAGATTTGCTGATTTTCTGATCAAGAGTGTTTCTGAGAAGAGTGAGGATATCTACTTAGATAACACAGGTCAGGTGTTGTAGCATTTTTGTAAGTCACCCATTTAAGTTAGGGTACATCATTTGTCACTTGTGCATTTTTTGTTTGAAGCAACAAAAGTGCTTAAAATCTCAAGATGGGTGCTGAACAACTAACCTGATGAGTTTTAGCTCTGTGAGTGCCTGTGTATTCCGAGAAAACAAAATTCTAGTTTCTCAGTTTCAAATCAAAAGTTGCTGAGTCATGTTTTGAATTGCGCCCAAAATCAGCGTCTGGGACCATGGGCGTCGCGAGGGGGGGGGGGGCAAGGGGGGCACTTGCCCCCCCCCCCCTGGAAAAGCAAAAAAAAAAAAAAAAAAAAAAAAAAAAAAAGAAGAAAAAAAAAAAAAAAAAGAAATTTAATGAGTGGGGGGGGGGGGGGGGACAAAATGTCCCTGCCCCCCTCTAAAACTGATAAATCGAGAATGTGTTGAGAAATACAAGCATTTTTTGGCAAAAATTTTTTTGCCCCCCTCTAGAAAAAATCCTGGCGACGCCCATGTCTGGGACACGTTATCCTTTAGCCGATTGCAGCTACGTGATGTCACACATTGAACTCACGAATAATATCAAGCACACGCGTGTGTGCATCATGTCAACGCTTGCGTGCACCCATTCACGGATTCACCGAATTACAACGGAATTTCTAAAAATGCTTTACTTGACACATCTTCAAAATGGCCTCCTTTTATTGTTTTTTTTCTCAAAAGGACAGCATGCCAGAAGGAATAATTTCACAGGGTCGTTATCTTTAAACAGTCATCTTTTCAACTATAATTTTGTCAGTACTTTTTTGGATAGCTGCAAATGATCTACTCTACCTTTAACCACCCATAATAGCCTGTATAATATTTCTAAGTGCATTGATAACATTGGCATATTCTTAATTTTGCACTTCCTATGAAAACTACTTCAAAGAACTTTTGGAAAAGCATTGTTTAGAAATGTAACACAAAATGAATTTATGGAGAATTTTTTCTTCATTATTAGTTTTTACAATATTTGTTGTCGTGATTTAGGTTGGGAAGGTGGCGAAGAGTGGATACGAGCTCAGTTCAAAGTCTACGTCCTGTCACTGCTTGCAACTGCTCTACATCAACGTAAGTTGGACTTATACATGTACATGTATAACTATCATTTCATTCACTCTGCATTCACATCTCTCAGCAGAGTCTTGGTTAAGTTGAAGTAGCAGTTAAATCACTTTTAAAAGATATATGTAGATGCTTTCCTCCAAATACAGTTCATGTATTACATGTTGTATAAAGAATGACTGGCTTTCTTTGCAGGTCATGAAAAGGATATGAGTGATTTCAATGACCATTTTGTCAATGCTTGGAAGACAACACATAACTATCGAATCTGGATGAGTGAGGAGCATCCTGGGATTGATTTCGTTCTTGCTGGGTATACAACATCATTACTTATTATGGGGTTTTTTTGTTCTTTTATTAATTATATATGTCCCTTTTTCTGGTTTAGTTTCTCTGTTGCTTCTCAACAAATCTTTCTTGTACCTCAAATAAACTATACACATTTATCTCATCAATACTTCAGTTGTCTCCCACTTTGTAGCTGATTGAATTTGGTAAATTGTTCAATAATTGTATTTTAAAGATAAATTAAATTTTTCTGCCTTATTTTGCAGTCACCCGTGTCAGGGTCAGCTCAGCATGCAGGACATGAAAATAAGATTACAAAGGTAATGACTAAGAATTTGATCATTATTGTCAGCGATATTTTAAGCATTATGTGCCTGTTTGTTTCAAAATGTTCTTTCAAATCATTCTGTCTACTAGCCTCATTCAACACCCCTCAGTAGCCCTCACTAGCCACTCCCCTCTCATCAGAACCATACCCCTTCACCCTTGGCTATGGCTAAAATGATATTTCACTGAGTATTGACTTGAAGTACATGTACTTCCAAGTGTCTTATTTTGTCAACACAGTGTGTCTTAAGCACTTGTTAACAAGTAGCAATACTTGAGCGATTCAAAGGTTTTGTGACCTGTACATTTGCCATTTGTCAACAGTGCTATGCAAACCACTGATAGAGGCAAGAAACTAAACAGCGCCCTCAATCGAACTAGTGTGGCCATGGTACACACCGGTAAGGCAGTAGGGGGTGCTCTGAGTAGCGCAAAGTCAGCTGTGTCTGCTTGGATATCCGGTCTGGCATCTGAGTGGAAAGACGATACAAATGAGCACGGGAATACTAAGTAATCAGATATAAGAGGAGTGGTACCAGACCATGATAACTGAAATATTTCCATTCATTTGTGGGATTTTAATTTCTGTTTTTGAATCTATATTCAATATTTATGTTCCTTTCTAAACATTTACCTTCAGGGGAAAATTCTCAAAAGTGTCTTAAAGACATTTTCCTAATATTCAGCTTTGGAGTAATGTTGTTCTATTTTCATTATAATGTAAAAAATACCTTTATCATGGGTCAGCCAGCAAAATGCAGACTGGGTTTACCTGATGTGAATTGTGTGCACTGGATGAAAGTGAAAAGCCATTTTTTTTTCTTTTTCATTGTTTTCTTTTATTTCAATAGAAATGGTGGTATTCATGAAATGTGCAATTAAATGTATTTCTGCTTATGTTAAGGTCAGTGTCACAAATATATATAATCATTGCACATTATTTGTAAATATCGACAAATATGATGGTGTCTAATTTGGAATAATCCTAAAGTGTATTTTTGTGCAAATAAAAAAAGAACACTAACACTATTTAGAAAACTTTTTATGGAACGTCAACAATATTTCCTTTTTGTGGGAGTTCTAAAGTTGTCTTGACTGTAATTAATTCTAAAATACTTTGCCTGATAAAAAAATAGGACAGGTACAATTACCTCAGCTTTCCTGTCTCCTGAGGCCCTGCCCCCAAAAAACATTTAAGTAATTGGATTAAGTATTATAATTACATTTTTGTTCACGTACATATAAATGTAGACTATCATTAATCATCCACAAATAATTTGACATTTGTGCACTTGCATTTAAATTGCACTGTTAAACAGGATTTTTTCAAACACCATATTTACAGGTGAACATCAAAATGTTCCTTGTAATTAACCGGGTTGTTGAGAATCATTTTGAATGACTTCATCTGTATCTGCTTATACATGAGTTGTCATATATCCATGGCATTAAAAAGAATCACGGCATTTAGTTGGCTTTGAAACAAAATTATGAAAGTTACATGTAAACTTCACATTATGCTGGTAAATATTGCATTGTAACCAAGTAATATGCATTTATGTAATGCTGCTTGATTAAACAGCTAGTTATCTGGACATCTTGTATTCTTCGCTTATTTGAAAAATAGATAAACATATACCTTCGAATAAAACACTAAGAACGTTTTTAATTTGAAGTCATTTTGTGTGATGTTTTAAATTGTAAAATGAACTCATTAAAGGGTCCATGAGATGGGTTCTTTTTAGGAACACAATTTGTGCATCTTTCTGCTCTTACATGTATGAAAACTAACATTCCTTTTTGGTATTTTTTTATTGAAAAATGCATTGTTTAAACCATGGAGACATGTAAAAATGAACCTGCTTTTCCAGACTACTCAGTGAGGGCACTGTTGCTGTGAGGTCATTTCAGGAAGACACTTCACTCTGGTGGGTCCACTGTACTAATTCAAGCCCCATCGAAAACAGTGTAAAATCAACAAAGTTCAGGGCCAAATAATATGCAAGCCAACATCACTCGGGTTTCTCAAACAAAAATTAAATTATTGTCTTGTTTTTCATCTTTTCATTTCTTTTCAATTCTAGGTACATTAGCCAGTTACATTTTTAAATATTCACACACAAACAAAATCACCTCCCAAAAAGTGATATGTGTAGTTCCCAAGCCTGCATGTTGTATTGCAAGTGGCATCCTTCCACTTCACAGGCAAATAGGACCCATTTTTCATCCGTAATTTTATCAAGCCTTCCCTCAGATGGAAGCCCCAAAACCAGGGAGTTGCATTGATCCTTGGGTATATTTACACAATTCCAACGTTTTAAAGCGGTCTCCCTTTTAAAAAGAAATTGTGGGGGCACTTTTTATGCTTATGATGACTCGCGTAGAAATTCTCACTTGAATTAGTTCAGTGCTCCTAGCTATAGTCTGTTCAAACTGTGAACCCAAAAATGTATTCATTGAAAACGTTTGTGAGAAAAGTTTGCTCACTGGCTTACTAATACAACAAAAAAATAAAGAAGAGAAATTATTGTCCAACAGCTTGAACAACTTAAAAGAAATGGTTTGATTTTAGTTGCCCCTTTTTTTTAGTGCTGTGTCGAACCTGAAACATCATTGCTGAAACCTAGAACTCGGACAAAAGTGGACGTGAATGATATGAGCAACTTGAGTCGATCGTTACATACATGTACACTGCTTTTTTACTTCCATTTTATAATTAATAACAAATTTCCCGCACATTCATTGATAAAATTAGAGTGACTTTGATTGGTCAATGGTTTCGTTTATTCAGTTTTTTAATTGGTGGATGTAGGTCACTGCCCACTGCGCAGCCGCAGACACCTGTCACGTACTCGATCGCCGCGACCACGTGTTTGATCATGCATTTACATCGTGCAGAATGTTTTGGGGATCAGAAACTTCTTATTCGCCGACGCGACGTGGGCACTGTATTGACAGGTTGCACAAAATTTCCTCAAATAAAATGGCTTTCACCTTGAGAAACGTACTTATCTTGGACAACGTGGCAAGCTGTTGTGCTCAAATACTCCAGGACAACGGTATCCAAGCAGATTCGGTAGCTAAATTAAGCAAAGAAGAGTTGTTGGCACGAATTCCGGTAAGTTTTTATTCCTCATGACTCGACTGGCTTGGCGGGAGACAGTGTTGAGGCATACCGTTCATTTGCGGTCCAACACGGTAGGCTAGTATTATTATAATGTCGGCACGTGTCGCCTAACAAAGAACCAAAATACTTGGGCGGCTCTGATGCTCTGATATGATGGTCATACCATGGAGCTATAAAAACATCACGATATAGGCTATCCCGATCTTGTCATGCCTGTGTTGTGTATATCGGTTTTTTTTAACGAGAGTACAAAGTTATTGGAGGTCTAGGCTAACTGAAAATGAAAAAAAAAATTGTGAGGATGTTTTTGCTCAGGCCCCCTATTCTGCTATTCATGTATTTGCTTTAAAATTGATCTTATTTAAATGTCCTCGGACATTATTCCCGTTGCTTTGAAAAATGTCCCTATTTACCCTTGGCCTTGCGACGGATCGATCACGTGGATCAACCAGAGAGTAGGCCTATCTTCATTCATCATTATGCAACGCGTGTTGGAAAGATTTTGGGGAAATTCCATTGACATGCGTTTGTGGTGCATGATCCTATCCAGGGTCCATTTCTAACGGTATCTTGGCAACTTACCAGACGAGAGGTCAAAGTTTATTTGGTGCACTTTTATAAATTGTCTCCTCCCTGACATTTTTTTAAGTGATTTGATACCTCCATAGAGCTAGAGGAAGGCTGCTCCATGCTGTCACCAAGCTACAGCTGTACATACCTGTAGCCATAGGCCTTACTCAAACTTTCATTACTATTAGTATTAGGAGATATTTGCAAAGTATTGCTAGATTTATTATCTGCTAGCCCCATAAAGGTGGCCTATTTACTGGACTGCCTCCGTAAACATAGGCCACACATCCACATGTACAAAAATTGTGTCGACTTTGCCAAATTTTGATTTTCACATTTAGGCTTAGTTTGTAGGATTTTTTTGCTTTAGAAGCATACTCACCCTCTTTATAGGCTAATTAGAAAGTGCTGCCTTTTTCAGATGTCTAATTTTTGTGAAATTTTATGTTGAAATTTTGATACGCAAACGTGTAAAAATGAATCTGGAAATTTCACGAAAATATATATCTGAAAAAGGCAGCACTTTCTGATTAGCCTATAAAGAGGGTGAGTATGCTTCTAAAGCGAAAAATCCTACAAACTAAGCCTAAATGTGAAAATCAAAATTTGGCAAAGTCGACACGATTTTTGTACATGTGGATGTGTGGCCTATGTTTACGGAGGCAGTCCAGTAAATAGGCCACATTTATGGGCTAATTATCTGCTAGATAGATTTAGTATCTGATCAGCCCCTGCAACGTGCTGCAACCAGCTTTGGAACAAGAATTATTTAATGAGTAAAGAATTCCCAGGGGGATGGATTTGCAGGGGGCTTTTGTTTACACAAAGATAATTGGGCAGTAACAAATTAAACAGTGCACCATGGTGGGACTGCTAAGCATTGATATGATTGAGCAATATTTATCCAACAGGTGCATTAAATTTCTTGGTGGGGGGGATGTGGAGTTGGGATTTAGATGGACTGTGGGGAGGGTCTCTGCCATGCATTTTAAAAACTAGTTATTGGAAAATATCTTATTATAAACTAAACAAATATTGAATGTTTCTCTCTTTTTTTCATTGCCTAGAATTACGATGGCGTCATCGTCCGTTCAGCCACAAAGATTACCGCAGATGTCATTGATGTTGCCAAAAACTTAAAGATTATTGGCAGAGCAGGGACAGGCGTTGACAACATTGATGTCAGTGCAGCATCACGTCATGGCATCATTGTCATGAAGTAAGAACTTGTGCAATTTCAATTATCTGCAGTTTGTATGGCATAATTGAATTATAATTATATTGTATTGCGTAATTGTAATGGGAATTTTAGAGAGGAAAATTAAATATCAGTAATTGAAATTATTCTAAAATAACATTTATGAGACTGATTATGGAAGCATATCATTTATTTTTCCATTTTTTTAAAATTATGTTTGGCAGCACGCCAGCTGGAAATACTCTGAGTGCAGCTGAACATACATGTGCCATGATGTGTGCTATGTCAAGGTGAGTGGGTTTTGTCATATGCCTTATCTGTGTTGTGGACTTGCATTATTTCAAGATATAGACTTGGATTTTATGCTTATATATTTATTTATTTGTGTAATTCCAGAAAATAATAATAATAATACATGTATTATTTATTTCAGATATCTTCCACAAGGTCACATGTCACTGAAGGAGGGCCGTTGGGATCGGAAGTTGTTCATGGGGAATGAACTTAACGGAAAGACCTTAGCCATCGTTGGTCTAGGCAAGATCGGAAAAGAAGTAGCGACAAGAATGCAGTCGTTTGGCATGACAGTACGTTCTCTAGAACCTATGCTAGTTGCATATAGTACTAATTCTGAAACAAAAGTAGAAGCCATTTTTTTAGTTGGAGTTACACTCAGGTACGACGTACACTTCTTACACTAATAAGGTTAACAAAATGTGCACGTGCCTCGTCTTTAAGAACACATGCGGCATGCGCACGGACTTGGTTCCACCTCAAAAAAATGGCTCCCAATTTTGTTCGCCAAATAAGTCCACAGTGAAATGACTAAACAGTTACGATCACTGAATAAGAACTGACTACACTTGTGATGTTCTTGATTTTAGACCATCGGGTATGATCCTATCATTCCTGCATCCGAAGCTGCTGAGTTCAATACTGAGTGGATGGAATTAGAACAGCTTTGGTCTAAGGCTGATTACATCACAGTGCACACCCCTCTGATCCCGCAAACAAGAGGTATTCCAAACTTCCCTTTCATATTTATACAACTACTGCTGTAACCACCAGGTTCTAACTGCCTTTGAAGGCAATTGGCCTTTCTGAGATGTGGTGGACACAATAGGAGGGCGCTGTTTGCAGTGGATACTTTTGGGTAAATACAAACCAAATAGTGATTTCCAAATGTGTCCACCATATCTCAACAAGGCTAATACAGGGCTGTCAAACTTTGAGAAAGAGCTGAGAGTGAGAATTTGGCAATGGAGCTAGATCAAGACTAATGCGTAGCGCGAAGCCCTACATTTTTGGATTATGGACGTGCTGTGGTGCGATCTGAAGCAATTTCTGACTGCTTTAACCAATTTCTTGAGCAAAATTAGATCAATTAAACATCATTTTCGAGTTTCATTTATTTTTTTTTTTTTAGCGTGAGAAATCCCATGTGGGGGTTAGAGCATGGGAATAACCTAAAATTCGTGAGTCTCACGCTCAGTGCATGAGAGTTGGCAAGCCTGCTAATAAGACCTCAAGGTGATTTCTGTTTGATTCTGATGATTGGAACAGGAAACAGTAGAATTTCAAATTTGATAGAGTCAGTTGGAGTGTGGAGCCAGCCAAGTTTTGGTTCAGAAATGTGACATGCAGGAGTATGTGTAAATGAGAAGACACATACCAACACCACTACTTCTGCCTTCATTATTGTTTGTTCACTTTCATTCCAGTCAGTCTTACTTCACGTTTCTTCTTTTGGGATAATTTATCACATCCCAATTGTCTTTAGGTCTTCTTGGCGAGAAGACTTTTCCACTGTGTAAGCCCGGTGTACGTGTCATCAATGTTGCTAGGGGAGGAATCATTGATGAAGCAGCATTACTCAAAGCATTGGAGTCTGGTCAGTGTGGAGGGGCAGCACTTGATGTGTTTGAACAGGTGAGTAGAATTGCGAGTTTAATTGGCAATTAATGCAACAGTTCAGTGTGTCGTAGCTCTAGGTTTTTTTTTAGTGCTTCTATTTTCTATATCTGAGATATATTAAATTGTAATTAAGATTTGAAACTTTGCATGGCGGTTGTGTAAACTAGTGAGAGTTTGAGGTAACACCAAGTGGCAGAATCTCTTTTGAGAAGATGTGTGGTTCTGAGCATCTTTAATTGTCCATTCTAAAACATTCATAAGATAAAATTTGCGTCGCTGAGTGTTTTTACGTCAGTGAAATTCAAAACCTAAAATTAAATTCTAAAACATAATATTTGCGGTTTTACAACTGTGGTGAACATTTATCTGTCTCTGAAGGAACCACCCACTAACAGCGCCCTCATACAGCATCCTAAGGTTGTGTGTACACCTCATCTGGGGGCGAGCACAGAGGAGGCTCAATTACGTGTTGCCATGGAGATAGCTGAGCAGATGGTGGATGCGGTGAATGGAAAATCTCTTTTTGGTGCTGTAAGTGTATACACCTGTTATTTCAATCTTAGGAACTTGACCATACTCGAGCAATCACCCAGCCAACTGGTTAAGACATCTACTCCTTTAAGCTGGTTTGAGTCATGTCCAAATACACTTAAAGGTATTATTCCCTCAGCGTTTTTGGAAAACACTTCAGACAGTGCTCATATTCATAATATTCCAGGTTAAACCTTTTATGAAATTTTGATTTCTTGGAGCCCTTTTTTCCATTAGTTCTTACAATTAAATATATCCACAACGCTAACATTTTGAATATACAGCTATGTTATATGTTTGCTGACCGACAACAATTAGGCCGAAATTAACATTCTCCACACTTGTCCACAATGTTGCTCAAATTGGTCACTTCTTTTTATCAACTGATTATCTTATTCATTAGATCAATGCTCATGCCTTGAGCAATGCCCTCAAGCCAGAGACAAAACCACTAGTCTCACTGGGAGAATGCCTAGGGGCTGTGGCTACGGCTTTATGTGGACAAGTCACTAACCAAACCCAAGTCCAAGTCATCACGTATGGTGAGTAGGGAGGCTTAGATGCTTGTGATTTGCTTTGATTGACATGATCGCTGTGAAATGATTAGTCACATTGTGATTTCACATTAAAGTCGAGCATAAATGACACATGCGTATGTCATGCATGCATTGGTTAACATGATTTGTTTGTCTTTAGGGTCATCAAAAATGTGCAACCGTGCAAGATGGTAAAATGAAGTCAATTTGAAAGAATATGATTAGGTTATAATGCCATTTATTAGAGAAACGTGCTGGTTGTTTAAAGAAAACCAAGTCCTTTTGGTTTCTTGTTTGCTTGATACAGGTGACAGTTTAAAGCAGGCGGGGTCATATTTGGGAGCAGCAGTAACAGTAGGTTTGCTGAGAAACAGCACATCAAACGGGATGAACCTGGTGAATGCTGGAGTCTTAGCCAAGGAAATAGGCATCCAGGTAAGCCAGAGTGACCATTAGAATAATTGGTTGTATGAACAAAATCAAAATATCTTCAGAATAACGACAGAGAATTCACTGGTTAATGGAATTTTTCGTTGAAATCAGACTCTTTTAGTATTAATTTATAGCCTGGCAAGGAGAGTTAATCAAACAAGTAATTATTGCAATTGTGAGATTTTTAAAGTCCTCTGTACAAACGCATTTTTTAAGGCTGTAGTACGACAATTTCTTTTTGTTTAATCTGCTTGAGTTAAAAACAGAACAGAAAAGATGTTACAATTAACCTGCCAATATGTTTTTCTTTCTTTCTGCTTGCTGTTTTAGATTGCTACGAATCATCAGGATTGTTCACCTGTACCCCTTACCAGTCCATGTGTCTCTGTTGTCATCACAGTGAATGGTGCGAGCCATAAGATTAGTGGTTCTGTTATGAATGGATCACCTGTACTACTTGAGATTGATGATGCTGTGTTTGTCAGTGGTGTTATGCTACAAGGCAACATGTTAGTGTACAACACACAGGCAGGTGCTGCAGCATTCCCAGCTATTGCAAGTAAGCCAACCCCTTTTGTGCATGGATAGCTGTAGACACTATTTACCCAGCAAATTTGTAGGCCAATCCAGGCATTGATATTTCAATTAACAAGGCCTTAATAATAGTGCAAGCATTGCACTAGAATTGCATATTACTGTTCAGTATCGCTGCCATATACAGGTGAAATAGGTGTATTGTGAGAGAAAATGCTACATTCTGGCATGGATCAAGTCCCACCCTCTCCTCCCCTGCTCTGACCACACAAAAATGATAGTAATACTAATTACCTATATGTAACGCCTATCAGCAACAATTGGACATAAAAAAAAAAATCGATGGGCCTGACGAAAAATTCCTGGATCCACCCCTGACATTGGTCTTTTTAAACTTTCAACAACTGATGATGACCAGCAAAGTGGCATCTGTTGGCGCAGAGTGAACACATCTCATCAGCAGAGGGCTGTGTGTACGATTAATAGAAACTGGTTGTGCAAACTGTGTGTCATCCGTTACCAAAGAGCATTTGCAATTCAAGTTTATTCAGACCATACCAATCAATTAATGTACTTTGATTACAGGTGTTTTGTCAGCTAGCAACCAGATCTTATCATATGGAACCACACCTCCATCTAATAATGGCTCATGGAGTGCCATTCAACTAGCATCTCCGTTACCTAGTGTGGACAGCCTTAAACAACATGCTTCATTTGCTGCTCAGTTGAGTCTTAGTTAGGCCAATCAGTAAGCCAGATATTTGACCTTTGACATGAGCAGTCCAGCTAATGTGCCTCAGGGTCGTTGGTCAAACATACCGACACTCGTTGAATGATGGGTAAATGGATAGGCTTTAATACCCCCCACATCTTTGCAGCACGGATACAAATTGTTATAAAGTGGTAAATTCTGGAAGGTTTTTGGAACTTTTATCTTATACCTTGCTATTTTCTTTGCAGTAAAGTTGAATTTGCTGAAATGCAGTCACTTAACTGTTGCTAGGCCACTGTTTCCCATTTTCTGTTTCTCCATGCAAAGAAGTGTGCTGCATTTGATTGTTGTTTGCATTTTTAATCAAATTTGTTGATGGCATTTCATGTGTCATGTCTGTGAACAATCTGCTACAATCTGTTGAATTGTCCTGTAGTGAGACAACACACTAATGTAGTGGGAAAAACTAAAATAAGTGAAAGTCAATTAATGCCCTGAACAAGTTGATATTGTTTTAAATGATTGATGATCAAATCATCACTGGATCAATACTTTATATTTATTACAAGATGTTTAGAACTGATTGAAGGTAACTTTGCCTCTAGTGCTAATAATAATTTGATTTCTAGAGGAATAAAAAGTATTCAAATGTATGTATAATCTGAAATTGTATTTAGTTAATTGGAAACCTGTGACAAAGTTCCTTATGAGACTCCAAAAAGCCAGGTCTGGACAGGCAATTAATAGTATAACAACTGCATGTTTTATTAATGCCAAACCTTACTCTTAAGTTTTACAGATTATCAAATTTCGCGAGATTCTAAACAAAAGTATTAAAACACTACATGCAAGTAAAACTCAAGAAACTTTGATTATTTTTGTTTTGAAATGAAACATAAAAAGTATATAAAAAAGTAAGTTAATGCTGACTGTTTATCTTGCTATAAAACCAGGATATTAAAATGTCAGTAATTTGGGGGACTACAATCAATCATGGAATTAATTTGTGCTGTTCTTCTCTGTTTTCTGCTTCGATTGTTGAAAATAAATGATAAAATGAAACCGACGTTCCACTTGTTCCTCGTCTGCCGTTTATCCTAGGTCTTCATATTTAGATTCTTTCTTGCAGAGACCACGGTAAATTTTGCCCCGCCCTGGAATAAATATACAATTTTTGAAACTCATCAGGAAAATTTGTGTCATGTCAAGACTTAAAATATAATTGTTTCCCATGGGCGTCGCAAGGTGGAGGGGGCACCCCCCCCCCCCCCCCCCCCCCCCCCCCCCCCCCCCCCCAAAAGAAAAGAAAAGAGGCGTGTAGTACTATTGCTATTAGGGTAAAAAAGTCAGAAAACACTGTGAAGAGTGCAGGGATTTCGAGGGAAAACCTGCTTTGCCCCCTAGAAAAAAATCATGCGACGCCCATGTTGTTTCCCATTTATCTCGTATTCCATTACCTTAATGTTGCCAGGCAACTCTGTCCAGAAGTTCACATTGGGTATGACTTCCTTTCCGCCTGCTCCACGAACAAACTTCATGAAACATATACCTCCGATGAAATAAACAAGAAGAAACACCGAAAAGCTGAAAAAAAGAGAGAAAAGAGAGGGGTGTGGCCTATCGCTTATATGGGGTAGGGAGTAAATGATAACGTTCTCCACACCGTACCTACCCAAAAACATCCCACACGTACACCCACACACAAAGTTGAAAAAGTGGAGTCGTACATGTGTGGCATTTCTGTATTTCAAGGGATTTTTATCATAATAAACTCACATGATACACAGTATAGAACCAAAGCTCAATCCTGACGATGAGGGCGGCGTAGGAGCTTCGCAACCACCTGGACATGCGCACTCGGACGTCAAAGTAAAGTACTGCCAAAGTGCCAAAAAAGGTAAGTCAATATCAAATTGATTTCAATCGTTTAAAATCATTACAAATGTGAATGATCCACACTTGCTTGATTGAATGGTAACATTTATGAGATGTATTAATCATAATAAGCTTTCAATTTGTTTTGCTGAAATAACTGTAAAACTGAAAAGTGGTTTACACAATACCGACGACAATTATGGCGCGTTACCAATGTGATTGCTTTTCGAGTTAGTTGTTTTTTTGGCGTGTATGACGTGGCTTGTCCTCTTGCATGACGCGCCTTTACAGTGAAGAAGTAGTCTTACTAATGGAGATCAATATGGGTCTAACTGACTTACATAGTTCGGCTTAGCTGGATCTGTTTGGCCAAGTACATTCAGTGTAGGCTGGCTGGCCGACGTGCTGCAAACTAAGTTCACAATTGTAGTCCTGCGAACGAGTGAAAACGAACCTGGTTTTTATTTCATTTTCCATAACTTACCCAGCTTTGGGGCTGACTGTAAGCCAGTCACGTATACGAGTTATTTGCTGCGTGTAGGCTTACATCCAGTTTTGTTTTTGACAATACGAGTACTATATATATGCGCATTATTCAAATTGGTAACGGCGCTACAGTAAACCGTTTGAGATGATGCGCTTGTCCAGTTGAAGTGGAATGTTAAATCTTGATACAAAGCGGGTCTACATATATTTACCTTTGAGTTTTACCGTCTGTGTACGTGATTGTATATTGATTTCCATTACTATCCCAGACAGCTGACGAGGCCGAGCCCAGGCCAAATGATTCAGTACTGCCCTTCTGACAAGCCTAAAACAAAACATTAATTTCCCAGCTTCAGTAACCGCTCAATCATAAAATAATACAACTAAAAGTTACCTTTTTCGCAGTATTACAAGCTGTTATTTCGTGCCCATGAATATAGTCGAATTTGAAACTGAATCAACAAATAGGATTTTAGAGCAGCCATGGCAATGTACATGATAGGCTACCGCTACATGTGTACTTACGATGACGTTTGTGCAGTATGAGTCAGAGAAATCGTAGCATGGATTGAAGGCATACTCCCAATTGCCTAAAGGGTCCGATTGAAACTTAAACCTGTAAAGAAATCATAAGTGTAATTGTTAAAGCGATGACGGTTCTTATTAATTCGACAATATGTTATAATGTGCCGCACGCGCCTGGCTTAGCTCACTTTCCGAATGATAATTTTCATCAACTATTTTGATTTCATTTTTTTTTTTTGCGCGCTGAGCACACTCTATTATTTTTGTTGTATTGATTTATTGTTGGTCATTTGCTTCTGAAAATTGAAAACCTTATTAAGAACATCCCAACAAAATATTAGACAAGATTTTGATTCATGACAACTTTTTTTTCTTGAGTTATCATCTCCACAACAAGCCGTGTTTTCCCCCGAAAACAGACAGAAAATTCCGTGTTGACAAAAGGCCCTTAACGGTGGTGACCACTATAGTGTAGCGCACCCTGAATGAACATGCATGTGTGCAGACATACCTTCAACAAAACAGCGGGAAAATATTTGGTCGTATTAAATTCATTGGTGGAGGCTGCTTCTGAAAATTAAAAACCTTGTTCAAAATATCACGACCAAATATTTGACAAAGTTTTAATTCAATACAACAGGTATTTCTTGAGTTATGATCTCCACAACGAGTATACTGGGGTTTTTGCCATAGTTGACATTAATGAGCTGACCACACTCTATTATTTTGGTTGTATTAAATTTATTGTTGAACAGTTGCTTCTGAAAATTAAACGGCTTGTTTTGACATCCCAACCAAATATTACACAAGATTTTAATTTACGACAACTGTTATCTCTTTAGTAATCATCTCCCACAATAAGCATGTTTCTCCCCCCCCTTTCAAAAAAAAAACCACTCCGAAAAGTCCTTAACGGTGGTGAGCACTATTAATATAGTGCGCTCTCTGCGAAAGAAAATGGCAGTTGGCAAAAGTGTGCAGACATACCCTTCAACAAAACAGCGGGAAAATGTTTGGTTGTATTAAATTTATTGGTGGACAATTGCTTCTGAAAATTAAAAACCCTGTTTAAAATATCACTACTAAATATTGGACAAAGTTTTCATTCAAAACAACAGGTTTTTTTTTTAAATTATGATCTCCACAACGAGTATGTGGGGTTTTTTTCAGTTTTTTTTTCGCGCTCACCATATTCTTTTGTTTGGGTTGTATTAAATTTGTTCACATTTGCTGCTGAAATTGAACGGCTTGTTTAAAACATCAATACCAAATAATAGACACAATTTTTATTCAGGGCAACTGGCATTTTTTTGAGTTATCATCTCCACAGCGAGTATGTTATTCCATGACAGAATATACCGTGTTGCTTTATACGGTGGGGACCACCACTAATGTAGCGCGCCCTCTGTGAATGGAAATGCTCGTAGGCAAAGTGTGTGGACATGCCTTAAACTAAACAGCGGGCAATATTTGGTTGTATCAAATTTCTTGTTCAACATTACTTTTGAAAATTAACATCCTTGTTTGAAACATAATGACCAAATATTAAACGACATTTTAATTCAGGACAACAGGTATTTCTTGAGCATCATCTCCACAGCCAATACGTTGTTTTTAATAACGGTTGACTTTAATTGAGATTCCATTTTTCGCGCTGCTCACACGTTTTGGTTGTATTAAAGTCATTGTTCGGCATTTGCATTTAAAAAGTAATGTTCTTGTTTCAAATATCACGACCAAATACACAAAAGTTTAATTCAGAACAATTACAGGTATTAGTGAGTTATGATCTCCACAACAAGTTTGTGTTTTCTTTTCCATTCAATTGACTTTAATTTTTCGCACACTCTATTGTTTTGGTTTGTTAAAAAATAAATCTTACCTTGGCGCCTGGTTTCCTTGATAACCGATAGGGCGGATGTCGATCTTTTTACCATCGTCCAACTTACACGAACAATCATCAACTTTACTGCATTTGGGAAGATCACATCGCGCTGTTGTTAACAGTAAGCACACTACTAATCCGTAGATAACACTGGCCACCATAATGTCCGTTGATAATGGCGCCACCTTGGATGAATATTCCTAGCTTTGTTGACTGTAAATGTAAGTTGTCCGTCAGTTGTAGGGTGTTTTCAAGTAAAAGGAAATCCAAAACAGTTCAGATACTCTTCAATTCTCGGTGGAAGAACCCGTGCAGAATTATGTCCGGGAACTATAGCCCATCTATGGAGGGTCCTACGATCTTAACCCAATGACCATGCACAAACCAGAGTAAAGTCCAGTCTAAATCCATGAATTGTATTTGCTCATACTTGAGTCTCATACTCTGTTGAAATCACCACGCAATTATCACTGTGGTTATATAACAAGTGCCCTTACCAAGAGTTAAACAAACGAAAGAACTGTATCAAATGTACATACATGCAATAAATTAACTTAAAGCATATTCAATTAATAACATAAAGCAGAAAATATCAACAAAAAATAGGTGTTACTTTGTAAATTATTGTCGTGTATACCTTTTGTTATAATTTGAAATATATAACAGCATATACATCCAAGCTAACAGGCGCAGATCCAAGAGGGAGTTGGGGAACCCCCCCCCCCCCGACACACAAAACAAATATAAGTTATCACCTACCCCCCCCCCCCCCCGCAAATATTCCTGGATCCTCCTCTGGTTATAAGTCCTGAACTCAAACATCAAAACATAATTTTATAATATAACTTCGCAGGACAATGCGAATTTTAAACTGTTTAATAATAAATCATTTCAATCGGGTATTTTTAATTTGCTCCGTTTATTAATTAATTATGCCACTCTGTAAACGAATATTAAAAATTCACTCTGAACACCAGTCTTGGCAGTAGACGTTTCTTACTCATGACATGGATTTATACGATGCTCGCTTGCCGCAGCTAATAACGAACATGACGCCATCCTGCAAAACGAATAGAAACAATGAACATTTTTATAATAGGCCTATAACTTCGCAGGACAATGCGAAATTAGCGAGTGACATGGCTTTTTGTAATTTTGATTCCACATTTGACCGCAAATGTATAAAGGCCTATCCCACATCACATTTGGCGTTATGCAGTTTTTGCCCTCCCCCCCCCCCCCCCCCCCCCCCCCCGTGAATGGGAATATAATAAGATTACCTTGATATATCCTGGTAACTCTTTCCAAAAACCAGAGTTCGGTACGAGCTCCATTCCTCCTGCGCCTCGTACAAACTTCATGAAGAGTACGCCTCCAATAAAGTATACCACAACCAGCACAGAAAAGCTGTCGAAAGAATGAATCTATTTATTCTTGAAATTGAATGTTGATTTTTGGACCAGCACGACCAATACTTATGCTAAACCGAGGCTGTAATCATGCATTCATTCAGAGCTTGGATAGAATGGAGCGACTTACATGATACACATGACACCTCCAGCACTCAATCCTCCACTTTGCGGGGCTGTTTGTCCACATCTACCTGGACACGCACACTCGGTTGTCATCCGAAAATACTATGAAAAATAATTCACACGAGCTCCAAATTATCATTGAATTAAAAAGTAAAAAAAAAATTACATAGAAAGTGTTTCTCATGAAATTAGTTTGGAAATCATTAAACGAAATAAATTTTGTGAGCTCACGTATAATTTTGACGACCCAGATTCTCCGATAACATCCAGCCTGGGTTCCTGTGCAGATGCGTCGCATTCAAGTTCCACTACTGTTGACCTGTCATAGGGGAGAAATCATGAAAGCTTACTGAAGTTTGATCGATCATGATGTTGAGATGTTGGTCTCATCATCTGCTAATTACCAGACCTTATACTCCTTCATTTTCTTATCTACGCGTAGGCCTATCCCTCTATCCCAGAGCCCAACCATATGACTATACTCTGTTAACTCATTCATATTTGCATAATTAATTGAGCACCTGCCGCCTGCACCGTCTCTGTAATGAATGCTGTAATAACCTCCATCTTGACTCCACTCGGCACTTCCAGCCGTTCCCAGTGGAAAGCTAGTAGTACCGGCGTCATTGTGTTGACACGCCTGGTGAAAAATAGAACTCATACAGCATTTATACATCAACCCCGGTCCTTTGGATGGGGGCGCCCTTAGTGTGCATTGTTAATTCTAGTTTTGTGTAAATTAATGTCAATCATTCAAGTTGACTGATGCACATTTTCGTATACAGTTGTCAGGAGTTTGCATATTCTTTGGGCGCTAACAATTTTGATTGATGAAGTATATCATAAGCATTTTTGGCTAAATGCCATTAGAACAAATTGGACATGTATCATTTTTTTGATAAAATACTCACTATGCATTCCGTCCCGCAGTAGTTGTCCTTGAAGTTGTAACATGGGTTGTAGGTGTAATAATAATTTCCACTTTTTTGGTAATTAAATCTATAAAAATCATATAATATTATGCAGTGAATAGAACAACAAAAATACAAAAGAAATATGCAACAAAAAATGCAAGAAAATCGGAATATTCGAAATTTAAAAATGCAAGAAAATATTGTACTTTCTCGAAATGCTTATGCAACCAAACTTGTTTCTAGTGCACCTAACAAAACAATTGATCCACGATTATTCGGAATGGCGGCTTTCAGAATTTTGGAGCTTTAATTAAGCAGTACGTCGATCTTTTTAGCTTGAAGAGTTTTCTATGAATGCGCACCAATTCAATGCGAATGGTGAAATATAAAATAATTGATGGCGTTTCGTATTTACGAAAATCCGTCGAATTATGTACTTATGTACGAAAAATGGAATTGATTAATGTGATTATCAATGAAGTGACTAGACTTACTTTGGAAATCCTGGCACACCCAGGCGAGATATATTAACCTCTCGGCCATCATTCAGGGCGCAAGCACACTCACTGAGTTGCCTACACGTTGGTAAATCGGCATTGCAGTCACGCAGTATAATGACTAACAGGAAAATAGTGAATTCAGCTGAGAGCAGAACAAACATCGCCATTCTGCTGCATCACATGAAAGTAATTAGGCTGATAATTTAATTCAGTGTTAATGTAATAATTGCACAGATACTCTCAACAATTTTGATCATTATTTTGAGCATGCATGCATTATTGCAGTACAGGGCAGTATCAAGGCTGCAGTGTTTGCACTTCTGCAATTGGAACAACGAACTTCAGCTCGGGATCAAAATCCAGCCAGCACTATTTGATGCTGTGTTTGTATATTCTAATCTGTAATATTTTATTGAGGTCTCTTGCTTTGACAAAATCACATGACAAAACGTTGTTACTCACGCTATAGGCCTTTATATGTATTTTTTTTTTTTTTTACACATGACTGACACACTTCATAGTAGCAAAGGTCACGCCTTGATAAATAATTACTTCAAAGAGAAGGTATTGTGTCGTTCAATCAATTTATTTGACAGGATAACGTTTTTGAAATGTTGTTAATTCCATTAAGAGGAGGTTCTTTCCAACGTAAAGCATGGGCAATATAAGGGCATTTTGAAGTAGCTATAATCAAAAACACAGAAAAATAATATAATTGTTATTTTCTTGTTGATATAACGGCAAAGATGGATTTGAAGATAATTGATATTATTTTAAAGAATAAACATGTACAACTCATTGTAAACCATAGTAAACTTAAAATTGAATCAGTTCTGCAGAGGTGGATGTCATTTTCTCCATTTCAAAGAACTACGCTAATAATTGAATTTCTTGCTTTGGACTTTCTGCCGATATATGTTCCTGCCTTTTCCTCTCTTCATGAACTTCTGCTAGATTTTGTCATACTTTGTCCTCTTGCCACAAGAGAAAACCAACATAAAACCATCCTGTACAATAAACAAAAATACAACAATATAATTAATACCAATCGTAAAGTGTTTTTAAATGTGAGGTAACGGCCTACTTATTGTTAAAAAAAAGGGGGGGGGAAAGGATTTTTTTTTAAACGAATTTGGGTGTTTTTTTTCGTGTGGGCGATAAACTACCCTTCCCGACAATAATTTACAAGATCCTTAATAATTCCCCGAACTTCATCCGTTACCAAGACAACCTTACCTTGACATTACCAGGTAAGCCTGCCCATAGAGATACGTTAGGAATTAATTCCCGTCCAACAGCTCCGCGCACAAACTTCATAAAGAGAACTCCACATATGAAGTAGATAAGAAGTAGTGCTGAAAAACTGCAATAAACAAACATACTACCTTACATAACGTAATAGGCTTACATGCGTCAATAGCCGGCAGAGGTTTGGAGGGAGACGGGGAGGCTGGGGCGGGGCTTGCTACCTCCTCTTATGGATGCCGTTTAGGAATGAAATGACGGGAAAATAAACGGTTTTAAAAGGTGACAAAAGTCAAAATTTGGGCATGAAAATGTTCTCCTTTCGCGCTTGAAATCGAAAACGTTAGCGCTGCACCGTGGCTTCAAATTACGTGTTTTTTTTTTACTTCTATGGAAATCATGGTAAAGTAAACAAATATAAAACATTATTATATCAACATTAAAAAACGAGCTATTTAATCAAGACTAGATCGGACAAAAGACGCTCATCACCTGATACAAATGATCGATCCCACACTGATGGGTAATCCACCGCCTGGCTGTTTAGTTGGTGTTGGACCCTGACATTTCCCTGGACACGCGCAGTTTGTCGTCAGAATAAAATACTGGTCCAAACAAATGTAGAAAAGTCACTTTCATTATACATGTAGGGCAGGACACACGTATTAAGGTCCTTATTGACATTCATGTTAGATACTTATGTAGATTCATTTGTTTTTTTAGAGAAACACTAGAAGAGACCGACTTATTTCACATAACTTTCCAAATGGCCCTGGATTCAGAGCATGCTCACCATTCTGCCTGCCTCTCCAGGTTCCTCTCCTAGAACTTGAAGACTAGGTGCCGTGGCAGATTCATCACACTGTAATTCAATTAACGCTGACCTGAACAAAAAAATTATCAAAAATAAATTAGCATGCATAAAACAGCCATAAGAGTCTTCGTTACCCTGGGGAGGAGGTATCAGAGCCTCAGAGGCAATAAAAATATTGATGACAGACCACAGTAACGACCACAGTCGTTAATGTTCTCGACTTCCACTGCTGTGGCATGGGTTCGATTCCTGCCTGGTCCACACAGTGGCGTAGCCAGGAATTTTTCAGGGGGGGGGGGCGCTGGGGGGCTGGAACATTTCATGGGGGGGGGCGTCATGTAGATCAATAATATTTTTTTTAGAAACTCAAAATCTCAGTGGGGGGGGGGGGGCGACTGGGGAAGGGGCCCCCCCCCCCCCCCCCCCCACGTGGCTACGCCACTGGGTCCACATGTGGATTAGGTTCAGTCCCTTTACCGCGGATTCACCCAGAATATTCTTCTAATTACAATCCTCTTCTCATGGTCTTCTCTCAACGGGATCTTTCGGGATTTCGAGCTACACTGAGTGCCTAAGGCACTTTTGACGAGTCCTTGGTTTCATTACCAGAGAGAAAGAATGGAACTTGCACCCCTTTCGGCTGAACCGTATAGTATAGAATATAATTTACATTCTTGCGGCGTTTTGCGTGTACAATGTATAATGTAAATGTACCACCTTGTGTTATAGCATATATACTCACCTGCTGGTTACCGTATCTTCATATGAGATAGTGTAGGATTCACCTGTTTGTGATCCCCATTTAGCTGTTGCCGCTATACCAAGACCTAAAGAGGAGGTACGGTCCTTTGTAGTTTGACATGCCTGAAAATGTCAACCATCAGATATGTCTTTCAGAAATTGTTTGCTTTGATTTCTTTGTGTATTTGCGGTTTTTTTTAATTTTTATTTTTTTTATGAACAACTCCAGGTGTTGGCGGTCAAATCTTGCCTTGTATGGCTTGTGACTTAATTTGTACCTATACTGAGAGCTCAAAAGGCGATTACAAGTAAACATAATTTCAAGGACTGTTATTACAATTGATGTTCAGGCTTGTTTTAGTTCCCCGATATTGTCAGTGATGATCATTACTTACAATGACGTTCTTGCAGTTGTCATCACTGAAGTCATAACATGGGTTATAGGTGCATTCGTAATCCTTATCATCGGGCTGTTCTTGATATGCAAATCTACAAACATCAAAGAAAGTGCCGATATCCTTTCATAGTGCAGAATTGTAAATACAAGTATGTGTATGACAAAAAAAATATTGACCTTTGGTGCTTGACTGAAATCTTACCAGCCTGGCTCACAAACGTTTCCGGAAAAATTAAAGCCGTACACGTAGAATTTTGTTAGGAATAGTCCATCGCCAACAACCGTCTCAGTGACAGAGAGACAGGTTGACAACGGGTTATAGATCAAGAGCAAGAACAAAAGTATAGGAGCCAGTGTCATACCTTGGTTTTCCTTTGGTTCCCAGCGATCGTATGTTGATTTGCTTACCGTCATATAGTGCGCATGAACATTCATCTATCTGCGTACACTCTGGTAAAGCATGGTACAGTTTCAAAACCAGCAACCAAACAAACAGACTGACGGACAAACTGAACATGTTGATTCTAATATCTGAAGTAATGTACTTGAGAACTCATCTTAAATAAGTAAAGCTTCATTTTCCCATGGACGTTTTGTGCGTTATGATTTTGTTTAAATTATCGTGATTTATATGTATAGCAAAAGGACGGGGTTAAATTCCAATTTTGTATCAGATTCCATTTACATGTACAAGTGGTTTGACAATGTTCAGCTCAGATCTAGAGGTCGCTCTTCCAAACACTCGTAACCAACTTTAGTCCATTACAAAATTACCTGGGTTTGAAACTCCGACTTTGCCTCCGACTTCTGAATCACTGAGAGGCAAACTAAACGAAAATATTCAAATTTTTGTCTTCATATCAACCGATTGAATGTTCCTGAAGCATAATAACGGATACCAAAATGTACCAAAATGTAGCTGGAGTTCCAGAAGTTGGGGACTAAAATCTTTTTAAGCCGAAGACGAAGCCAAAGCCGGTCGTTTCGAAAACGCTATAAAACTCTTTTCCTGATTTACAGAAATCCACCGATACAATAAGGACAAAGTAATGACATCATGGGCTCCAGATAGGTTGCCTTGTAGGATGATGTTAACATCTTTTTTATTTCCAATACTTGTTCACAATTTGGCTCAATTAACATTTAAGCCGACTAAATGTAAAATGATAATAATATACTTCACGCAATCTACTGATGGTATTTCTTTAATAATATTATAATTTAGTCAATACAACCTTTTATAGTTTTAGTACATAATTTAGACAAGACTATCAAAATGTTGTAAACAATGTTATTTATCCACTGACAAGGTCCGAATATGTACAATGTGTACAATGTACACCAAAACGTATTATGGAAAGTCTGTTATACAAATATCAGTGGACAATCGTCATTTTAACAACTCAAATAAAACAGCATTGTTTTATGTAGATTAGACTTGTGGTTTCAAGAATTCAGCGACCTCCATATATGTACGGCAGACCCATTGTGCAATTGATTTGTTTTTTCATACACACTCGTAATAACTGTCCGTACAAACTTTGATGACATATTTAAACAAGACACACATGAACAAATGCTAAAAGCAAGCTACCAAAAAAGTATCACATATATTACCTTGTTCACATTATAAGCTAATACAAAAGTATAAGTTTTAAACACCAGGAAAATACATTGAATCTTTGTGAAAAATACATATCTAAAGAAGAACAAATAGGACCCTTTGAAAAGCAGCATAGCTGTTAGTCACTATAACCTATATCAGTTACCCTTAGGTTTCTGTTAATCGTTATTAAGATATACAAGACATTACACTTTTGAAGTTAGAAACAAACAAAACAACTTATATTAGAAACAACTCAACCTTGTTTATAATTTTAATGAACTCTTAGGCAAGACAAACACACACATTAAAGGAAATATCTGAATGGAAAATATTTCATAAAAAGAAAACTAAAACTTGAAAAGGAAATACCACAAGAAAAAAATGATCTTCAGAATTTAAGCAAAGGAGTGGAATGAAAAAAGACAAAAAAGTATAGCACACTCATAAGCACATATAGTCAGCCTATTGCAGGCTTTCAAGCACACCCTGGTGAAAAGTACGAAAACAGTGGGATACAAATTTTCTAATAAAAAATATGACAAAATCAGGATAAAAGTAGGACTTTCTGCAGGCTTTAGGCGCACAAATGTAGTTTTCGTTGAAACTCGCTCATGTCCACAGCATCATTTGGCATGTTCTGTACTCACAAAACTTGTGCTCAATCCTCAGCTAAGCTCTTGGAAGTACAGTTACAGTACTCCTATGCCCAAGGTCTTCCCTGTGTGATTTGACAGTGTGTAACACTGAGATTTCATATTTCAGATAAAGTAGGGAAAAATAGGAATTAAGAGAAAAAAATAGGAAAAGCAGGAGCAAGGTAAACAAAAGAAGGAAAAAGTAGGAAAAGTACAAATACTTGAAAGCGCGACCATTTCTTGAAAACTTATCTAAGCTTGCAACTTGTACTAATTGGTTCTATATGAAGTTAATCTCCAAACTCTTTGATCTCCAATTAGAAAAGAACAAGGCTTTCTGACCCTGTGATGTATGTACATTTGTACACACTGTTGTTTAATTCACAACATTTCTATTACTAAGGCACACTCTCCTACTTTATCACAATGAGCCTAATTTACTTTAAATAATGAGTGCATCTCAAACTTAAATGTAATGGCACAAACTTTATGTGCACATTAACATATGGAACATCTCTTCAGACCTTCCGTATATTTCTTGCTACAAAGGCAATGTATTTTAGAATTGAAGCTATAAATATGCCCTTACACTCAATGATTCAGAAAAGGATATATGTTCCCAAAATTGTTTTTCTCAAGATATTGCTTCAGAAATTGGCCAGAAAGGTTTAATGTGTTCATATGTTCACCCTGTATTACTTTTTCCCCATTTGAGTACATGTCCATTTGACTTTATAATATTGTAAAAACAAATTCCATCTTATGCGGTACCCGCTGCTATGTACATCTGATTCGAACCAGCCAACCGATCCCGTTAGCTCGGTGGTTGAGTGGTAAGACATCTGCACTAGAAAGCAGGAGGTCGTGGGTCCGAGTGATTTTTTCCAACTTTCATTCGGGAGGTAACACACTGAGTAGACAGTGTTTATATGTCAGTGAGGGGCAAAACCTAATTTGAATTGTAACATGCTAACATGTTTTTCTTAATGAGCATGTTGTCTCACACTCTGAATGTGAAATTATGTGATAGTCTTTGGCTGCAGTTGGGTAGATGGTGAATTATGGCAGCAGAATTAAGCCAAGCTAATTGAATGCAATAAGTATTACTAACGGAAATCTACACGTATGTAGGTGTCTGCTTCGCTATTATCTGGATACTGATATTGCTGTACTCTCCATGCTGTTAGACATTGAGAGAAGTTCCAAAAGTGACTTACTGCTCAAATCTGTTCATAGTTGGAATCACTTTTGCATCCACCAGCCAAAAATAACACACCATCCTGAAGGCAAAACATAAATCAGTGTTAACAAACCTAATAATTAGATAAAGTCACGCAGTGTTCACTTTTTACATGATACAAAGTATTTCTTTAGATTGATGAAAATCTTTGGTACCTGTATACAAATTAGTTTTTGCTTTATAAATTAAAAAAACTTGCCTTGATAAGATGAGGTAGATCTTTCCAAAATTCATAATTTGGAATAAGCTCTTTGCCCTCGGCTCCTCGCACAAACTTCAAGAAAAGAACCCCAGCCACAAGATACAGTATGACCACCACGCTGAATCTGAAGAAAGCAACAAGTTATGAAGAATGTCTGCAATGCAACTTAACAGATGATTCTTAAACTCTGGTGATCAGATAAACATCTATAGGAAGTCAGTTATGTCAACAAATATAAGTGTATTTGTCACTGTATGCATGTTCTAGTGATTTTGCAGTGCAAGTGATTGAGCACCTGCAGTGCTTCATGTACTTACATGATACAAAGCACTGATCCAGGGCTTAGGCCACCTCCAAGACAACCATTCTTACAGGCACAGTTGGATCTCAGATTTAAGTGCTGTTGATTTCAAACATGAAATTGAATATTACAGTTTCAATGCACAGTAATTATGTACACGTCAGTAGGGGTGTTGGGACACAGAAAAAGGATCATGCACCAGCAAAGATGGCAGACATTATAAAATATGATACGATTTTTCAGCAAAATTGAAATAAAATTGAAAATGGCTGAAATCAATAAAGTTCACTCGGCTCTCTACCCAGATTATAAATGAACAACAGAAGTTAAGTTTGACCTTGAAAACTTCACAACTGAGATATATGTAAATCGTGTTAATGTCAAGTTAACTCATCATTCTTAATTTCTACCCCAAGTACGTAAAGATGTCTTGTATAAAATCCTCTCACTGTTTTTACTATACTGTACATACAACTACTTATTATCAATCCATGTGAAACTGAGATCACACAGACAGCAAGGTCTGATTGGTACATTGTAAGTCATTTCAGTGAACTTACATATGTATTTGGAGGCTGTTCTGGGGAAGCTGTTAAAACTGCAGTCGTTGCTGTTGCATCACACTGTAGTGTGACTATAGTGGTTCTGCAAATCACAAGTTGGAATGTGGTAATGTTTTCACCAGGGGGTGACGTTTGACACATAAAAAGAAACAAACTGCTCAGGCACAATAAACTAACATGCAGAATTTCAACTGCAAAACGCAGCTCTTCTGACATAAACATTAAAGGGAATGTTACAGCCTGGAATGCACCCAGTTGGGCTTCAAACCGCATTTTAAATGAAATCATACCAATTGGAAAGAACATTTAAAAGTAGGATATAGGCCCTGAACGTCCACAAAACCAGCCTTTAAAAAGTGGGCGTTTTTGTGTTATTCTTGTGAGAACCATGCTGCAATGAATTTCGGGATCACAACTTTTACTCCCCAAAATCAAAATTTCGAGTGTTAAGTTGTGAATCCTGCCACACAGTGGTTCACATTCTGCGGACGTGCAAAATCAACATGGGTGTGTTGGTGCTGTGTGTCTTTGTGACACACACACAACATGTACAGTACATGTACATTGAATAGAGATGGCTTGAAATATGTATGTTTCTGCTACAAAATGTCCGCCCATTCCGGTGTAAACAACCAGGGTTTTTCATCTTTTCTCGAAACAGTTAGACATTAGGTTAGTTTCATTTTAACTAGACCTATGAAATAGGATAAGTAAACAATTCAAAAAATGACATTATCAGGGAATTCAGGCCGTAATACCCCTTATACTTACTTTGTAACAACACCAACTACTGCCTGGTATGTTATTTGTGTTCCTGCATCATTAAATAATGCTGTTTTCTGATCACCGACGTCAAAAATTTCTTGTCCGTTTGTACTTTTTTGGCAAACCTGTTAAAGAAAAAAAACAATTCAATAAATGTGAAATTAAAACTAAAAGAAAAAAATACAAGAAATCCTAGTGATATGATGCATTTTCTGATGCCTACAAACAACAGTTGCAATATATAGACAAAGTATATTTTGTTCATATGCAAATTAAGTCACAAAGGGTTCCATTTATCGCCAGTAAGTACTTGAAATGCCCAAAGTTGAAGTTACATAAGCTGAGGTTTAAAGGCTACACAGCTACATGAAGGTAACAGGTAACAGACAATTTATTGTACAGGGCTGTAACTTACCGCAACACCATTGCAAGCTGGCAACCATGAGAAGTTACTACAGGGATTGTACCCATACTCGTAGCTACCTAATGTTACGCTGAAGCTGTAGAAAATTTACAAACTCAAAACTGTTATTACATCCAGAAGTTGTTTGATCATACATAGGGAATATATGGGAAGGCATATTGACATGTGCATTAAATAAATGCTCTATTCAGATATGCCGGTTGCATAATTGTCATGTGAAAATTTAAGGCATGTCCACTACAAACTAGAGACAAAAGGGGGGGGGGGGTACTTGTACAAAGCTAATATTTCATTGTGAATTTTGTGGCAGGATGGATTAATAAAATATGTGGCTTTTAACTTTTTATCTTAACACAGGCAAGCACCTGGGAAGTCACAAAAAAGAGGAAATTCAAATCTTTCCAAAGACTTTGTACAAAATACTGTCAGTATTTTTCTATATTTAATGGTACACATGGGAAGCAAAAAAAAAGGAAATCAGCTGATCCGAGGAAAAGTTGCATGCTTGTCACACACTCCACCAGCACCATACCCTGGCATCAGATGAGATGGGTCAAGCATGGAGCTATGGACTTACCGAAGTGTGACGTCATTTAGAACCAGAAAGTGCAGTGCAAACAAATGGAGTGCACGCGCGCGTGTTGGTTCATGGGCTGAATCATGCGCAAATGTCTTTTAGGCGAAGTAAAAAAAAAAACATGTTTAGCGTCCCCGCCTGCTTCCTTTTTAGAGGCCGCCTCCTTTTTTTTTTTCTTTTTTTTTTTTTTTTAAGACAAAAATTGATAATTTTAACGCAGAAGAGATGTTCGGTTCTGCATAGTTACATCATTTTGGTCTCATTTTCTGTTGCATCTTGCCCATAAGAAGCCAATATGTCATATCCTGAGTCCAAGTGGCGGCCATTTTGAAAAAAGCTGGTAACCATCTTGAAAAATAGCCCGGCCGCGTTGTCTTGAAAAATGTGTCGGGCGGCCATTTTGGAAAAAAAAGAAGAAAAAAAAGGGCCTCCTCCTTCCTTTTTGTCAAAGAGGCAGGACGCTAAACATGTTTTTTTTTATTTTGCCTTAGTTTTACACACATTTTGTGCGCGTGACGTATTCACTATGGTACTCCATGGGTCAAGTACCAACATGACCAACCCCTGGGCTGGGCTGCTCAATATTCGCATGTCATTCATGAATGTTTCAAACCAAATCGTCAGAATCGTGGTTACACAATCTCAAGATTTTTTATTCCGCAACACCACCACTTAACAATTTCTTGCAATAACATATGATCACAAGAGGGCACTGCTGCGCAAAGAATGATGGGTAAAATTATGGGGCAATGACTGCCTCCACCGTCATCGTGCACGCCATATGGCTTAACACAGCGTTGACAATGTGTGCGCATGCAATGACCGTATTCATGTGCATGGTCATTAACCCCTATTTTCACCCATAACTTGGCATCTACTCTAATCGCCAGACCATGTCCAAATGTTAAAAAGCGATCCGTCATTGTCCGTAGAGTCCAAGTTACTTGACAAGCTCCCTCACCCATCTCCCCCGCCAAAGTGCCATGTCTGCTCATACAATTACAAGTACAACTTTCCACACCCCACGCCATACCACACCCCCATGCCACACTCCATGCCACACCCCCACGCTGGATTGTCCTGCCGTACCTTGGGACATCAGGGTTTGTACTTGTGTTTAGAGTAGACAAGGATATCACGCCAGACCCATCGTCGAACTTGCACGTACAACTGTCTTGTTTCACACACGTAGCTGCCCCTGCACAATGCAATAAAACTTGCAAGAGCGCTATTACCAGGAAAACGAACTTAAATTCCATTATTCTAGCCAAGTTACAGCACCTACGTTTTGCAAATCTAGCGGAATTTTGCATATCATTCATAACCGACATAATCAACGATCATCACGTTGTGTGTGCTGTGAGTCACATGATTTGCAGGTAAACTTTCCCACTGTCACTTTTTTCCCCACTGGTGTCGTCCATTTTTTAGCGCAATATCTCATGTCGAACGCGCGGGTACCAGTGTATCTTAACTTCACGTTTGTATTAAAAACGATGACGGCAAAAATGATAGAAACGGCACTCCATACACAATAGTTAGACGATAGCCTGAAGAATAACTCAACGTTATTTTACTTCAAAAATTCAATCAAAGAGGCCTATGATCTGACGATGAAATAATTATTTAATCTTGACAAACGAGTGAATAAATATTGAAAGTATTTTACAAATTTGTTTTGAGCTGTGTAATTTTTTTGATGAAAAGGTATAATATTAATAACGCCACAGGGATACCGTTCCATAAGTACCAACGAACAGCGAGATTTTTTTTTAACGTTTTACGTACGTACATAAAGCGCGTAGGCCTACATGTATTTGTTGTACGTACGTGTACGTGCTATGTATTATTGCATGCGCTATCGAGCTAGCTATCGCCGTATGCCAGCGCCATAAAGCAGGTTGCAAGATGGCGGCCATTCATTCGAGAGAAGGCGAGTGTCCATTCCACTGATTGTATTCATGTTTTTACTCGTAACCTCAAATGTTATGCATCTGTTATTATTGATCATAATCACTTCCTGAATATTACATGTACTATTATGGATTTTATTTGGCGATTGGGTAGTTGCGGGTCGGGGCCCAAAAAATAATTAAGAAGAGTCTATCATTCATTGTCTACCATTCTCACTAGTACAAGTCTAGCCCCATAAATGTGGCCTATTTACTGGACTGCCTCCGTAAACATAGGCCACACATCCACATGTACAAAAACGTGTCGACTTTGCCAAATTTTGATTTTCACATTTAGGCTTACTTTGTAGGATGTTTTTGCTTTAGAAGCATTCCCACCCTCTATATAGGCTAATCAGAAAGTGCTGCCTTTTTCAGATGTCTAATTTTTGTGAAATTTCATGTTGAAATTTTGATACGCAAACGTGTGCAAATGTATCTGGAAATTTCACGAAAAGTGGACATCTGAAAAAGGCAGCACTTTCTGATTAGCCTATATAGAGGGTGAGAATGCTTCTTAAGCAAAAAAAACCTACAAAGTAAGCCTAAATGTGAAAATCAAAATTTGGCAAAGTCGACATGTTTTTGTACATGTGGATGTGTGGCCTATGTTTACGGAGGCAGTCCAGTAAATAGGCCACATTTATGGGGCTATCACTAGTCATGCTAGTCATGCATGTCATGCTAGTCAGTAGGATTCAGACTCTTTTTTTTAGGCCCCCTATTTTTTAGTAAAAAAGAAAAAAAATAGATAGAGGATATTTTGCCGGAGGTAATGACGGCAAACTAACGATTACTAAAGGTTTGCCGGCGGCAATCCATATCAACAGAGGGCGCTATACTCTTTAAAATAGGGCTGAATTATAAGATGTATTTAATTCCCACCAAACGTTGTGTAGCTGTTTGGGTGCTAGTTGTGATTTCATCCGTAAACTATTTGCCTTTTTCAGACGTAAGAAACCACATTTTGTGCATTGGTGATTGGTCACAGCTGTTCGCGAGCGCGGTGCTGTATAGACAAACAACGTGTATATCGTACATTGACTGAAAACGACAGGAAAAACGTATTTGTACCCTGTCATGTCTGACAACCGGTTTTTTTTTTTTTGCCAACCAGAATGTTTCGGATAGAGGGCGCCGGCGGGGTTTTACTTTTCATGGGAAAGTTTGTGGGGAGAGAAAAACACAACACAAAAGTAATGATTGGGATCTCCCTGATGCATTTTCATCCAGAAGAAACAAATGGACATTGAAATTAAAAAAAGACTGCAAAGGTCTCAGAAGTTATTTTGGAATGATAACATAATTTACGTGTGTACCCACAGATATTGAGCGGCAGATTCAAGAGATACAAAACCGCACTGCAACTCTTCGTCAAAACGATGAAGCACCTGCAACCAACGGGAAGGATGAAGCTGCAGGATTTGCTGAGACGGGGCACTTTGACCGAGAAATCTATGATAAAAGTGTCCGGAGCCGGTTTGAGGGCTATGACTATTCCATTGCAGCTAATGAAGCAGATGAGGTACTCATAACATTTATAGTAATCAGTGTATGATTTAATTGAGACATCTTGCCTTAACATTATTCAGTGTCCTTTCCATTCATGTTAGATTTTAGATGTTAATCATCAATTACAAAACCTCCTGTAAAGCTGTAGTAGTAACAACAGAATCGGAACATCTCAAAACCAAATAACTTTCATCAGTGGAGAAGTACAAGTCGAGCCACATTTAGGGAGACGTGGAGGTTTTCATGAATTCTTTAATTTTTATTTTCATGATTGTACCTAATACCGAAGCAGAGGCCTAAAGATACATTGTAGGCCATGATGATATTGTGTATGCATTGTAATCTGATATTGAATTCATTTAATGAGCGGCAGTTGTTTCACAATGTTTCACATGTTTCTGTTGATGTATTGATCAGTTTCGTCTTGATTTTTCTTTTAGGATGAAGATGATTACAGCAATCATTCCTTGATGAATAAGAGCAGCATCACGGCTCCAGCATCCTTGTTCAGTGAAGCACAGGAGGCAGCTAAGGTAGACTCAGTCATTAATTCTTGTTCGACTTGTCTTATTTTACCACACAAACTTGTTCTTTTTTTTGTAAAGAATCAATCACTCAATTCAGTTTGTGATAATTACTTAGCTAATGATTGTAAAATTACATGTATACTGCATTCATTTTGTCTATTGATATTGCAACATGTTTATTGATATTACAACACATTTGCCGGTTTCGTTCAAAAATTTAAAAGATTTGTTTGATTTGTGTAACTTCTGACGGCTTTCATTGTCCTGATTTTCCTTCTTTTACGCTCAGTCATGACCATGGCAAATTTATATATTCCTTACAGGCAGTTCATGCGCCTATTTGTAATCACAATGATTATTTTTTTTCCGTTATGAAAGGACTATGACCCATTTGCTGGTAACAATGCAGCTAGGATTGCTGAACGTGAAGATGAATATCGTGCTCGTAGACGAATGATGATCATCTCACCTGCTAGACACGATCCCTTCGCTGACGGTAAGGCACTGCTGTTTACTTGTCACTCTTCCTTTCAACTTCAACTCTCTGATACTTGCGTTGATGAAGTATTAGTAATCAGTTTGGAGTTGGCTTGCTTACATTTAGCAAAGGAGTGCATACACTTTGTATCTGTCCCAGCTTATTCAAACCTGGTACCACAGTCATTTGTTGAATAATGAAACTACCCATGGTAGCCACATCAACACAGATTTAGGATAGAAGGTTGAAATGAAACCACTTGTTTGATATAACACCTGTTGGTTCGGACACTACTAAATAAAGCTATAAATCAGGGCGGTTTCAATTTACTAGTGGCACCAGGTTTGATTGAAGTTGGATATGTGAAAAAAGCTTGTGGGCATCTTGAAAAGAAAAAGGAGATACGTTTACATTTATTGGCTGTTTTTGCACGTGTATGTCAGAGATTGGGAGAAAGTCAGAAACCATTTGTGTAATTGTGATGATCAGTAAGATTTTTACATAACAAGAGCATTTTGAGAATCTAAATCACCTTAAGTAGGTTAAGTATATGCCAATAGGATATGTAGCAACTAGAAATGCTGCTGTAAATAAGTGATTGCCTTATAAGTAATACGAGTTGTGTGACAAGTGTCAGATGTTTGTGTTGTCAAAACAATAAAAAAAAATCTCCGTACGTAAGTTGTCTGCTACCGGCCCTGCTTAATAATATGAATACTTGAAAAGATTGACTTTTAGGAAGTCATCGCTTGACGTGAATACCATGGTTATCATCAAGCAAACTACCAGTGGAGGCTGAACCGTACGTATGATGGGTATGAGCACAGGCAGTATATCTAGAACTCTCTACTTAATATGTCCACCCCATTTCCTGGCTTTGTTTTATTCATTATTATTGCTGTTGTATTTGTTGCTTTTTGTGTGGAATATTTCAACTTAGGTCACTTTGTCAACTTCCAGTTTGATTAGATACAATTGGTCAGCATTTGCAAAGTTGCTACTTTGTGAAATGTGTGGAGGCATTTTCCCTACGTAATAATTAACTCCATCAATCTGAATCTGTACATACAGATTGAAATATTTGTGTCAGAAAATTAATTTCTAAAACAATGGAATGAATTCATTGCGTTGTTAGTTAGTAAAAGTGAACCAAGTTGGAATGTTCTGCATGACTTTTATTATATTTGACTGTACCAATGTTAAACTTGTGAATTTCAACCTTTTAATGTAAAATTTGAAACCTAAAATGTTATCATGTATGGAGGATTTAAAACCTGATCTTAAGGTTGTCTTTTGACAAATTATGTAAACTTTGAGAGCGCTTAAACGAATTTAAACTTACATGGAGACTGTTTAACCTTTAAAGCAGTGATGTAGAGAAATTGACCACTGTTCATAATGTTTCTGTTTAGTTTTTACAGGTTTTGAGAGATTCACGGCACTTCAGTATTGGATGATGTCATGTTGGCTCCGTTGAATTCCGAATAATAGAGCCATGGAAAAAAAAAATTAAAATATCAGACTAAAAACAAACTACCATTCTGAAATGCTGATGTTTGTTTCAAGTGAATTTTTTTGTGAGCAATCATTCAGACAATACATTTATGTAGTGTAGTATCGTAGCAGCACAAGTTTCAAATTACATCAGTGTCTGTTCATACTACATTTCGGGACTGTGTGGACTAATAATAATTAGAAATCACTCGTACTGCAAAATGAGGGAGTCAAGTTAAGGTTTAAACAAGCAATCCAAACTCTGAGGCTATGCAGTAACACTTGTCTGTACTTTGCATTGCCTTAATTTATTTGATCCTGATAAATTGACCTACATTATCTAGTTACCATGAAAAATACTTACGTGCCATTCAAGAAATTCAAGTATTGTCTTAAATCTTGTAGTTAATTTTGGGATACGTCAAAAAAGAAAAAAGAAAAAAAAAAAGGAGGACCCATGGTACATTTTTGTTTAGTATTCTTCATCAATAAGATTTCTGCTAGGATTTAGGTTAGTTGTAATTGTCCTTGATGATATTAATTGAACAAATGGAACTCTTATTTTCATTCTCCAAATACAAAGTATGTGTATTAAAAAGATTACAATCACCTATCCTCAGCTTGTAACAAAATCATCAGCATTAAGGATGGTCCTACACTCTCCATGTATGACATCTCACTATACTCATGTTTTCTCTATTTCTTTCTTTCTTTGTGACTATTCTCATCTCACGATACAGGTGGCAAAACTCCTGACCCTGGAGAGAGGACTTACGTTGACATTCGAAGAGAACAATCCATGACAAAAGAACAGGTACATAAATTGATTGAGCTTGCTTATTAACCATTGCATGTACATATATTCTATTGATGTTTGTGACTCTAATTTTCTCCAGGGGAACTTTTGCTTTAACCCTAACAATCCCCATCCAGTTAAACACCAGGGTTTTTGGAATCTGTTAGCGTGTGTACAGCACTAGTAAACTGACCATGTTTTATATGAGGTTAGGCATACCACCAATAAACAGAGTCCAACAGTTTGGGTGTGGAGTTACAATATGGTGTTGGAATTTGCAGGAGTGAGGAAGATTCCTAGTAAATCACTCAAGGGGGTTATGGTTAATGTTAAAGTAACTGTATCGAAATAATCTCCTGTTTTTGTTTGCTAGGCTGGGCTTCGTCTTCAGATGCAGGACAAAGCTAAGAAGGGTGAGCTTGAGGTGCAGACGACTAAAACAGCATCCAAACCAGTCAAACGGCGTCGTTGGGATCAAGTAGGTGAAGAAACACCTGGCGCCACGCCCAAAAAGAAGACAAGTACCTGGGAACAGGCAGAGGTAATACACCAGTATTTAATAACTTGAGTGATTCTAAACCTCTGTTTTATGGAATGTTGATATTGAGAAATCATTTTCTTTGTTTCAAACATATCACTATGAAAACTGTATTCACATAACTTTGAGAATTTGTGAGAAATAAAGACAAAAAAAAAACATTTTACAAGATGCTCTGTTTGTAAGCATATACAGGCAACTCTTGTTAATACAAACTCTGTTCATAAACAATATTCTGGTCACAGTGAACTTAAGGCCTTGGTCCTGACTGCATTATGTGCACCGAATCTCCTCCTGATACAAAATTCTGATATAGCAAACACTTTGAATAAGTCCAGCTGAATTTGTATTAGCGAGAGTCGACTAATCAAAGACTCATGCAGCTCTCCTGCATCTATACTGCAAATCTTTTCTAAAGAGGTTTTAATGTGTTATTGTTAAAGTTCTTACATATGACTTCCCATACAGCAACAAGCCTCAACTCCATCCATCAGTCGCTGGGATGAAACACCAGGCAGAGCAAAAGGTAGTGAGACACCAGGAGCTACACCCAGCGCAAGCACACGGGTATGGGAGAACACACCTGCCCACCTGACACCTGGTCATGTGACACCAAGTCATGCTACCCCTGGACATGCTACACCGGGTCACGCTACACCAGGACATAGTGCAACACCAAGCGCTCGTAGGAATAGATGGGACGAGACACCTAGAACTGAGAGAGGTAAGATAAGGCTGCAACCTACAATTATCATTCTAAATAGTTGTGGTTTCCTGTGAAGGGACGATTGATATGTCAACAAGTATCTTGGAAGCTTATGATTTATGAAAACTCACAGTGACTGGTATTGAGGTAGACATGTCTGTGAAATTCTGAACTGGATGTAGTATTTATTAGTTTCTGGACAGCATATGTTTTCCCATTCAATAATGGCACTTTCATTGCTTTCCATTATTTGTTCAGAAACTCCTGGGCATGGAAGTGGATGGGCGGAGACTCCTCGCACTGATCGTGGGGGTGATGCTCCATCAGAGACTCCTACTCCAGGCAGTAAGCGTCGATCTCGTTGGGATGAGACTCCAGCTGGAAGTCAGACGCCCAGTGCCACGCCCATCGTGGGTAATACTGCCACACCCGTGGGTCAGAAGGCCATGGTGATGCAGACACCATCACAGTCAGGTAGGTTACAGAACCCTAAGCCATATTTACTGCCACGCCTTTCATTAAAACCTAGTACTGCTCCCAAGGGTACATTATTTACCTTATGCACCGCGTCTAATTTAACTCTGCTGTATAAACTTGTAGGGACGCTAATATTACAAGTTTGAGGACAGACAAGGTGAAATACCAATAATTCTTGAGTGAACTTCTCCGCTGGATCAATTTAATGGTCAAACATGAACTTGTGAATTACATCACATGTGCAGTTCTTGGATTTCTGATGATTATTTGTATGCTCTGTTACCTCTTTAAAGCACTGAGAATGATGACACCAGAACAACTTCAAGCTTGGAGATGGGAGAAGGAAATTGATGAGAGAAATCGAGCCTTGAGTGATGATGAGCTGGATGCTATGTTCCCTGAAGGATACAAGGTAATCCTAGAACCTTGGATAATAAGATCAAGATTTTTGGAAGCACTATGTGACAAATCTCTTTTCTGGGTTTGCGAGATTCTGAAAAGAACCTCGAGGAGGGTAACTTAACGTTTCGGAGACTATACTCTGCCCATCGTCAGGAAACTGAGGGATTGCAACGCTTCTAGTCGCATTACATAACACCCCTTCTCCGTTGGAATCTCTTCAGTCTCCTGACAATTGGCAGAGTATACTGCCCGAAACATTTCATTTTGCCCCAGTCCTTTTTAGAACCTCTCAAACTTACAAAAGAGATTTGTCACCTAGTGCTACCACAAATCTTTATCTTGTTGCTTTCTTCACCATACAAACCTTCACAATTCATTCTCTGAAAAAAATTCAGCACAAGTTACGTCGAAAGATCTCACACAAATCCGCTGTAAAAACTTCTAGACTTGATGATTTGAGTTATCATTATAGTCAATTTATTATATTCCATTAACAATGTGAATGTGATTCAGCGAGATATTACAGTTGGTATTCATTGATTCCATACTCGTATTCCAGCGGTTCCTGAAATATTTGTAAACATTTCATCAGATTTCTTCAGTGGAACACATGTAGTTTATTGTTTAGAATTGATTAAAAAACCTTATTCTCCAATGAGTGGACATTTTCTTGGCCAGAGGAACTTCGTCATTTCACTTTTGAATCTTTCAGGTCAGTGATATAAAATCTATCACAGCTAACTGCTAACAACTATCATAACATTGCCCATTGTTTGCCCTTTCAACTCTAGGTACTACAACCTCCAGCTGGCTATGTTCCGATCCGTACTCCAGCCCGTAAACTGACATCTACCCCTACCCCTATGGGTGGACTCAGCGGATTCCATATGCAGACAGATGATAAGACTGTAGATCCTGGCTTAGCTCAACCGCCTGGTAATCTGCCGTTCCTTAAACCTGATGATGCCCAGTACTTCGGCAAACTGTTGGTAGGTTTAGAAATTAGGCTTAAAAACAATTTCTGAGCAATAAAGATCAGTACTACCAGACTGTGCAAAGCTCTTCCATTTTTTTTCTCGTGAGCTTTAAGTGAATTTGGTAATGAAATTTTGAAAGTTTGTTTTGAATCAGCCACACAGTTTTGCTCATTTACTTTCTTGGTGAACAACTGGTAATTTATTAGGGCCCTAAGTGTTTCTAATGTTTGGTGAAAGACAGATGTTGGCTAAACTTTGGTGGACTGTTGGTCTCCTTGTTGTATTTGTCAAGAACTATTCTCTTTTCACTTTGCATACAGTAAGGTGTAGATTTAATACTTAATTAATGTTTCCCTTCCAGAATGACATAGATGAAAGTACATTGAGTGCAGAGGAACAGAAAGAACGTCGCATTATGAAGTTGCTGCTGAAGATCAAGAATGGGACACCACCGATGCGTAAAGCAGCCTTGCGTCAAATCACTGACAAGGCTAGGGAATTCAACGCTGGACCACTCTTCAATCAAATCCTTCCGTTGTTGATGTCACCAACTCTAGAGGATCAAGAGCGCCATCTATTGGTTAAGGTCATCGATCGCATTCTGTACAAGCTGGACGATCTGGTGCGACCATACGTACACAAGGTAAGATCATAATATATACATTAACATGGTCCCACAACAATTAAAACTTGAGGTATAGTGTCCGATATGCGAAGTATAAATTGAACAAAAAGTACATGTACATCTCTGCTTGGTTGTAAATTATACTTCGGCTGGTCAATTCTAGAACCTGTTTATTTCTTGTAGATCCTTGTTGTGATTGAACCTCTCCTGATTGACGAAGATTACTACGCTCGTGTAGAAGGCAGAGAGATCATCTCTAATCTGGCCAAAGCAGCTGGTCTAGCTACCATGATCTCCACCATGCGTCCTGATATTGACAACTTGGATGAGTATGTGCGTAATACTACAGCGCGTGCATTTGCAGTGGTGGCATCAGCTCTGGGTATCCCATCATTGCTGCCGTTCTTGAAGGCCGTGTGTAAGAGTAAGAAGTCTTGGCAGGCTAGACATACTGGCATCAAGATTGTACAGCAGATTGCTATCCTGATGGGATGTGCTATTCTACCACATCTCAGGAATCTGGTCGAGATTATTGAACATGGTAAGGAATTCTCATCATGCATACAAATGTAATTCCAATCTATGTTTTATAACACGTTTTATCTATACTATCATCTGTCATTCGTTATATCGGAATGATCTGTATAGCAGTGATCATTAAAGTGGCCTTTACTGTACTAAATTATGAATTTAAATAAAGTTGAGACCATCACAGGCTTGTTGAATTTGGGGACTGAGTTTAATTTGAAGTGTTGATTTGTGGATACAGGACTTGTGGATGAGCAGCAGAAGGTTCGTACCATCACAGCCTTAGCCTTAGCCGCTCTTGCTGAAGCAGCTACTCCTTATGGCATTGAGTCATTTGACAGTGTCTTGAAACCTCTCTGGAAGGGTATCAGGCAGCACAGAGGAAAGGTGAGTTCAGTGATTGGATAATGGTAAATAACCTTAACCCAGCTACAAGTAGATGGAGCACAGTGCAACAGGTGTAAAAGTCTGTGAGATCTTGTTGCATTAGGCCATCATCACCAATTCCGAGACAATGAGAGCTAGTCCCATTGACCAATGCCACTGTTGTATCCCGTGGCAGTTGGTGACCACAGACTCTGAGGAAGTTCAGCTTCAGACCTTTGACCTGTTGGATCTTGTTGCAGTGGCAGACTTCTCACTTTGACAAGTGTTCAATGTTGTTGCGTTTTTAGACAAAATACCATGGAAAGACAGATAATCAATGACTGAGTGCAGTAAGTTTCCTTGATCTATTTATGTATTTTTCAGGGTCTTGCTGCCTTCTTGAAAGCAATCGGATACCTGATTCCTTTGATGGATCCTGAGTATGCCAACTACTACACTAGGGAAGTCATGTTGATTCTTATCCGTGAATTCCAGTCTCCTGATGAAGAGATGAAGAAGATTGTGCTCAAGGTAAACCATTGATTTGTTTGGTTGGCTAACAAGAATCAGGATAACTTGCGCTATTTACAACAATGAGGTATTGAAAGTTCTACTCAATCTCTCTGTTAACTGGATGCGTTCTTGAATGTTGTGACTGCACAGGTAGTGAAGCAGTGTTGTGCTACTGATGGTGTGGAAGCTCAGTACATCCGAGATGAAGTCCTGCCATCATTCTTCAAACACTTCTGGCAACATCGAATGGCTCTTGATAGGCGCAATTACAGACAGGTAAGTTGGAGATCGCATACCTTAACAATTCCCTCTCTAAGGGGAGGTTAAGGGACATAGGAAGTGCTGGGTTGATGGAAAGATGTCAATGGATCACCAAGGTAAAACAGGTTCTGAAGAATTTATTGTTTGCATAAAGAGAAATATTCAAGTTTACTTTGACAATGAATTCTATTGGGATTTTTTGTACATTGATTAGTTGGTGGACACCACCGTTGAGTTGGCTAACAAGGTTGGCGCTGCTGAAATTATCGGTCGCATCGTTGATGATCTTAAGGATGAGGCAGAACAGTATCGAAAGATGGTCATGGAGACGATTGAGAAGATTATGGGCAACTTAGGAGCAGCAGACATCGACTCTAGGCTAGAAGAGCAACTTATTGATGGCATCCTGTACGCCTTCCAAGAACAGACTACAGAGGTGAGTTAGTTGGAGTTTAGCTTGAGCTAGGAACACTACCTCTAATGCCGGAGGAGCAAACACTAATTAATTCTTGGCCCAGAAGAACACTTTAAAGATGTAATTTTTAGTGCGACTTGGAATGTTAAAGGAACTGATTAAGTTTGATTTTCAGATTTGCACATGATTTTAAATAACGCATGAAGAAAAAGAAAAGAAATAAAAGAAAAAACAGCCACGTCATTTTTCAGCCAAAAGAAAAATGTGTTTAGCATTGTTTGATTGCCGCTCATGAGCCAATAAGAACATTTGTTATGCGCTACATGTTGTCGGTGTGCTAGACTCACACAGGGTGTGCTCCATCGTAGGTAAGCGTAGGTTTCACTGCGTAGACGCACTGCAGTCACATTGTACGGCAAATAAGAGCTTATAAAGCCAACTGCACTGGTGTGTAAGTCTCGGATCATTTAAGCATGTGCTTCTCCATCACAATCACCATGCTGACATGATACACGAATGTATGTATTGTACATGTACTTTCATTGTCGACATACTTGTTGTACATAACACATATGGTATTGCTAGGTGAATATGTATGGTGTATTTTGATCGTTGGACATTTTTCCGGCCCTGGAGCCAAAACCCACTATCATCCCTGGTTATTATTCAGATCTGACATACATTGATTTCTTTACTTTGACAGGACTCTGTGATGTTAAATGGTTTTGGTACCGTCGTCAATGCTCTGGGGAAGCGAGTCAAACCCTACTTGCCACAGATCTGTGGTACCATCCTGTGGCGTCTCAACAACAAAGCTGCCAAGGTGCGCCAACAGGCTGCTGATCTCATCTCCAGAATTGCTGTCGTCATGAGGACATGTCAAGAGGTAAAATGACAAATCAATCAATCATTGGATGGTCGGTCTGTGATATTCAGTGACACTATTACGTTGCTCTTTGTCTTTTGGGGTATCTGTCAATCATTACTGTGCAGTGTCGTAGGTCAGATAGCTAAGAAGACTGATATTAAACATTGTGGGCTTACTAAATTGAAGTTATAGTGTCAATTGTGCCTGTTACTAACACCTGTTATGTTTTTGTCTTGTAGGAGAAGTTGATGGGTCATCTTGGTGTTGTCTTATATGAGTACCTTGGTGAGGAATATCCCGAGGTACTTGGAAGCATCTTAGGAGCTCTCAAGTCCATTGTTAATGTCATTGGGATGCATAAGATGACTCCGCCTATCAAGGACTTACTGCCAAGATTGACGCCTATCCTCAAAAACAGGTAGGAACAGAGGCAACCATGTTTTTATTTGATTCTGTAAATCATTGAAGACCAACTTGATAAATGTTTGCACTCAGTAAAGGTAGAGTAGATCATTTGCAGCTTTCCAAAAAATAACTGATGAAATTATTGTTGAAAAGCTTACTTGGTATAGAGATAGTAATGGCACTCAACTTCCTGTGAAATTATTCTTTTTGGCATGCTGTTATTTAAAAGAAAACAATAAAAAAAAACAGGTCATTTCCAAAGATGTGTCAAGTGACGCATTTTTGGACATTGCTGATAGTAGTTGGTTTGTAATTCAAAGAATCTGTGAATGGGTGCGCGCAAGCATTTACATGACGTTCACGTGAGCACGGTTGCTATTATTTGTCGGTTTAGTGCGTGACATCGTGTAGCTGCAATTGGCTGAATGACAACGTGTCCCGGATGCTGATTTCCGGCACAATTCAAAACATGACTTGGCAACTTTTGAATTAAAACCGAGATGCTAGAATATTGTTTTCTCGGTATATACAGCATTCTCAGAGCTAAAAGTTCATCAGATTATTTGTTGAGCACCCTTCTTTAGATTTTGAGCACTTTGTTGCTCAAACGAAAAAAAATGCACAAATGACAAATGATCTACTAAACCTGTAAGCTGACTTAGTGAGCTTGCTTTGAGAGAAATGGATGTCTCAGTGGCATATGGTTAAAAAAAAAAAAAAAAAAAAAATCAAGCACAAATTTACATGTTACACTCTAAATTATTGATTTTCTTCCTTTTTTGCCTACAGACATGAGAAGGTACAGGAGAACTGCATTGATCTTGTGGGTCGTATAGCTGATCGTGGAGCAGAGTACGTCTCAGCCAGAGAATGGATGAGAATTTGCTTTGAGCTTCTAGAACTCCTCAAGGCTCACAAGAAAGCTATCAGAAGAGCTACTGTCAACACGTTTGGATACATTGCCAAGGCTATTGGGTAAGTACTGTATTACTAACCATAGCCTATACCCTAGACTACAATTGCTATTGGATTAGCCATAGCCGAGCTTAAGTTAAGTCAGTAAGTATGGCCTCTTATTTGTTTTCATATTCTTCAAGCATCACAAAGTCTTTTTTTTCTACAATTTCAGTCCCCATGATGTACTGGCAACCCTTCTGAACAATCTCAAGGTACAAGAGCGTCAGAATCGTGTCTGTACCACAGTAGCCATCGCTATTGTTGCCGAGACTTGCTCACCGTTTACTGTTCTCCCAGCCCTGATGAATGAGTATCGAGTACCTGAGCTGAACGTGCAGAATGGTGTACTCAAATCACTGTCGTTCTTGTTTGAGTATATCGGTGAGATGGGAAAGGATTACATCTATGCTGTGACACCATTACTGGAAGATGCATTGATGGATAGGTAGGTTTGTTTGTTAGTCAGGCTGTCTGTCTGTTATATGCTCTCATGGTTTTGTCTGTTTTGTCTGTCAATTTTATTTAAGTCTGTATACATAACTTTTGCTCAACGGACAAATTTGTTTTATTACAAAAATGTGTTGTAAAGGAACCAGTGATTCTGGCAAACAATCTCTAAGACCAGAATTTCAGCTTGCCTATATTTGTTATGTAATCAAACAGAAACGTCTTAAGGAGTTCGCAATTTGAAATCATTTTGTTGACCAATTCTTGTGCAAATATTCCCTTATGGTTGTTGCTCTTATGTTTGTTGCCACTGTTAGTCTGTAATTTTCTTCATGTGTTTGATATTTTTCATATTTGTTTTGAATTCTTGCAGAGACCTGGTTCATCGTCAGACTGCTTGTGCAGCCATCAAACACATGTCATTGGGTGTGTTCGGATTCGGATGCGAAGATGCTCTTGTTCATCTCCTTAACTTTGTCTGGCCTAACATCTTTGAGACGTCGCCTCATGTCATCCAAGCAGTCATGGATGCAATTGAAGGGATGAGAGTTGGTCTGGGTGCTAACAAGATGCTACAATATGCACTACAGGTACTACATAGTACTCACTTGATTAATGCCTGTGGTTAAGTACTAACAATTGAGAGTTGGTCTAGGTTCTAACAAGATGCTACAGTATGCACTACAGGTACTACATAGTACATGTACTCACATTATTATTGCCTGTGGATAAGCACTAACAATTGAGAGTTGGTCAACGTGCCATTAAGATGCAACAGTATGCAATGCAACTTCTTCATACTCAAATCGACGTTTTCCCGAATTAGCTGACAAGTAGTTGAAATTTGACAGAATGTTAACAAAAGTCATTCATTGGTCTCTGTATGTACCACACTGATACGATAAATCCTTCTATGACTTTTGCATATTATGTGTCTTATTGCAAGTCAAGTACTGTAACAATTTCCTGTGTCTTTCTCTTCCAGGGTCTGTTCCACCCAGCAAGGAAGGTCCGTGATGTGTATTGGAAGATCTACAATACATTGTACATCGGTGCACAGGATTCACTGGTAGCCGGCTATCCACGGGTTCCCAATGATGAGAAGAATCAATACGTTAGATATGAACTGGAGTATTTCTTGTAAGTTGTCTGTGATGCTCAGCCACACTCCAGATTTACTCTTCTTCATGTCTGAATTAAGTGTTACTCCAGTACCATTCCCTGTCTAGCATTTGTCTAGTTTGACAACAATCAAAGCCAGCAGTGTTGTAGCTGAGGTACTTACAATGGATCACAAGTCAATTATAAGTCCAAGTAAATTACAAGTCCAGTCACAGGTTACATGGGATTAACAATAACTAAGGAATGCTTCCTTGTTCATTTAAATAGCTTATGAGTTGACATGGGACAGGATGCCTTGTGATAGACATGTGAATGGATATTTTAGGATCCAATTACATCACTTCTATTTTTGATTCACCGATTGATCTGGACAGAGTTTGATTTGTACATACAGTGAAAATCAGTGAGTGATTAAAAAAACTGAGAACCTTGTTTTGCTTGGTAAGAATTGAGTATTAAATGTTTCACATTTTGACAAAGTTACTTGCTTTTATTTAGTAGATTATGAATTGAAATAATATCAGAAACTTGTAAAATGTCAGAAAGCAAGATGGCTTTGAAAAGATGAGGACTTTTTATTGGTCAGGATACTCAAAGATAGAACACTTCAAAATCTTGTTTCAAATGTTTTGTGTTATCATAAGGTTCTTCCCTAACAGTCCTGAATCCTCCAATTTCAATACGATTTTGCACACCCCCTAGGGAGTTAAGGTTAAAACAAAAAGTCATAGCGCCCAAGAGGCCAATGTTGCATGGTTAAGTTAATAAAACAAAACATTTTATTTGTATAAAAGAGCACATGTCGTGACCTGACAATGTGTCCATTCTTTCCATGTAAACTTAACACTGACGATGGGAACATATTACCCCTTGAATATTCGGTTGTCTTGTTTAGTTTATTGGCCATAAAAGTCACAAAACAGATTTCCGAGTAATTCTATGGTCATACCTTTTAAAATGATACATTTGTATATAGCAAGCTGTGAATGAGTTAATCAATTTGTTTTGAATCTTGAGGAAATGGTAACCTTTTGTTACAAACATTTCTTCGTTCTACTCTTTGAAAATCATCCCCTTAACTCAGATATCTGGTTGAGCAGTGATTCAACACGTTAATTTGGTTCATTGCCAAGCTAAGATTCTGTCTCCTAACCTTTTTGAATCAATAACACAATTGAGATTTCTATCCTTGCAGGTTTTGTTGAAGATAAGATTTTGCCTTAAAGTGGGGCTAAAGTCATTTTTGGTAGGTATGATTATAAAGTGTGAATAACTCTGAAAATGGTGAGGTTAAATTTCAAATACTTGTACAAATGTTGTTTTTTAGTGAAAAAAAAGGTACGAGTGGCAAGGGCGGATCCAAAACATCACCTTTTGGGGGGGGGGGGGTGGCAAAAAAGTGGGTTCCCCAAAAATTACAGCACGGTGTTCAGGGTCTACTTAAGGGCCCAGATCAATTTTCGGATTCCAGATGCTCTGTGGTGTGATCTGAGGCAATTTCTGACCACTTTCCCAATTTTTTTTCACTTAAAAAGAAAAAAAGGGGGGGGTGTCTTTTTTTGGGGGGGGGGGGGCATTGCCCCATTGCCCCCCCCCCCCCCCCCCCCCCGATCCGCCCTTGATCAGTGTTTACAATTTTACATCATGTTTCCTTATTGTGGTATAGGTATTGTTCATAACACTATATTAAATCTGTTCTTGATGTGTTGTACTTTATGACAAAAAGTCTAGGTTTTGTAATAGCAGTACATGTACTTCTGATGAAACAAATGATTTTTTTCTCAAGATATCATTTCTCTTTTTGTTCACGGGTTTCTTTCAGGCATATGTGTCGGTTTTTAAAAAAAATAATATCAAACATGTAGAACCAGAGGCCAGACTTTTATTTCATGGAAGCAGATATTGCATTGCACTAAATAAAGATACAAAAATCTGTGAGCGTGCAGACCTGTATGAAGTGCTTCTTGACTCTGTCTCCATCCTTGTGAGGTGTTTGTGTTATTTTATCTAAACTAAGTTTACTTAATTCAATCTTCTCCAATATAGGTGAAGTGTCATGTGTTATAGTGCCCCAAGCAGCAGCGAAGCCGGGAGGGGGGGGGGGGGGGGGGGGGGGGGCGGTGTTGTAAACACCCCCATAAAAAGTTGTTGCCCCCCCAGTCACTACCTTTTTGAACATTGATTGCCTTTTTCAAAATCGCGCGAACATCTTTAATTGTGCAGCCATGAAAAAACACAACCTATTTTCTGATAGTGTCCTCTTTGAAAGGTGCCCCCCTTGTGATTTCACAAAGCCTGTCTACCTTTCAGCACGTACAGATGCTACAAAAATTGAACACCCCCCCCCCCCCCCCGAAACATCCAGCCCCCCAGTGTTGAGAACACTGCCCCAAAGTACATGTAGATTGAATGATATGTGGACTGGGGGAGGGGTGTGCAGAATTCAGGATAGAGGTGCATGTGGGCTTTGGGGGGGGGGGGGAAATGGGATTTTGGTAGTTTTATTCTGCACGTAGTTGCATATAAAACAAACTATTCGATAGTTGGTGAATAAGTTACCAAATCTACAAATTTGGAAGTGCATTTTTTGATGAGGTTTGTTTTATTTCATTTTTAATTTTTTTTCTTAGAAATCACATTTGATATTTTTTCGTTTTGCCTTCCATATGAAATCTTGTCGACCTGTAGACTGGTGCATAATTATTATAGAATCCTTGAACCACCGTGTTAAGTAAATGCAAGGCCAAACCTGGAACCCTGACCCAACGGCGAACAAAACGTCACACAGCTACGATAGTTACGTCATGTACGTGCCGGTTTCTGTGGAAAGGTCATGTCAAACTCAACATGCATTAGTTGCCCTACATTCGGCGCTTTGTGAAATCATAAATAATATTGTTATTGATAAAATGATAACTTGTGGTACAGCTACTTTAGAATGCAGACGTGATGTGTTCGGCTACATGTTTAAATCTCAGGCCCTTAAACAGATCGCTACGGAAGTGAGTATTTCTCAGTTTTGACTTGTCATGCTTGTCAATGACAATGTCAGTATGCCTACGTCATTGTACGTAGTGTAGCTTTATCAACATGATCAAGTTCATGTACCGATGTCTGTCTGTCCTGTCCATGGAGGTAGAATAATTCACCTCCAATGGTCTGTCCATGGAGGAGTTCCTTCCTCCATGGTCTGTCCATCATGTCTGCATTGTTCTTGCGCGTTGCATTTAGACTGTACACTTTCAAAATTCACTCCATTAATAATCATTATGTTCTACATTACAAACGTAAGACATGCACATGAATTCAAAATGGTTGCACGCAGGAAGGATTCAAAGTATCTTCGCACGTATTAATATAGCTTTGAGTATTAACATTTAATTTAAAGTCCTCCCATGAAAGCCAAAGCAAAGGCTAAAGGAAGTGAAGTGGTCTAACAATTAAAATATTAAAATAAATATCAAATTATTATTATTATTAGTTCATCTGTTCATGCCATGTAAAAATATATAGTCGTGTTCCCTAACGTGGCGCACTTCGAAGCTTACCCAAATGTCCTCGTGTAGTGTTGCCAAACCTCAGTGTTGACAAACCTCAAATTCATGCAGTGAATTACTGGTACTTTTACCTTATTAATGCTTGCTGTTCAACCTCTATGAAAAATTTCGGTTTCATGAAATTTAAGCCGAAATTAAAAAACGGTGGCGTCCGGAAATTGGGCAAATTTTGGCGGAGTGTTCCCTAACGTGGCGCACTTAAATAAATCTCCGAAAATTCCAAATTAACATTTAAGAATTTCTGTAAACTTGATAAATTCTGATAAATCATTATTATCTCTACCTACATACCCAGCCAGATGTTTGTCACAAAATTATTTTCTTATTTTTCGGGGCATTTTCAAAGGGTTCACTTTGCACTTAAAAATAAAATCGGAAAATCACGCCAAAATAATTTTTTCTTTTAACTTTGCAGCGGGTAAATAAACTCGCGATTTATGAACGGGAGTGTTTATAACTTGATGAAATTTCACTTTCTGTGAAATTTCAGTTAAAACTTTTGCTCTAGCTAGGCGCTACAGGCGAAAAATCAAAGTGCGCCACGTTAGGGGCCGCGCCACGTTAGGGTACATCAGCAATATATCACAATCAAGATGGGCAAAACAAAAGAAATAATAATCACTAGGCCTCGTATGGTCGAGGACCTGCCATCCCACATCCAGATGTGAAAATTAAAATTAAAATTAAAAGATTGAATTGACATATGTACATGTAATTGTGTTTTTCCCTTTCTTTCATTTTCTTACAGCTTTTGTCGTAGCAGGCATGTATATGCAGGTATCAACATACTCTATAAACATCAACGAATTTTTATCCAGGAGAGATGTTTATGCAGGCCCCATTTACTACCCAAAATACAAGCAGTACCATCGAGATCTTTCTTGTCATTTCTTGATAAAAGTAAAGAATATTCAGAAAGAAGAATTGTTGGGTGAGTAGAAAAAAATGTAATATAATAATAACTAAAATTAGTAAGAGAATAACCTAGGTGACTGGGCCGGGCAATGTTATTTTGCTGATGATGTACCAGGAAAGTGGTTTTTTTCGGGCGGGTGGGGGTGGGGGGAGGGGGGGGGGATACAAGAAACACAGGAAGGATTTTTCTGCCTCAAGTGAGAATTCTCAAATTACTGAAACATAAAATACTCTGAAATCTTTATTATCATAGTTTATCATTGTTTCAGAATGGGTTGGTAGACCTGTTTCTCATTTCTGTTTCTGTAAACCTTTGGAACCTTTAAAATCAATATTTTGGTGGGGACTTTGTTGACATTTTCCTGTTTCATTGTTGAAGACTAATACTAATTTTTTTTGGGGGGGTGTCTTGTCTTCCCCTCTCCCCCTTAAAAAATGCATGTTGTTCTGAATCATAAACAATTTTAAGTCTGAAAACTGCTCGTCTAAAATTTGTTTGATCCATTGGACAGGTAGAAAATGAACATAGATACTTTCCATTTTCATGTTTTCAAGATTGCGTTATATTTTGTTGTGTTCTCTTTTAGGTATTCCATGGAGGAGATGTATGAAGTAGTCAGTAATGTAGAAAACTACAAAGATTTTGTACCATGGTGCACTCATTCAGTTATAAGGTCTGGAAAAGCTGGCCACTTCAAAGCAGACTTAGAGGTTGGATTTCCACCGCTTGTTGAGAGATACACCTCAACAGTAACTGTAGTTAAACCTCATCTAGTTAAAGTAAGTGAAGCCATGAAATAATATACAAATATAACATGATCTGAGGGTGGATAGTCAATATTAGCTCCCTGAGATATTGGAAGTTGACAAACTAGTGCCCGAGGCAAAGCCAAGGGACTAGTTCGTCAACTTCCAATACCTCGGGGAGCATATATCGACTATCCAACTGAAATAAACCACGTTATATTGTTTTTACTATACCTCATACATATTCAGTTGCCAAATTTTCTCGTTGCAGTATGCACCTCGCTGGCATAAAATCTTCGTAAAAATTTGTCCAACTCACCAGAAGAATATTGCTCAACCTCAGAAAAGTTCAGTTCTTTTGCAATACAGTAACTCCTAAAAGTTGATACCACATTGTGGACTACTTTTGTTGGCAGAGGAGGCATATTTATTGTCCACAATATTCTCCATTTCGGCATCATTGAGCTCGGGAAAACGCTACTTAACAATACGTGTGCTGCCCTAGGGCGATGCAACAGTCTACTACGCATGCGTAACACATACGTATTTACCCTCTCTGTGGATACTCGCGCGCTTGCTTGGTAAACGGCAAAAATAGCATCCGGCAAGTGATGGTAAATGGACCAGTGAGAATTCGGCTCTTGATCATGAATATGTATGAGGTATAGTAACAAGTAATAAAGGCTGTGGCCAACTCATAGAATGTGTTCAATCATAATCCCAACGTCCAATATTCACTGCATTTTTTATAAACGATACAGTGTATGTTATTTTGTAGTAGCTTTTTATTTTAAAATACTAAGGAGTGTGGTAGAAAACTGTGAACTGGGATTCCTATTCAGGTGCATGCACTTGTGTCATCTAATCAGTGGGATTAATTCTACAGTTGTAATATGTACAAACACAACACTTCTCATTTTGAGTGACCAAAAAATCTGTGTGATAATTCCAAACTCTGTTGTGTGATTTTGTTATTCATGGTACGTAAGTTATGTATCAGCCATTATTGCAACCTTAATCTTGTTACTTCACCTCAGTCTGTCTGTACCGATGGGAAACTGTTTAATCATCTGTCAACAACTTGGAGGTTTGGACCGGGAATCCCATACAAGCCACATACATGCACCATAGATTTCTCTGTAAGTATTTCACCAAGTGTGATTGCATGATCTTAGTTATTTCAATAAACATTCCTTCAATTGTTTACATTAACATTGTGTCATTGTCTATTATTTGCACCGGACAAGAAAAATATGGCATCAATTGTCATTGTTTCAATTTTGTGGGGATCCCACAATAGTTTGATTTTGTTTCATTGTGGTAAATGTAGGGGAATGAGGAGCAACTGTTAAGAAGCTGTCTTGAACTCTGATAATTTTTCACAATTTGTTAAACATCTGATACAGATTATTTCTATTGGATTGATATTTGGCTTGATTTTTTTCCAGGTATCCTTTGAGTTCCGTTCTGTTCTCCACTCCAACCTTTCAACGCTTTTCTTTGACGAAGTCGTAAAGAAAATGGTGAAGGCATTTGAGAAACGGGCGGAGAAGGTATATGGACGACAGACGGTCATAGCAAGATCTGATCATATACGATACACATCGTCATGACAACAGTAAAGATTAGCAACTTCTAGAAAATGTTGGAATTCTTATACTGATGCAAGTTTTTGTGCTTTTTGCTTTTGTTTATAATCATAAACTTCCACTGATACAAGGCCTGAGTGAAGATGGTAAAGGACCGTAAATCACAGATCTTTGGTTTATTGGGCATGTGGTTTGATGAATTTTAATATACATTTTACCCTCATCTCGATAAACGCATTTATGATATCATTCTCATTCTGGTGGGCCAAGCAAATGCGCTTCACATGGTACAAGTGGAAAACTAAAATCTGCACATTATTTTGTTTTGTGTGCATTTTACAGGCAGATTTGTAATCAAGTCAGCATTGGCAAACTAGGGTTAAACTTCTGGAGAGCACCTGGGGGTGCATACATTTTTTTTTGGGGGGGGGGTGGGAGTGGTGGAGTGGGGGCACTGAAGGAAAGTGGGCCCCTGAGTTATGCCACTGCTAGTCAGTCACTTCTGGTCACACTTGTAAATTCAATTGTGAATTGACTGGTGATTGACTTGCATTGACTTAATTATTACTCTGTTTATTAGAGGTACATTTTAATATATAGATTTCAAAAGTATTTATGTGATCGCAGGCTGATGACAGGAATCACTATTTGTATACAATGCTTGGACTGCTTCCAACAGATGAATACCTTCTTTGTTGAAATGTGATTAGAACTTGTTCAGCACAACACTGAGGGCAAAGTAAGGACACTTGCTGAATATCTGAAATTTGATATTTTAATATTTACAGTGTAATTCTAAAATATGTGTAATGAGTTACATGCTAATTACAAGTTACTTGTGAATTTAAGGTGACATATTAAACCCTTTAACGACCATGAGATAGATGGGATGCATTTTATTTCTAGCCGTTTTCCATGATTTTATTTATATTAGTATTTATGTTTATTGTTAACCAAATGTCAGGGCTGTATACGTGCACATGTACATACACATACATTGTGCAATGTTGAAGCCCAAAATCTTCCACAATTGACCAGCGTACTCAAAAAGTTTGCTACCTCCATCAACAATCAAAACTTGCCCAACACTGGATTTTGTCAAACTTGGCATAACTCATAATATGTGTTGACTGTTGCCAGATTGTCTTTGTCAATGGAGAACTAAAATTTCTTTGGCCACCAGTGTTGGTATAATGTATTAGAACAAAATAGCACCTAAAGATAAATTCTGATTGATATACTGTACAAAATGTAGAGTTAATTTCAATGCATTATTTAAAGGGGCATTTTTGTTCCTTGTAGTTTTTAAAAGTATAAATAACTCAATTTTAGAGTACATCACAAGATTTCTTAACTGGAGAAGGCGACAGAAATTGTACTGGAATTGCGTATTAAGAGTATTTTAATATTATAAACATACTAAGAGCTTCTCTTGCATATAAATCACAATTTGGTTTTTATCATCGTAAATTATTTTAACCACAAATCTGACACTTCGAAATATTCTGTAAACATGTACGACTATAGTATTGAATATATTAACTAATCTTAGTATTTTGCTGCAGTGTTCTACGAGGAATAAATCTGGGAGTCAGAAAAAAATCTAGAATATCTGCATGTTTCTGAATAATTTGTGAATTTGGTTCCCCTATTCTTGAAAACAGGGAATTTGATTTCAGAGTTTACTTGAGTAAACACCTTTTTGAGGGAAGTAGGTGCAGCATTTTTTCAAGACCTAATTCTTTCAGTAAATCCTTACAATTACCAGCAACTTCTTTCATTTTATCAGAGTGCTGACCACCGTATTCAAATGTTCCTTCATGCAAACTTTTTGGCTTTGAAGTCCCACCATGTGATGCTTCTCCATCTGAATCAGCTGAGAGACAAACACACCCAGCAGGATTACAATGTGATGCTTGATCACTTACAATGCTGCCCTCTGGATTTTGTGAGAGACGGTTTTCTGAAACAACATCAGTTTTATCTTCTTCATCAACATCAGTTGAGTTTGTATTCTCACTTATTGAGTCATTTCCTCCAGAAATAATTCTGAGTTCTTCTAGCAGTGATGCTATTCTTGATTCATCACTGGCACTCAGGCTCAATGTTGGTGGGGTTTTGGAAGTTCTAGATCGCTCTGCAAATGTCTTCAATGCCCTACAAAACAAAATTCAGAGCAATAATTAAACATAAGTATGGATTTGCATTGGTACTTCTTTGAGGGAAACATACACAAACTTCACAAAGCATTCTTTTCTTGAGACATTAAGCATGGAGATATGACATTTCTTGAAATCACAGTTGACACTGAACATACCAAAGAATTCCCTTATAGAATGATGCAGAGGTTTCCAGTTGGACATGATGGGCAAATCCTCTATTGAATGCGTCTTGTAAGACTGCCTCTTGTCCTGCACTGTAACCATCTCTGTAGCCCTCCTTGAATCATATAAAAGGAGAATGGTAATTAGGGAGAAGGTACTGCTAGCGAGAAAAGAAATTATTAAACAACCACATCTGCAACACTCCTTCCTCCCTTCATGTTAACTGTTGACAAAACGTAGGGTAATTACTTAAAGTGTTAACAATCTCCAGGATAACTTAACGTAGTTATGATCTCATACCTTCATGTGGGAAGCCTTCAGTTTACTCCACTCGACATCAACAACAAAATTATCCTCCTCCTCTTCTTCAGTGTTGTCATGGAAACAGTCAACTTCCTGGGTGGATGCCATGATGAAATGTCTGTCATCTCAGGTCTTCAGGCGACTATAAAATCAGAGAGAACATTTTCTATGGTAAATGTATCCAGAATAAAAAGTACATTAACTTACATGATTGAGTGGCCTAGCCAATGACAATCATGACAATGTGAGCTGAACAAGAGATTGAGGCTTGAGCGATGTGATCAATATAGCGCCCTCTAGCGACTATATAATTACTGCACATTCAATGATTCATCATGTTCAACACAAACTCCAAACTGACATGGTTGTGTACTAATGCGGATGGAACCTTTTGCAAACTTAGGGACTGACGCTGCTCCAGGTCTGAGAACATTGTCATAGAAAACTAGTTTAAAAACAACTTTGAAACAAACAAACATCGTGGGAGTAAATAAATAGCGGAGCTGTCACACGTACTTTACAGTCGGGTGCTTTTGGTTTCTCATGGTTCAATTTTATATGAAGAAGTCTGGGCATAGTTATTCCCACGGGCGCGGTGCAGGTGGCCATTTGGTTGGTAATCGTCAACTTGTGCCACCCTTTGCGTATTGTTAACGCATTCATTAAAAGTTTTAAAGGGAACCAGTACATTACACCTGTACACACAAATTGTGTACATTGTTGATAAACGGGGGAGTGTTCGTTACAAAGTTGATAAACCTGCTGGAAATAGTGTGGATGTCGTCCTTATTTTAGAGCCAAGAAATGTCCAGCCTTGTACATGTTGGGTAAGTCATGCCAGGTGCTGTTCTATTTTCGGAATTGTTGATTATTTTCATGATTTTGTTTTCCGTCTTCACTTCGTCTTCAACAACCACATCATCATTGTGATTCTGTGAATGTGATACTGATTGTCCACGTTCATGTCATGCATGTTGTCACTTGTCATTCGACATTGACAAACCGTTGTGGGCGCCCTATTTTTGCAAAGTCTGTCTGTGCAAGACTAGTGCAAGTGCCATAATATCATAATTATTAATTTTATTATTAGGCAAAAAATGGTTGTGTTGCCCTCACCCGACCGACAAAAAAACTCTGGAAAACTCTGTTGTGGGCAATTCCACACCAAAGTGGACATGACACCAAAAAATTCAAATACATTTTACTTAAACAAATTTGGCATCAAATGAAAGCTAAAAGTCTATATTTTCAAGATTTGAAGTCGGAATTTTATTTTTTATACATTTCGGTACCAAAAACTAGGATTATGTAATAATCCTGTTTTAATCCTAAAAATGTGATTAATAGTGATATGAAAGTATTCTACCAATAGACACACAAAAATATGTACTAATGCCATCAGTTTCTGTCATGAGAAAGTATTGGTCTTGAAAAACCGACTAAAACTTGTTTTTAACATTTTGCGTAATTTGTTTCGCTTCAGTGACTTCTAATATTTCAGCCTTCGAAAATGTCCTTCCGTTACCGAAAAAATACATATTTTTAATTTATTTTTAAAACTTGCAGTATGAATGCATTGAAAGTTATTGTGCAAAGCAAGTTTAGGTAGGCCTTCAATATGACATTATAACTGACACTGCTGTACTTCTTGTTTTTTAATTACAATCAATTAAATCACGTCCTTCCGTTACCAAATTGGTAATGGAAGGACGGTAACGGAAGGACAAATCGTATTTTTATCAAATGTTACGACATTTGCGCTCATGTTTGAAAAATGAAAATCACTGCAAATACATGTACATGCATGTATAATGAGCATTGAAAGGACATTCATGTGACCCACCTTAACAAGAGCGGGATAAGCAGGGCAAGGTGTTTATTACAAAGGAAGGCACAGGCATGTACAACATGTACAATGTACATGTACATATATGCCGATGTACCAGTACTTGTATGTATGGAGTTGTTGCAGAAAATCAAATCATAAAGTTGCTGCCATCAGCATTCATGGACAATAGAGAAAGATACGAATTCTGTGAAGCCATTCCAGAAGCAAATTAAGTCAAAAATGAGATGGCAGAAAGTACCGGTACTTTGGGGCACTTTCATTCAATTTACATGTGTTATACATGTGAGGTGCAGTCTTTGACAAATTATGCCCAAGTTAACAACTTCAGTTTGGATGTTTATAAATTAATTGTTACTACTCTAAATCATTGTAATTTGATTTCAAACATTGATTTTAGAGTTCAATTAAAAGCAACACCTAACTGAAGCCATCAGTTCTACCGGTAGATGTTTTTACCTTAAATGTACATGTAGGCTGGTCGCCCCCCCCCCCCCCCCCCCTTTAGGTAAACCTTTGAACCTACCGGTATTATTATTAAAAGTTGTTGGTGAACATGTAACCAATATACTCAAGTGTTCAAATACTGTGTATTTAAACTTTTAAGGATTGAGGTGATGGGTTTGAAGTCTATTTCTGTAGAGGTCCTGTGTTCGTGAATTATGTGTTTTGGGTTGTTTTCGTTTTTCTTTTGTTATCATTAATTAGCAGGCTTCTATCTTTATCTCAATAGTTTCTTGGGTATAATTATTTATGCCAGGTCTGCATTTTGTTGATTTCACATTCAGTTACACATTTAAGCAATTTGTTTCACTTGTATAATTAGTGTAAATTCACATTTTGTTCATGCTATAATTGAGTAAACCTTTTGTCCTTCCGTTACCGTCCTTCCGTTACCAAATTATAATCTGCTTAAAACGTTATAATTATATAACCGAAACACTTAAAGTCAAATGAAAGGTGGTATAGTATAGATAAAGCTTCAGGGATTCCATTTCCTACCTTTAAAATATAATTGCCCCATAAAATTCACAGAGTTTTTGCAAAACGCGAGTAAGTTGGAAAACCCTTGTCCGTTTTACCGTCCTTCCGTTATTGACCTCATTAATATTCATAATTCATAAACGGGAGGCATTCATGCCCCCCAAAAGTGTGGAAAATGAAAGTAGCATTATAGCAATACAAATGTGACATTTGTTTGCAGTAACTATGAACAGTGTCTGTGATACACACATTTGAAATTTTGTTTAATGAGTGAAAACGTCCTTCCGTTACCGTGGAATTGCCCTTGTGTTTTTTTTTTCACTTGAATTTTTTTAAAATATCCTCGATCCTCCTTACTCCTATTTCTGCGCAGATAAGGCTTTGCAACCAAGTACATGTAGCTTAAAAATAGCAAAGCAACCACTCTTTTCCTCAACAAAAATTATATTGTTGGCTTACGATCATCCACCGTACCGATTAACAAAGCAAAATCTCTTTATTTGTGGCAGCAAGCGGGGAATTCCAAAGCGTGCAGTTTTGGCATTGTAGAAAATAATCCTGCCTAATTCTGCGCAGGGGACGCTTCATGAAAAATACGTGCTGTCTGGGCCATGTAACTCAATAAATACATTTTTTTTTAATAACTTATACTTGTTTGCTTTAGGAAAATATATTTTCTGAGCGTTTCAAACAAATTTTCTTTCTTTTTCCTTTCTTTTTTTCAATGCCAATACACTTTTCGTAATTTCAAGATTAATATTAACCCTAACGTACCTAAATCCATCAAAATCCACCCCCCTGTTTCGGGGGATTTCGGCGGATTCAGGATACCTCCATATTGAACAAACTGGGGGATTTTGATGGACTCAGGATTCCAAGCCTAGCGGAACTGGCGGATTTTGATGGATTCAGGATACCTCCATTTTGAGCTATTGGGGGACTTTGATGGATTCAGGATCTCAACAGTTTAACTCTTTTGCAATGTTTGTGGTCAAGTAAATACTGCTGGCACTAGCCCTGGCAAGTCTGTCACATACTGTACAAACATGTACACACATGTACTGGGTGGACTTGCATGGAGGGTCACTTGCTTGCTGGAGGAAAGATACAAATAATGCGCGAAAACGTGACGAACGCAACGCCGTTTACGCGCAAAGAACACCATGTGCATCGCTAATAATTATGTGTGCGCATCGCGTAAATACTCGGTGCGCATTTCTTGCTTTGCGCGTTGTGAGCTAGGTCACGTGCTGGAGGAAAGATACATATAGCTCCATTACTTTACGTTAATTTGTTGCGCGTCCATGAGAGACAACCAAAATGGCGGAGATTTATCGCACAGTGGCTGGGCGCGTGTAGACGCGCTGCCGATCTAGTCTTTTCATTCTATATCTGTGGTTTACGGGCTGAAACATGCGCTAATGTCTTTCACACAAATTTTGTGTGCGAGACGTATTCACTTCGGTACTCATCCATGCTGGGGTCGCCATGCATTGGTGTATTTTGACGGATTCTATGCAACAACACACATCACAATTTTCATGCGAGCATGGTATCCTGAATCCGTCAAAATCCACCAGAAATTTAGGTGATGGATTTTGAAGACTCTATGGAAAACCATGCTGTATTTTTTTTTATGCCACCATGGTATCCTGAATCCGCCAGAATCCATCAAGACTTTTGCTGGTGGATTCTGGCGGATTCAGGATACCTCCAGAATCTACACTGGGGGATTCTGATGGATTCAGGATACCAGCATTTTTTGCATGACAAAATTGGTGGATTTTGGCGGATTCAGGATACTTTCTAGTAAAAGAGCCCCAGGAGTTAGGGTTAATATCCTATTTTCGAGATTTATACAAGGGCTTAAATTTACATATTTATATAAATACATTTTATACATATTTACCTATTAAATGTAGATCCCAATGATATTGTTATTCTGATCATCCCAATCAACGGAGACAGTTTTTAAGATGTCGGATTTTAAAACTTATGACCAAAAAAATTCCCCAAAAATATAAGAATTGTGATTGTGTTTTTTTAGTTGCACCGTAAGTTTTACACTCTCTTAGAAACTGCAAATTCTTATCTATGACATCTTCACTATAATACTGACGATATTGGGAGACCAAGAAAGATCACCTTTCGGTCATATTTTCAACTTCTGCAGGCCTGGAAGCATCTGCCTGCATTTGTACTTAGTAATTAGCTGTAAAAAGCCGATGTTTTTCATATTGTGCCTGAATTCCCGGTAAAGCCTTCAATTTCCAATTTTTTTTTGGCTGCTGGTTAAAGTTCGAGCATCAAAGCATACGATCCCAGTGAAAGTATGTCATTTTTTAGGATGCACGCCTTGCAAAATATAATTAAATGCGAGTGCGCAGAAATAGGAGCGCGTAGCTTTAGGAGGTCTGACGATAAATTTTAACCCTGCCCTTGCAGTTTTTGTTTCTGAATTCATAATATGTCATAATTTTCCATTTTTTTGTGTATGCTGATGGAGGGAACTGGTAACCATTGTGTACAATGATACCCCCCCCCTCCCCCCCCCCCCCCAAAAAAAACCTAAAAATAATGCCTACCTGACCGACACTCCTGATATTTTTCATGTGAGGACAACACAACAGATTTTTTTTTTTTTTTGTAAATGTAGTTAGGGTCCTTCTAAGTTCTAAACAATTAATGAAGTAGAAAGCACTTGGAGAGGGCAAACCTCCACCAAGGCTAAACAATTCCCCGCAATATTGTGCCAATGTGGGACCCTTCGGTGGGGCATACAATTAATGAATCACATTTAAGCCTTCAGAGAAAGGGTATTTCCTGGACTCATTGAGTTTGAAGAGAGCAGTCTGCTGATAATGTACAGTAGTACATTGTAGCATTCTCTGAAACATGTTGAAAACAGTGGCAGTGTCTGTCATGATGATATCAATTTTGTCATCTTAATGTTAAATGTCTGTAATAAATTTAGGCCATGAGAATGAAATTTTAACTTTGTGTCCACCGCCTGCACCTCCCCATGGCAGGAACAAGAAAAATGTCATTATTTTGCAAAACTTCCATTATTTCAAAAAATACTATTCCCAATTACAAAAGACACCCAAAAACATTTAGTCGCATATAAAATGAGATACTTAGACATATTTCCACTTTATGTGATGCGTACGCCAGATTTTTCAACGATTGAACGTCATCCGAATATCATCCAATAGTAGTCTGCTATGATGTTCTAGAATCGTGGCGCGGGGTGCAGCGGCATCCACCACCATTAATTTAATGAATAATGAAAAATGAAAAAAAGCCTCCTGTCATCTGGAAAATATTCAGACACAAATCTAAACTTTCATTCTCATGGCCTTATAGTTATAAAACAAAAAATGGTAGTGCACATGAGGTATTTGCAGAATTACAGTGTACAATGTATTTTCCCCAAATTGTCAAAATTGAAATCATCATTTCTGATTTCAAGAAATGAGACATATTTTTGCCCATTGTTACAATTCAATTGATTTATCAGTTGTGTATTCAAGTAAAAGTTTATGTTTTTTCCGCAACTACATGTACCCAAGGTTTAAAAAAATCAATTCCTAAATTGTGCTTAAACAGCATAAAATGAGCTGAATCTGCCCAGGGTAAAAGAATTAAAGAAATGAAATCAATTGAAATGAAATGACAATACACATGTAAGTGTTTTTGGAAATGAATATTTTCTTTCTGGAAACTTGGGATACATATAAACATGCTCATTGTACATTTAAATATAAAGCTCAGTAAAAACAGGATAAGTCAAACTTGCATTTTATTTTTTCATGGTGATATTTTCTCATTGTTAAGAATCTAGGCATTTTAGTGGAGAATATCAAATATCCCCCCCCCCTTTAAAAAAAATCTAAGGTAAATTCAAATAATCAAAGAGTTACATATATATGTATCTGACTCTTTAAAAAACATTTTTCCTCATAAATACATGCACGTATTAGTGGTGAACGTGTGGCAATACAGAGTTCCCTGTATCACCTGATTACTGATGGCTTGTACATATTTGGCCTTGAGTGTGAGTCAAGACCTGAAATCTGTTGCCATAGTGATCAGACCCCCAAGACAGATTTGGTTTTAACATTTTGCCCTCTCAAGTGACTCTGTGTTTAGCTGTCTCTGTGGGGTTGTTTTTGTACAGCAGGAAAAAAATTGCACAAACAGTACATGATGTACATTTTTGACATTTAAGAACTGGAAGAGTCATGAGTGCCCCTGTAATGAGCCTGCAGACATTTTACTGCCTATCAATTAACACACCCTTATTTGTTCACAGTTCACGTAATAATTGTGAAGACAAGCGAGCGGGTTCTCAGTTGTCATGAAATTAAAATAAAAAATAATTAAAGAATTGAAAACACAGCATAATTTCAAACACAGGTTTTCATGCTTGTGATTTTCAACAACCAGTACTTATTTTGTCAATTTGTGATTCTGTTCAGTCAAGTGCAATGTAAATAATTAGGAGGTGTTTCAAGCGATATGTAGTGACTTGGATACATGTAGTTTACAGCCAATTAAAGGGAATGTACAACATTTGCTTTTGCTGCAATTTTCCGACTTAAATGGATTTGAAGGATTAGTATGTTATGGAAAATATTGTTAAACTGACTTGTTTCACGTTTTGGGCTTGTAGATGCTGGAAAAAACCAAGAAAACCAATCATGTTCTTGTAGTCTGGCTCCCTGACCCCACTTAAGATTGAAACAGAGCAATTTTAGACTTTGGGGAATTGTAAGGTCAGAGAATCGGTCTAGCAGGCTTGTACTCCTTCACAGGTGTGTAATTATTTGCAAAGAAAATGCGAAATAACTAAATATAAAAACTTAGAAGCACTTTTTGAAAAAAAGCCAGTTTTCTCCAACGCTGGTCGGCCGACCAGCGTTGGAAAAATACAAGTTTTCTTGAAAATGTTAGCACATCAAGCACCATGATTTTACAGGATGCTTTGGAATATCATTCTCTAACAATCCATTAGGTATTTCGTGATAATTTGGTCATTTTGTTTTTTGATGTTTGCAAATGTTGTATCTTCCCTTTAAAGTGTAAGAATCAAGACTTTTATAGGCTGTAGCTTTTGGCTCCAGGTTTAAATTGATGTCTACAAGGAATGACATGTAGTTTGCTGCAATTCATATTTGAGTTACAGTAGTTGTTTTGAATTGCATTAATTTTCTGTCTGTTTTATAGAACTGATGACTTTGATTCCAAATGATGTGAATGATTTTGATTTGCATGATTCTTTTGTAAACTTTATGTTGGTAATTTTGTCGGTACCGGTAAATCGAACATCATTGTTACAGAAATTATTTCTGAATCCGACAGAAAATAGTGTTCCGTTTTTCTGTGTTAAGATTAAAATTAAACAAATTGGATTTAATTTGTAAAATTTGCAGTTGAACCTGAGAGCTTTACAAACATGAACAATGTATTTTTGTGCAAGTACTGTTCATTACACTTTTCTAGACAAATTTACTGGTACCATACTTCATGTCTTTGTACACTTGTTGATTTGGCAAAGTCTACATGTATCATGACATGCACGATATCCACATGGTTTATCTCTTTGGCTTTTGCACTATCCATACGTATGATAACATTTGATAAATGTTTGGTCCAAGTAAGAAAGTCCAAAATTGTTATACCTGTGTGCTGTAAACAGTTCAGTGGGCTCAATAATACACGTATTAAATCTGGTATATCCACCCTCACACCATGCTCACACCCAGTACAACAAAAGAATGGAATGTGTATGGTAAAAGTAAGTTGACAGTAGATTTGAGCTATTATGCTCATGGCTAGATCAGCAAGCAGGCCAGTTTACATGTATACAACTTCGCATAATGCGTGCGTTCATTTCAACGTAAACTACATGTACTATGTAAATCAGTTTTCATTCACCTAAGCATCCTACAGTACAAAGTATGCATTGTGGGCTGTTTCAAAGGTGTTTTGAACGTAAATAAAATAGCCACACATACCGGGTACACTGTACATGTTGAATTTAAGATTCAAAGGAACTTTTTCAAAGGAACTTTTTTGTGACAAGTACATTGTACTGCAGTAAAACTGCTTGGTAATGATCAGTAGGCCTACATGTACTGGTACATGTACTGGTACATAGGTATTCTGGATGTGCATGTACATTTTGAAACAGTAGGTTGAGCGCCCTGTTCATGTACCGTGTACATGTACTTCACCTTGCGGTTACACGAAGGGAACAAAACATCATGCACCACAAACGAAATACCAATGAATCACTGCCTTTGTGTTTGAGGGCTTCGGCATTGCTGTTTTGAATAAAAATAGCGTAGGCATTTAAAGTACGTGACCTTATGATTTGATTGTCAAAATACACGTACTTCCTTTCCATATGAACTGTTGTGTGTGCATGATGTGTGAGCGGTTTATAAAGAGGTGTGTTTTGTGGAAAAGGGTGTATGGTTTTGGCACTACACTGTGTAAAATACTCAACAAGTAAAATGCAAGTATGTACTTGTATTTGGTGGATTATTTTGCTTTCATATAAACCATCAATATAGGAATTGTGTTGCCTTTGAAATTTTCTCAACCCAAGAAAATTAATATTGTGAGAAAATCTAAAACGGTACGTCAATATTAAATTGTTGTGTTCTCACGGGTAACGGCATGAACGATGGGTGTTTATATCACTGAACAACTGATAATAATCTGTATTTTGGTGTATTGGGTCAGTTGTTGAGTTCAAACTTCAAAGTACAAAACTTGGAGAGGCTGTTTTGCATACTGTACTGGACAAAAGTGCAGATTACTGGTGAACAGTGTATGATTTTTGTAAAATGTCTAGCAGCCTAATATGTCAACATGTTATTTTATGTCATCCATAAACTAGGTTACTCAATCATGGATCTGTTGATATCAATCTCAAGTACCATTATTTGTGCAAAAATGTACTTCACATCTTCTAATTCCTTGGATAACATTGTTGGTAGACATTTGACACCTGTCTCCCCTGTGCAGTGTATGTACATACAATGTAAGCATTTGATGTCTGTCTTGGGCATAACTGAAGTGAACATAATTGTAATATCGCAATGGCTCTACTCTTAACTGATCACTTTTATCATATGTGCTTACTACATTTATACATGTGTATAGAATGTGCATCTAAAAATAAACTTTAATTGTTCACTTCAAGTGGTTTTATCTAAATCAATAATGCAATGTGTTTGTACAAGAACTTCATTTTTCCTTCAAGCAGCATTTTTAATGGCCGTGTAATTTTACATTATTTTTCGATATTTTATTTTGATTGATCAGGTGACTGATGTAATGCAAGTTGACATCACAATCTTCTGATCACTTTGACCTCGAATATTGTGAAATATTCATAATGTCTACAGAAACTACCTCAAAAATCCCCACTCATCAACCGTAAGTACTGTAAACAAGGTTGAAAAAAAAATAGAATATACTAATTTGGCAAATATACTAATTTGGCAAATATACTAATTTGGCTGTGGTTTTTGCTATGATAGGTCTAAACGAAGCCGTGCCCCACCACCCCCAACAAAGAAACCATCCTTTGAGGAAAACAAAAATGGATCCCTATCTGAACAGGAGAAAGATGTGTTAAAGAAGAATGGGAGCCTTGAGGATGCTGGAGGTACATCATCAGGAGATGAGAGGCAGCTGTCGGTGGTACTACCATCGGAGAAAATAGTCAAGGCATCCGTCAAGAAAGAGTAAGATTTGGAAAGAATGCCAAATTGAACAAGTGGTAGCTTGAGGTGAACCCTTAGGTACACTGTACCTTGTAAAACCCTGCAAAACCTCGAACAACCACAGTTTGGTGTTTAATTTTGGATTCTTTCCCTATCTATTGACTTGCTTTCCATATCGTAAGAAGCAGAGATGAAATTTTTGTGATTTTAATCGGAAATCAGATTTTTCTAATTTATTTCCAAAAGTCTGATTTTTCTGACGATCTATTGTCGGCAAAGTCTGATTTTTAAAATTCAATTTAACCAAATTCGATGAAAAAGGAACTGCAACATATATGTATTGCGAGCACAATTATAGTCTGTTCTACCAGTCGTCAGTGCACAGATTGTATGGTAGACCCACATACATGTAAGTAAGGACAGATTGGAGTAGTTTACAGCTGGAAATAAGTTTAAACATTAATATATGACATGATTGAAAGGCTGAAATCTACGTTTCGCAATTTTTGGAGATTTCAGATTTATTTGTACAAAATGCAATGCTTTAAAAATCACAATGATGATCTTGAGGATGGCGAAGAGAGCATAAGTGATAACATTTCACTGGCAGTCTTTGGAAGAAAAGACGATTATGCCCAATTTTTTCCCACGTACCGGTATGTTAGTGGAGTTTGGTCGAATGGTCATGAATATTGCACTTGTCTTTTAGACTTTTTTCTCGACTATCTGAAGTAAGAAGTGAACTTCTTTGTTGACGAGACCAGCCGTTACTCTAACCATAACTCAGGCTTTTAAATTTTTTTTAAAACACTGAACATTTTTGTCATCGTAAAATTTAGTTTTGGATCTAAAATACAAGTGGAAGCAGTGTCCGGAAATTGGGCATGAAGTGTGTTGTACATGTACATACGTACATAGTGTGTAACAGCAGCGCGGCCCAGATTTCAGACACAGATTTTTGTTCGGCCTTTTTTTTTCGATTTTTTCTCATAGGCCAGTTTCATCTCTGAAGAAAAAATGATCCTTTCAATATTATAAATTGTATATTTTGCGATTGTGTTTAAATATACATCAAATTTCTTTGCTAATTTGCAGCACACCCATCTTGGAACTTCTCATCATGATTGCATCCAAAAACAAACTGAACCCAACCAATCACACCATTGCCCAACCAGCTGCAAGACCTAAGGATCCACCTGTACAGGTAAGCTGCTGTCATTCTAGTTAACATTGACAACTTATTAACTCTAACCGCCTATCTAGGCCTTTATGGCAAGGATCCATCCTCAGTCTTATAAACGCCTCTACTTGCCACCATGTAAAAATGGGTACAGCCTCAATCCTCCAGAATCATCCGTTATTTCATGCATTTGTTCAGTGGAGGGGTGACCACTGACTCAATCCTTTTAAAATCCCCAACAATCAGACAATGAGGATCGTCAAATGCTGCATCTAGAAAGAGTGCAGATAATATTTAGTATAATTTATTATAGGCATAACTCATGCACGGCTAAGCATAAACAACACAAGGTACAGCTAAAGAGCCTGACACTGCATCCTCCAAAATCAACTGGCACTACAATGGCAAGCAGCCTCAATACTCCCAAATCCTCCAAAACGCCTGGTTGATTTTGGAGGATTGAGGAGAGTTAGGGCTAAGGCTCCATTACCTATCAAAGCTAAGCATCAATTTGTCAAGTAAGCAACTGTCATTCTAGTCGGTTGTTAAACCAAATTATAATTTTTTCCCTATTTTTGCACACAGCCCCCCCCCCCCCCCCCACAAGGAAAACCCCATCTGCATCACTGACAGCACATACAACAGATAATCAAGATGAACATTCCTCTAAATAAGTTGTTATAATCTTTGTATATTTCAGCTCAAACCCACTCAGAAGTTGTCAGATGTTGTCGGCGACACTGTATACATCATCCGCAGAAACCAGAAGCAGGTCTTTGTATACAAGAAAGACGAAAAAAAGTCTGCAGTGTACGAGGTGAGAAACATGTTCAAAGCATCATTAGTATGAATTCGTTAAAAAGAGACCTATCATTCATATTAAAAACAGAAAATGTGGTGATGTGCATTTTGCGTTGTGTGTTTTCCAGTTGCGTATTCATGATGCATGCTTGGAAAATCCATGTACGTATTTTGTTGCACACTTGATGGATGTAAAAGCTCAAATAGAGAGCAGCAGCAGTTTTGCTAGTAGAAAAATCAAGTCGCCATTAAATTTTGATTAAAAATTACCTATTTTACAAAATAAAAATTTAAAAGACTTTACTTTTCAATAAAATACAAATAGTATAAATATTCAATGTTTTATCAATGGGGGACTTGAAAATTGACATTGAAGCAGGCCCTAGCTTCTGTCAATAAAATTCATAACTCCTTCCTTTTAAAGCCAATCATCAATAGTTATCTTTTTACCCCACAACTACATCGTTTCTTTTTCAGTTTCACACCAAAAACCTGATGTTTATTGGATGCATCATCCGTTGCAATTGCTACCTGAAGCATATAAAATGTTAACGGATAGTGCAGTACGGAAACCTTAATGTGCAATACGGATACATGGACGTATGCGCGTTGCTTATCGAACAACTGATTTTTACGCATCACGCAGTGCGCTGTATGCTTTTCGGCCTGAAAAACCTTTAGACGTAGGAAGTTTGATTGTTTTTAGAAATCCCCAGTGAGTTAACTTCTTGGTCAAATAAAGATGGTTTCCAATCCACACAGTGTACAAGGTGTGCACGGTGAGATGTGAACCTCAACCAACAGGTTTGGAAGTAAGACTGCCACGAAAACCCAACTTGAAATTACAAGACAATGAATCTAATGTTTCTTTTCCCAGCCCACTACTCGCATCACTGTCATCTCGGGTAAGAACCACAAGATGTGTCTACGTGTAGATCCTGAAAAGACGCTACAAGAATTGTTGCCTGTAATATGTGATGAGCGGGGAGTGGAAACGAGTTGTCATACTCTCCGACTCACATCTCAACCTCAGGAATCTCTGGATATGAGCCAAACTCTGGAGAAAACGGGAGCCATTGAGTTTCTTCTGGTTGACTTAAAAGGCCAGCCTGCAGGTGTGTATACATTTATAAACAGTGGGAAGACTGCCCAAACAGCTTAACAGTCTCTCTTGCAACATTTGAATGAATCTAGCATAAATAAAAAGGTCTTACTAACAAACATTGAACATTTCTAGCCTCTTCTTATCTGTCATATGCTAAGTTATGTTCTTCTTTGCTTCCTTATGGTTCTCTAGGTTACGAAGGAGGAGAGGTGGAATTGATGCCAGAGCAGAGAAAGAAGAAGGGAAGCATCTTTGGAAAATTCTCGAAGAAGAAGAAAGGAGTAAGTGAACTGGAACAGTGAGCTAACAGAGAATTATTCTTGAGCTTCTTTTTGGTGGTTAAGTTGTTCACCAGATATTCAAACAAAATGTGAGGAGATTCCTTGCACGTCTTACATGTAATTTAACTGCCATGTACACAAACACAGGAGTGAACTTAATGACAAGTTCAATCCTGTGTTTGTGTCAATGACTTAAACATATTCAATTTTAATAAATGTTTTATTTTGTTCTTTGCTTTGTTGCGTAGTATGCATTAGGTGGAGGTGAGTTTCAAGAAGACCCAGCATCACATGTTGCAGCCCCTGCAGAAACACATCAACGTTCTCGTCGCCACACCTCTCCTTCCGCATTCCCACCGTTGGATGGCCAGGCCCAGTCTGCAACTCAAGAAGATGAGGAAGGCAACAACACCTTAAAGAAACGTCGACCAGCCCCGCCCCCTCCACCAGGGAAACATCTGACCAGTGCATCAGATGATGAGAAACTTGATGAAGAATCTGGTGGTTCCAATACTCTAAGAAAGAGGCGTGCCCCAGCCCCACCCAGACCACGTTCTCCTCCTAGAAGAACCGTATCTGTTGGAGCGGATTCAGCTCATCAGATTTCAGCAAATCTACCTCCTCCTCGTCCAATATCTCCTCCAGTGAGAACCAGCATCAATGGAGAGACGCACCTTGTCAGAGAGACTATCAAAGAAGGTTTGTAGTTTGTGCTTTGGTGTTGTCTTGATGTACTTGTAGTTGTACATTCTGTCTTACAAAATCACTTCCTGTATTCGGTTCAAGAGGAAATGTTTTCGTGACTTTCACGAACGTTGGTTGATGTATATATATTTTTTTTATGTTACTGGTGCATGTGTATCATTTCATTTTATTTTCATCTGCACGTCTTTACAAATTTTCTTTTTTCCCCTTCTTTTTTTTTTTACAAGTGGATATTCAATTTTCTTGGTGATCATTGTCTGTAGTCAGTCTTTGTTAATTCTAACCGCTTTACTTCAGTCAATGAGTTTTTCAGATGGGTCAGATTACAAAGCTTTTCAGATGGGTCATAAAGGCTATGAAGAATACTGTTGGAATGTCATCACGGGCTTAAGCTAAAATGCTTTTCAGAAGTTGAATGAAACCTTGAATAGTGTTTTTCTAATATTTCGATGTTTCCATTTCTAACAAGCAAATAATTTCTTTTATCAAAGTAGCACAAGATGAGTTCTGTCATCATTTTGCATAAAGCTAAAAATGGGGAAAATCTATGCATGTTCCAGACTTCTGCATTTTGTTTCTTTGACCAGTTTTCAGTTTCAGCTATTAACACATGAAAGATGTAGTTTGTGCAGATTTATGTTGAGACATAACAAATTCAAAATATTTTCAATTATCAATTTCAAAATTTTGTTGTTTTTTATGGCAAACTAATCCAAATTCTAAGGCTTTGATATTCTTGGTCAAGTCATACATTTGCACATAAAAAGACCTCTAAACTTAAACAAATATTCCAGTGTTTCTTATAAGTTCAAATGACAAAATATACTATTGGTAAATTTGAGAGATGGAAAGCAGCCAAGAATCATTTGATAGAAGACAGTGATGGAATGTCAGGGGAAATCCCATGAACCAGGGACATCAGAGATGGAAAACAACTTAAAAGTGCAAGTTGCTCAAACATAACCAAGTCCCGACCAGTTTGTGGTTGCTGAAAATGCTAACCACTGGAAACGTATACTCTACATGTGCATGTTCCTCACGTTGCGCACTTGCTGACCTTTTTCGGTCAATGAAGTATTTTCTCAGCAGTAATTAGTAAGGGACATTGGAGATATTTTGTTTGGAGGTCTTACTACATCTTAGCTTACACTGTACATTGTATGTGACTTTATTTGCTAATTGCACTACAGACAAACCTTCCAGGCCACCCAAACCACCACGTCCCACCTCTATTATCAGAGGCACAAGCCTTGAGACTCCACCCCCTACCACTGAACCACCAGAGCCAGTCTTTGTACCTCCACCACCCCCAGACTTGCCCCCCTCCCCAAGTGACCCACAAGAAGATGTGACTAAGTTAATAGAGGAGGGGCGACTTAACCAGTCCTTTGATGAAGACTTGATGGATCAGGAAGCTAGGGAAGGTGAGATGGTCTGACAAGATAGGGCTGTCCATCTCTTCTTGAACCTTGTAATTTCTTACTTTGGCTTCATACTACAATGCTATCAATTTGGCCACATGATTAATCATCATCACAGCAGCGTTCATTGGTGGGTGACTAGGGTGCATTGCTTTACATAGCTGATATGCATGTTACACAGTGTATTGTGATCTACCGGTACATGTAAAGACAAGTTGAACACTGTCAAGTGTCATTATGTGTGGCGGATCAAAGAATACATCAGACAACTTGAGGCAAAATTGAATGAATAATTGAAAGTATTATTCTTTCCATGTTCAAATGTTTACATACAACTTATTCCCTGAACATATTGAATGATCTGACTTGTACACTGTGTTATTTGCCTATTGGCTTTCTGGCTTCATGAATGCTAGTGTGATAATACATTACTGCAGCTATGTTTATTGATGCTATTGATGCACTAACAACACCGCTTTAATGTGCCTTGCATTACTTTTTGTTGCATTTTAGTTTCATCAAGTAAAAATGCACCAGCCGATACTTGTTTCCTTTTTGTTTTAAGCAATTTGTATTTACAATTTAAATGTACACTTTGCCTTTACATGTTAAGACCAGAAAGTCGTAAACATCCTTTTCCAAAAGTCATGTATGGTTTAGAGATGTAGTTGTTTAAGCAACTTCATTTGTGTTTTAAGAAATATTCACTGTTCAGTCGGAGTGTACATGTATGTGTATCTCAAAAATAGAAGTCCCTTTGTCAGATACAATGTAAAATAAAACAGGTTTTAGCATTGAACTTAGGGTAACACCTAAAGTGATAGAGAAATGATTTGAAAATGAACACACAAGCCAAAAAAAGGTCTTATGAATAACACTTGGTCCTGTTTTCCCCCTAGTTTACCAATGAATATTTCAGCAGAGGGCAGCAGACATTGACCTACTTAATGCAACTTAAATTTTCTCTCAGGCATACACAAAAACAAGGGAATAGTTACCTGTAGACTCATTACCCATTACCACCTCATCAACAAATCTGTTCATTGTCAGTATCATTGTCATTCAATATTGCCACTGTCATTGTCAACAGAATCACCTAGAGTACATAGTGAATCCATTAGCAGTAGTGTGACAGAGACTGGCATAGATGAGGCATTTGAAGAAGTCATTGCTATGGGAGAAGCAGGTTGGTTGCATTCATGCTACTCACATCAAGTAATTCATGGCAATTCATGTAGCTTGCTTTGCTCTGTTTCTATCTGATGCTGCAATACATGTAGGTGTATAACCCTTTAATGGCCTTTTCACACTAGACGAATCTCGAGGTTGACGCTTGGCTGATGCTGGGTTGAAAACAAGTGGCGTTTACACACTTGAACACACTTTCAACCCTGTGCCAACCCTGAGAGTGATTTCGCCCCGGGTTGAACTCAACCCTGCTCCAGACCAGGGTTGAGATTTTCAATCGGGGTTGAAACTCTCGTCAGGGTTCAAAACAGTAGTAAAAGCTTGGTTTGCACGAAACAAGTATGAAATGATGTGGATTGAACACTGGGTCGAACAATAAATAAAAACTCAAGCCTTGGTGGCACTGGTTCGCTCAGGGTTGAGTTCAAACTGGATTGAGGTGCTCTAGTGTGAAAAGGCCTATAGACTCTGTGCACAAGTACCCCCTCAACAATTTGAAAGGGAGAGTTGGGGTAGACCACATTCCGACGTGTTGCCTATGACGCCTGATACTCGTCAGTGTTTTGTCAACATTTGGAATAAAAATAATGCGTTATTTGCATCATACCCATTGAACCAGTACACACAAGCGATGCGTCTCTGCTGGAGCTCTCAAAATGGTGTCATCTATGGGTTTGTGTGCACACAGAGTCCATGGAGACACACGGTGGCTGGTTAATCAGGATTTATGTCGGGTGTCTTTGCAAATGCATTTTTAGTCTGATGATAAGATCATTTCATTTGTGTGGTGGCTGGTGGGTTTTTTTTCTAATTGAAATGAAGGTTACTTTTATTTTAGAAGAAAAGGTGTGTGCTTCTAATCAGCATTGTTCACAGTAGACGTCTGCATTTTGTTTCATCAGAAATCGTGGATAAGAAGGGAGAGCCTTCTGCAGAATCACCCCGTCAAGATTCTATGGGTGTGGAGGTCATTGTAGCTGGATTGACCTTGGAAACAAAGGCAGAGAGGCATGAGGAGGGGGCGGAGCTTAGGGAACCGGAGGAGGAGGCAAATCCAGAGGAAGAGACAATAGATGAGGTGTCATCGGAGGACATCAAAGAGAAAGGTACAGTATTCATGAGTCATTCTAGATTTGAATCATTCTGTCATTGTCAGCCAAATAAATATATGGACTATAATCAGTAACTTGAGTGAATGGGACACACTTGGAGACTATAGATCAGTAAGCCTCACCCCAGAGTGTGTTGACCAATTACAGCCATGGGAATCTGCCTGCACAAAGGTCCCACATGCATGCACATACGGATACGTGTAAAAATAAAAAATGTTCTACTTCTGATCCTAAATAACTCTGTTGTTTACTAATGGAATTAAACCAAAATTTCAGATCATGTAAACAAGGCATGACACATTCCATGGAGCTAATTTCATCAGCTTTGTGCGAGAGGGTGAGATTTAAACCCCATGCCCAAAACATACTCACTTTCAGAATTTCGATATGATGGAGATGCTGGCGGAATGCACGTGCTGCAGCCGAAAGCTTCTGAAGGAATGTAGGATCACCCCTGATGTCATTGCACACCTCAATCATGTTTTGCACCAAACAATCAAAGAGGTGTGCAATGACATCAGGGGTGATCCTGCACTCCTTCCGAAGTTTTCCGCCGCAGCACACGCCTTCCTCCACCGTCTCCAGCACTGAATCAACATTGGAGGAAGCAAAGTAGAAACTGGCAGATTCTGAAAGTGAGTATTCTTTTCACGTGGTGTCTGAATCGCACCCTCTTGTACAAAGTTGATGTGTGTCATGCCTTGTTCACACGATCTGAAACTTTGGTTTAATTCCATTGGTAAACAACAAAGTTATTAAGTATCAAAAGTAGGACATGTTGTTTTGTCACGTCATATGATGTGTGCAGTTGGAATATCATGCAGTATGTCAGCGGAGAGGTGCAATGTTGCCCAATCCCCATGTGTGTATATTGTGTGGCGGGGGGGGGGGGGGGGGGGGGGATGGCTTATGTATAGGTCTATTGACTTGTGGCTATACATGTACATGTAGTCCAGTAATAATAGAGATCGGTATGGCATAGTTTTTATTCTGCTGGTTGATCTTTATTACAAGTGAATGAATTACATGTAGTTGTAGTTCAGAGATGAAGGAATCTGTCAATCTGATGATAGACATCTGTAGTTAAATCAGATTGTAGGATTGCAGCAGTTGCTTGTGCATTTGGTAGTAACTCAAACATTTTCCAACTAGATAAAAGTTATCATTAGAATTAGGAACATGTTAGCTAGACAGCCTACATGTGCACCTGACAAAGGTATATTTAATATGTAGGGTTGGTTCAGTTATATGGTAGTCGCGATTGGTGTACATAGTTGCCAAAGTAGTTTTTTTTATTTGCTCTTTCTTTTATTTCTTTTTATTTTTCATTTTTTTTAGTTCGCGACTTCAATGGAAGGGTGTCTTTCACTATCAGTGAAATGTGTTCAGATCATGACTCTGAAATTTGTTCTTAAATCAATCTGCTATTTCAAAATTTTGGAAATATAAAATATAAAAAAAAAAAAAAAAATTATAAAAGAATAACTGTAAAATTAAATCACAATTTTTTGCACTTTCTTTATGTGAAAACAACCGCCATACATTTGTAATCCTTTTTGCACAATTTGCTTTGTAGTAAAACGAATACTTTTCAATTGCACATGAATAGAATAAGCAACTCTTTAGTTTTTGCATGGTAGATGCTAGTTACTTCTTGTTTTGAAATAATCATTTTACATTTCTTGACTGTGCAGTTCCTTTCACTGAGTGTTTATTAACCCTTAATCACCCCAACTCCATCAAAATCCATCCCCCATTTTGGTGGATTTTAGGGGACTTGGTCCAGGAGGCCTGGCGGGACTAAATATTGATGGAGTATGATGGACTTGGGCCTAATGGCCTGAAGCAGTGCTAAGGATTTTGCCTAGCTTCCTGTACTGCTATTATGATAAAAGCCATGTGTAGCAAGTCCATGAATGTCAACCAGTGCGTCAGTGGTGCATTCCATTATGTCATGTGCAGTTTTGTATTGGAAGCACAGTGATTGATGGATTTTGATGGACTTGGTCCAGTTCCAAGTAAAAGACGCTAGGGAGTATTAGGGTTAAACTGATCCTCATTTATCAGTGGTTTAGATGTTCATATAAAATGCTAAATAGTAGGCTACTTGTATCATGAACTTGTATTACTTTGAAGGGCATACCAGCATGGGCAGGTTTCCAAAAACAAAAAGCCAGAACATCTTACTACTTACCAAATTTGTTTGTAGTGATGCGCACTTAACTGATGCTCACTGTGCTGCCCACATTGCTTAAACATGGGCCCTCGTATATTTTATATACTGTTTTAATTTGAGATTTTATTTCTGCATCTTGCCTGCACACCAAGGCATTATATTTGTTTGTTTTATCATAAAATGATCGGTTGAATTTCTCCATTTCTTTGTGGGGAGATAAGCTTAACTCTCTGATTCCCCTCATGAGCTTGTTCTTCAAGGTGATTGTGTCTCTTTTCCTTTATCTTGGTGTTTACATGTATGTAGTTTTTGTTTCTCACAATAGTTTTGTATCTTTCTTTCTTTGTGTTCCTCTTGTGATTTCTTCAACTTCAGTAGCTCTTCAAGCATCTAATTCTTCTCATGCAAATTCTAACAATGACCATGGTGACAGGGATTTAATAAATCACATGGCTGAGACAGTCCCAGCCACTCGCCTTAAAAAACTGACTCAGAAAAGACCAGTAAAAGTCTATGCAGTCTATGATGAAACTGCAGCACGGGATGGACATTCCATACCAGCAGAGGGCGCTGTTGTCAGACGTTTAAGAGCCAAATCAGACTCTTCGGTTCTTGAAGTGCCACTCAGAGTAAGATCAGGCAGGTCGTTATCTGTGCTGGAGAAAGCTAAACCTCTTGAAGGTTTGAAGTTAAGTTGTATACAGGAAAGCATTGATCTAACGGAAACCCCCTCAGTAGCCATAGCAACAACCAGCAGTGAGAGTGCATCATCTCCATCAACGATGGTGACTACTACTGATCAGTACGTGGCTATCAGCCAATCACATGAGACATCAAGTAGTGATGTCACGCCTGCTCAGGATCTACATGATGAAAAGCAAACAAGTTCAACTGCTGACAAATATTTCTCCTTATCTCCTTGGTCCACAGGTTAGCTGATAATGACATTATTTGTCATGAACTCATCAATTCACTGCTTGTTGTGCAGTCACATGCTGTTAACATTAATGCTTGCTAAGAGATGTTGCCTAATGCTGCTTACAACAATATTACTCTGCCGTCACTCATCAGGATAATTGATACATGAGCTTTAAACAGGACTTGTTGTCATCATTTTGCTTATCATAAACCTAGCATCCGAAAATTCCTAAGGAATTCTAAATATAGTACACTTCCGGTAAATATGGAAAGTGTTTTAAAACTTCATTTATACAATACACATACATGTACATGTTTGTTTGGCACACTTGTGATTTGTTCTGTGAGCACATTTCATCCAGCCCAGCTGTAAAGGAAATTACTGCATTGGATCCGATATCTTTCTATTTATTAAAATCAAGCAATAATCACCTGACATGACAGCAAAGGCAGTAGCCAGTTTAATTGCTTTATTGGGAATTTGACGTTCAATTTATATTGTGCTCCAAATGCTGCTGTATTGCACTCCCGTTTCTCTTCTTATACATGTACATGTACATGTACCTTAACGTACTAACATCTTTTTGTATTCACATGATCAGCGCCCAAGCAATTGTTTCTTGCTAGTTACATGTTGACAGCACTCCCAGCCACATGAAGTTACTCTGACTAATCTAAATACAAGTAGATAATTAACCATTGTTGACTGCTGTGATGTGGGATGCCGTTTTTAACAACCGAGGGGTATATATCCCACGTCACAGCAGTTAACAATTGTTTTGTTATATCGTGCCAAATATCAAGTCAAAACGATACACGATTGTAATTTACTCTGTAAGAAATGAATCAAATCAGTGCGGTCGACCTTTGATACAACTGTACATTGCAGGCTTTCCTGCCGGACATGAGCGGTTGTGCATTGCATGCAGTTCTCAGTTGCAAGTGCGCATGTACAGTCTACACGCGCGCGTGTAGTGCATTGTATGAGGTTAACCATTAACAGACCAGACACGTGGCCGTTCTCGACCAATGAAATTACAGTATCCAAGCACACGATATAACAATAATGTTTAACACCTATGCTGACATTTTAGTTTAAAGTGACCTATGGTACAGTTCTGGTAATTAGTGTATCTATTCATGCATTTCATTCTTGCTTTTTGGAATGAATTACAGTAGGCCCATACCTTGAGTTAATGTTTCCCTTAATCACTTAATATTGATTTAACACATTTTGGGCTGTATGCTTGTCTATTTGATAGTAACCTATAGCGTAGTACTACTGGTTCAAAACAGTACTGTAATTAGTTGCTGAATAATAGTAAATAGTTTAATATACATTGCAGCTTTGTTTAATATTGTATAATAGAGTCAGTTTAGCAAGTCATACATGTAGGTTGAATCTTGAGTTACGTGTATCACATTAGTGGCCTTTCTGCTGTGTGGGCTTTTCTAGCCTAACAAACAATAAATAGTAATAACTGGAATCAAACGTGCTTGTATATTATTGTGGACTATACAAAATATCTTGAGGCAGTTTGATATATGTTACAGATTTTGTTGTAGCTACAGCTACAGTTTAAAAGTTATTAGTTAATAATTGCAACAGTCTCAGTGACATGTAGCGCATCATGTTCATGCTTTACACCTGTCAGATTTCTAATGTAAATGGGTGAATAGAGTCTACTGAATCACGTTTCACCCATGAATCAATAGGGCTAGGAGGGATTGTTATCAAAACATCATACATGATGTTATACAGTATGATGACTTTAACTATAATAATAACATTATTCAAGTCTAAATTCAAGTCCAATCAGAATTGCTGTTATTATACATAATGCATGCTGTCCCGGCTGCAGGGATTCTTTGTAACAGTTCACAATAATTCCTGATAGCCATAGTTTCACACAAGGAAGTAGGCCATCAGGCATGCAACTTTTCCTTGGATCTGCTGATTTCCTCGTTTTTTACTTCTCATGAATGCCAAATTACATATTGAAAAGTGCTGTACAAATTATTGTGTGGTTTGAAATTTCCTTGTTTTTTCTAAATTCCCAGTTGCATGCCTGGGCCATACATTCCCAGCTGTCTGCTGACACCATATACCATGCAAAGCATTCCAGTGAAAAGATCAATTTCATGTCTCTACTATACTTATAAAATGTCTTCTTGTTTCTCAACAGACAAAGACGCTAAAGCCAAGATGGAATTGCTTTCTCACATGATGAAGATGAGTCTAGATGAAGACAGCAAGGATACAAATGATTATCCTCCTCACACCCAGGCTGATGACACTCATGATATGCTGGAGGAGAAATCAGTCCATGCTCTTGCTTTTGAAGTAACCAGGGAAGCAACGATAGATTATGAGGATGCAGACAAATCTGTTGAAGCTCTAGGAGAGGAAACTGAAGATGTGGCTGAGGTTGAAGAAAGTCAGAAGAAAGTTGATGATGAGAAGACAGAGTCTGCACAAATGACAGTGGAAAAGAAAGAAAAAGTGGATGAAAGTCCAACGAAAGTTGAAGATGAAAAGCAAAGTCCAGTAATAGCACCAGGAGGAGTAGCAATGCAGAAGTTAAATGAACAATATGCAACACTGCAAGAACAACTAACTGCCTTACAGAAACAGATGGCTATGCCTCAACAAGCAGGCATCATGGAAATACAGATGCAACAACTTCAGCAGCAGATTCTGCTACAGCAGCAAATTATTAGTCAGATGATGATGTCACCTCAGCCAATGGTAATGCCTCTTCCATACCAACAGCCAGTGATATCGCCACAGCAACAGATGATGCTAACTCCACAACAGATGATGTCACCCCAACAACAGATGATGTCACAACAAATGATTTCTCCACAACAACAAATGATGACACAACAAATGCTGTCACCTCAGCAACAGATGATGATGTCCCCTCAGCAACTCCTGATGACCCCTCCGATGATGTATCCTCAGGTTTCACCTGTTTCTCAAAACATCACACAACCAAAAATGTATGCACAACAAATAACATCTACTGCTACTGTTCAGGCTCAGTCTACTCCCATCTCATCAACACTTGAGCTGAATGTTTCAACAGAGTCTGCTCAAGACGATGCTTCGCCAATTCAAGATGATGGCTCTCCATCTAAGGATGATGTCTCTCCATCTAAGGATGATGGCTCTCCATCTGGGGATGATGGCTCTCCATCTAAACATGATGATGTTCCAACCGAAGATGACCTACCCATTGTGGATAATGTAGTAACCAGTGAAGTGGATACCAGTGAAGTTCAAGCTGAGCCAAGACCTCTTTCACCTCCAGTGAAAGCAGATGAAGTGTCTGTAGGTCATCCAACCTACCATTTTGCTCGATCACGAGATGTTCCTCAAGGTGAAATCAAAGTTGTCAAAGCATCCCCACCAAACACTCTGCGAGGTCCTAAACAGCACCAGAGACCAACTCTCTTACAAACACCTGAACCCTCTGAAAAGAAAGAAGAGACTGAACCTGAAACCAAGGACCACTCTAATATTGATGCCAAGACAAATAACGCTGCAGACGAAGTTCATGCAGAAGTGGATGCTAATCATAATCCAACACCAGAAGGCAATGGCATTGAAGACAAAGTTGATGCGTCCAAGACAGAAGACAAAGATGATGCATCCAAGACAGAAGACAAAGTTCATGCATCCAAGACAGAAGACAAAGATGATGCATCCAAGACAGAAGACAAAGATGATGCATCCAAGTTAGAAGACAAAGTCCACGCATCCAAGACAGAAGACAAAGTTCATGCATCCAAGACAGAAGACAAGAACGCTTCAGAAGAAACTTCCTCCATCAGTGCATTTGCAGTTGCTGAATCCACTGAGCCAGTGTCTTCCAGTAAACCCAAATCACCCAAACAAAAGAAATCAGGCTTCAGTTTATTTAAAAAGAAAACACCCAAGTATTCATACATCTTGTCTGCGCAGAAGGAGTTCTCAAGAAAGTCTGAGACAGAACGCCAACGTACAACTTCCAATCCTCCTAAACCGACTGACCTCAAATCAGAAGGTGGTCAAGGAAACAGAGGTAGGGCTCATACTCTTGATTCATATGATCCAAGTAAGGCAAGTTGTGGTGTGAACTTTGACCCAGGTCAAGCTGAGTGTCAAAGAGAAATGGCTAAGAATGTCCACATTCCTCCCAATCTAGCAATGAGTACATCTGAAATAAATCCCAGTAATGACCAGCCTGTAATACCTCCTCGCTCCTCCAAGTCCAAAACAACCGATACCAAAGTTATTGTGGCAAAATCATTCCCGCAGGAAATGACAACTGGGTCTCCTAGTCCTTGTCCTTCAACCACGGTCACTAACACAGCACATTTATCTAATATTAGTCCCATTAACACGATACCAGTTTCCTCATCTGATGAAATGTCTTCCATGACAAAGCCTACACCTAGACATCGCACAGTCTCATCCCCAGTAGAATCTAAGACTCGTGAACAAACTGTAAACAAATCTCCCAAATCTCAGCCATCTCCTAGTCACCAAGTAATTCCTGAACTTCCCTCCGAAAAATGTTCTCCCCTCTCCTCACAATCACTTGAGGTAGTCTCCCTTAATTCACCTGGAGACAGTCCAATACCCCCAGTAAGAAAGATGCATAGCAAACCTAATGATACCTGTAAGACACAAGTCATAGGCATTGAGGTACGACCAGAGAGGGCAGCTACAGAGGGCGCTCTTTATGAAAGGCGAGCTCGGATCCACAATTACAGATCGGAGGAAGAAGAACAAGCAAAGGTCAAAGGGGATGCCAGTGTGTCACAGCTGAGACAGGTGGGGTTGTGATCACTGCATTCTAGCCATGATGCATGTAGCATGAGTGGCGCTTACCGCTGGCTGTTGACACTCCATAATCCATCCCACAATGGCCCACCTCACAATCCACGCAGGCATGCAAGGGCTCCCTCTATCACGGTACCCTCCAGTGTATCCTTCCTTCCCATGTTCCACAGGAGAAAGCTCGGTCTGATTAGCAGGGGAAATTTGGGTGGCCTAAGTTATTTTCTGGAGGGAGGAAACTTGATGGGTTCACAAATTTGGAGTTGGGGGGGGGGCAGCACAAAGGGATGGGTTCCAGCCCCTTGACACCAACCCCCCCCCCCCCCCATTGACTGCGCTGCAATGTTCTTCTGCCCACACACCATTACATGACCATATCATGACCTTCACCAGTCACATCCCTGTCCCTGTACCCCAGTCTCATCGGTCATTGTTGCAGGCCCCAAAAGGCCAGCGTAGTGTCCTCACATATGTCTCCCACAAATACCATAGAATCCATGCAACTTTGCCAACCCACCCAGATTTTGCAGCCAAAAAAAAGAAAAAAAAGGACGAGCCAAAAAAAGCTCCCAACAAGCCACTCACCCTGTTATATTTTCAATGCAATTGAAAACATTACCTTTTTTTCTGAGCCTTATTGTTTAAAAATTGATTTAGTGTGCCTCCAAGTCCAATGCACTGTGCAATTCGTACATTATAAAATCCAGGTCAAAGGGCATCTACATGTCCATCCCCTAAGCATCTACTTGCCCTGCTCATCCATTACGCTTTGGTGAATTGTTAGTGGTTTGCCTTACAATATTTGACAATGATTCTGATAATGAATTTAATATCTATCCAAAGGATGCTGATAAGAGAAAAATGTTAATGAAATAACACCCCTCACCCCCCCCCCCCCCCCACCACATCCAAACCTCTGGATCCACCAATGCATGGCTGCACCCTCACCTCAAATAGACAAATAAGTTGGATAGTTCGCATGTTGCCTCAGCTATCCCTGTTCACCTACACCTACACATCACATACAGTCCATGGGGGAATCCAATCTTTCACCCCTGCACACCCCTCTCTCAGCCACACTAGTACTCTCACCCCAATGCGTACATTTGGGATATAAGTGACATGTTGCACAATACGTAGGGAGTTGAACATCCTCAATCGTTTCACAACCACATTACACATACATGTTGCTTAAACTGTCCCGTTTTTTGTAGATAAAGTACTCGGTTTGTTCCCATTGCTATGCTTCACAAATCTACTTCAAGCACTGTATTTGCTTTATGAAGGTTTTGGTTGTCATGGCTTCAAGTCCCAGCTCAGTATCAGTTGCATCTTTTGGCTTTAGTTTTTATATAACAAACTCTAATAAGTTCCCATTTTTTGGAGACCATGGTGGCCGTTGCTACCTGTATTTTCATGGATTTATAAAGTTTTTTCTTCCGATATTCTCCTGCAGATCTTTGGCCAAGGTAATCCATGACATGTAGGAGGTTATCACCATGGCAACAGATGCTTATTAGTCACCAGGTAAATTGCTCTAAAACAACTTTATGAGAGTCTATTTTTCGGAGTGTTCTGGTTCTTGGTGAGTCGGTAAAATTCTCTAAAGAATATCACTTCAACTTTTTCAGAGTCTTTGTAACATTCAGTACTTTTTGTGATTTTGGCTCAATCTTTAAAAAAAGGACTCGATGTTTCAAGACATGGAAACATCAAACTCTGTCACTTCGTAAGAACTTTCCTTTTTTTTGTGGAGACCCTGATTGCAATTGCTATTTTCATGGATTTGTGTTATTTGTCTCTTAACTTCTCCCTCAGGTCGTTTGCCGGGTATTCCATGACACACAGGAGGTCATCACCATGGATACGGATGTCGATTAGTCACCAGGTAATTTTTTTTGTATATGCATTTGTGAGACATGTTTTCTCTGGGAGTCTATTTTGTATAACATTCAGTACTAATGAAAATGATTATTGGCTCAATATTTAAACAATAACTGTTAATGTTTCAGAGAAAAGAAATGACATTCATTATTTTGTAAATATGTCATTAAAAAAGTGGGTGAGAATGTTATTGTACTTGATTGTAAGAGATGTACTTGATTATAAGAGATGTAATTTGATAATATGGCATTATCCATTTGATTATTTTAGTAGGTTATGTGACTTTTTATGTACATCAACATTTGATAAGTGAAGCACCTATGCAAGCTTGTCATAAATACCATTGACCAACACATTGGAAGTCCTGAAATTATTGTTTGTGTTGACCGCATATTTTGAAAGTACAATGTGACTTCCATGTAACTGAATTCCATTGCCAAATCTAATTGCAAATTAACCTTGCATGACAACTAGTCATTACTTTGAAATTAGTTGTTCACTTAACTGTATCGACCAATTTTTGTTTTGCTTTTGGAAATGAAGTTACTTGAAGAAACAAAATGTTGTACCCACGCTTTACTGTTTATATTTTTTATTAAATAAATAAAGAAATGTATTGTTTTTTTGCTGATATCTACAAGTAGATATTTTAAGTGTACAAGTTCTGTTATACATGTAGTTATACTGTAAGTAGGTTTTGCAAATAGGCAAATTTCCAATTTATTAACATAGTATGTATTCATCCTTCTGTGGTCAAATGTATTCACAAATATACTATATCTTTACTGCCCTCAATCAGCTAGAGCTGTGCCAAATATACCAAATATTTGATTATCAAACAATTATCCAAATAACATTTTCTTAATTCAGATATTCAAAACATGTGAGAGGTTGAGGAGATGATGCAAAGTCCATAATGCTCTTATGATTGCATGAGTTGCGTAGTTTGATTTTTGTTTTCAATGAAGCACTTTTGTCCAAATCCACTTTTGCATATGATTTGGGAGCTCTAAGGAGAAGTCTAGCTCTAATTTCTTTACAACTGATAAAATATCAGCTGTTCTGCTTCTGCTTCTTGGTCATGTTTGTATTACATGTACTTTAAGAGATCTTTATTAATTTGACAACTGCAAGAGCAAGCAAATTCCAAATTAGAATATTAAAATGCTAAATTATTCCTAAATGCACAGCCCTAAAATCTGCCCAAGGTAGGTATGTACTGTGTATAACTAAAAGTGTTATCTATATGATTTGAGTACTTAAATCGTGAGATGTTAAATGGAAAAAAAAAAATTTTTTGTATATTTTATTCAATATTCATGCAATTTTGATATTGAAAATATTTTAATTGACTGTTTTTGAGTGGGCACCTGTATTAAGTAACACATAGTAACAGACACAAATTTCATGACGTCACTGTGACTGGGTCTTAGTTGTTACATCCAATTGAATGTCAGCGTAGTGAATAGTAACACACATGTATGCATTAAGAGCGCAGACGTGGGCTAAGCCTAAATGCAACTCCAAATGCGATGCCAGAAAATTTGGTCCATAGACATGACTGCCAAACCGAGAGAGATGTTTGGGAGGGGGATGGGCACTGTTGAATATAGCAAACATTTCCACACTTATATGTAATACATGTTTGTTTGCAAGGTTGTACTCGCTTTGTAATCACAAAACGTTCGGATTCTAACAGCTTGTTTGTATATTTTTGTTGACTTCGGTGAAAGTTATTGTGAATACTGTTATATTTAAAGAGACTGATGTACAAAAGTATTACCATATTTACATTCATTAATATGTAGTTTAAAGGAATATATTATTTAATTATGATTTTTTGAGTAAGCAGTATTGTAGGAAGTAGTCATAATATTGAAATCAATAGGGGCCTATAACATTATATACTGACAATCGTACTTAAAGATAATTCCCTCTGCTATTTTGAGTTTCATCCTGTAAAATGATTTCTTTTCTAAACAGCGGTTTTTCTACGACATCAGCAAAAAGGTCGGATCACACTTAGTTATTGAATTATTAGTTAAAATATTTCAAACTTTGTATCCTGACAATAATTATGTGTTCACCCGGATCACCCCAAATCAGTAACAATGATATATGGACCAGGAGTCTGCACGGCAGATTTTTTTGTGCAAATATACAAACCTTTTTCAGAGGATGTCTAACACCCAAAAATGGGGGATTTTCCTTGGTGAATATAACATTACAAGTTGAATATTTATTAGAGAAAAAAATTACTGAAAAGTAATGGAAACGCACCGTTAAACCTCATCATAAAGTGTCATTATTATATTGATACTTTTTATATTTTTTAGTAAAATCGCTATTTTTTTCTGTGTAAATGTATATTACCATGAAAAGATAACACTGGGTATACATGTAGTTACATTCATATTTGTTTAAGAGGCATGTTAATCTGGAAATTATTTCACTATGTATTCAAATTACAATGGTTATTTGTTATCTTCATGCTTCAGCAGATATACCACATTAAGTTTCATTATAACAGTGTGCATGTACATGAACTTGGCGTATTTTAGTATTGTAAATGCCAAAAGAATAGCCTTTATATTTATACATGTATTCATTGTTAGCGAATAATTTAAAAATTCTTTGCCCATGTTTAAATAGCTATCTTAAATCAATACAAAAATTATTCACCATTTGGATTAGTGTTCCTCTGACTTTCAAAGGAAGTTCTGCATTGTTTTGTGAAAAGTCAATTTTTTGCCAAATTTTGATAAAAATGTAAGGCTAACCCCTTGCATTTTTTTCAATTTTGACCAAACAATGAAATTCCTTGAAAATTGCTAGAAAGATGCCAAAGGGACCCTAGAACACATTTCAACTCCATTTGTAGAAAGACTTGCTTTTCAAAAGAAAATATGGACCAAAATTTGTGGGAAATCGGTCAAAAATGTTCATTTATTTCTCACAAAATTGTTGATTTTTGCCCAAATCTTTAAAATAATTGGTGTTTAAGTATTGATTTGTGCTCCTCTGACTTACAAAGGAAGTTCTGCATTGTTTTGAGAAAAGTCAATTTTTTGCCAAATTTTGATAAAAATGTAAGGCTAACCCCTTGCATTTTTTTCAATTTTGACCAAAAAATGAAATTCCTTGAAAATTGCTAGAAAGATGCCGAAGGGACCCTAGAACACATTTCAACTCCATTTGTAGAAAGATTTGCTTTTCAAAAGAAAATATGGACCAAATTTTGCGGAAAATCGGTCAAAAATTTTCATTTATTTCTCAAAAAATTGTTGATTTTTGCCCAAATCTTTTACAATAATGGGTGTTTGAGTATTTATTTGTGCTCCTCTGACTTACAAAGGAAGTTCTGCATTGTTTTGAGAAAAGTCAATTTTTGCCAAATTTTGATAAAAATGTAAGGCTAACCCCTTGCATTTTTTTCAATTTTGACCAAAAAATGAAATTCCTTGAAAATTGCTAGAAAGATGCCGAAGGGACCCTAGAACACATTTCAACTCCATTTGTAGAAAGATTTGCTTTTCAAAAGAAAATATGGACCAAATTTTGCGGAAAATCGGTCAAAAATGTACATTTATTTCTCACAAAATTGTTGATTTTTGCCCAAATCTTTTACAATAATGGGTGTTTGAGTATTTATTTGTGCTCCTCTGACTTACAAAGGAAGTTCTGCATTGTTTTGAGAAAAGTCCATTTTTGGCCATTTTTATATAAAAATGTAAGGCCTACCCCTTGCATTTTTTTCCATTTCGACCAAAAAAATGAAATTTCTTGAAAATTGCTAGAAAGATGCCGAAGGGACCCTAGAACACCTTCCAACTCCATTTATAGAAAGATTGCTTTTCAAAAGAAAATATGAACATTTTTGACTGATATCCCCCAAAGTTTGGTCCATAATTATCACAATTTTCATGATTGGTGTCTGAAGGTTAAACACATTGTTAACGAAGTTGCCTATATTTACTGTAAAGATATTTACATGTATTAATTAATGGACTTGATTTTCTATAATGGAAGGTACATGTATTTGTAGCAGTAGAACGGTATCCTTGACAAAATGTACATGTACTTGACTGTATTATTGAATTCAGCATTAATGAAATGTTATACATCTATACACATGTACTAGTACTTTGAAACCTTTTCTGTAAACGCTGACCGTTTAATCATACATGTGCCTTTACAGTCAACAGAATTGTGCCATGTAGTTATTATGACTCTGCTATATGCAAACTTTAGTGTTATTACTGTTAACTGAATTTTCTTTGATGTACATGTGCTTTTGATTTGGAACCAAATACAGAAATAAATACCCACACCATGGTATGGCAAAATATACTTTAGCATTGTTACTCTCTTGTCCCTATGTTTGTGTTTACTCTACTTGTTTAAGTCTAAGTAGATAGACACTATTAAAAGCGCTTAAAATAAATGTTTTGAAAAGTCTACTTCCCACACAACCTTGATAAATTTTATAAGTACAAATTATCAGTGTGAGAAATTTTATAAGTATAAAGTATAAGTGAGAGAAATTTTATAAGTACAAATTATCAGTGTGAGAAATTTTATAAGTACAAAGTATCAGTGTGAGAAATTTTATAAGTACAAAGTATAAGTGTGAGAAATTTTATAAGTACAAAGTGTCAACCACTCAAATAATAATTTCCCAAGCAAGTTGATCAGCCCAGACCCAAGTCCCAAGTTCCTACCCCAGACCCAAGGCCTCTACCCCTCAGCTTTCAACTCTCTCTGGAGACTAAGTCAGAACATCCTAAGGGTTTTAATTACCGGAATTCTTCCTTTTTTAAGAAAAACCCGGTGGTGTAGCGGTAAGAGTGTAGGGCTACATACCCAAAGGTTCCCGGTTCAAGTCCCACCCATGCACAATTTTGTCAGAAAACTTAGTATATATTTTAAAAAAAGTCTAAAAGCTCCTCAGGACGGCCCAGGATCTGAACCGGGGACATCCCGGTTCGGATCCTGAGCGCGTCCTACTGAGCTAACTGCTTCTTGATAAATTTGTGTTCAGACCTTATATATAAACCTTAGGTTGACACATTGCGAAACATCATGAATATTCATGATATGAATATTCATCAAATGCAAATTAAATACAATTTGCTCATTAAAAAAAGGAAATATACCAGTATGCAAATTACTGGGTTTCGTTCAGCATATGCACATGAGGGGGGGGGGGGGGGGGAAGAGAATGCTTGTCAAAATTTGGTTACGTGCACATCCAAAATTTGTCATTCCAATTTATATAAAAACTGTAAGGGCTAACCTTGCACTTTTAATGGAATTGGATCAAAATTAATTTATCACAATATAACCCAAGCTTAAAATAATCTGCTAGGCCCTAATTTTTTTTACAATTGTGGATTTTTATCAAAAATAAACTCAACTAACAGAATAAATGCAATTTAACACAAGATATGCCGTCAAACTCATTTATTTGAATTTCAGAACAAATGTTAAACCGAGACGTTATCAAACTTCCCTAATTTAACATTAAACTTCTGACCATCAAGAGAGCAAAACTGATAAACGGAAGAAAATACAGTGTTTGAAATATTTACTTACATCTCTAACAAAAGTAATAGTCTTCACTAAAAACTTTCTCATGCAAAAAAAAAAGTTCACAGTTTGGAAATACATGTACAATGGCTGTAAAATTAGGGAAGCTTGGCTAATTCAAATTTCAGCTTTGCTTAAATGCTTGAAAGTTTGGTAAGTCATCAATTAAAACATTAAATAACAGCAACTGGTCCGAAAGTCTGTAAAGTTATAAAATTGGCAAACAAGGCAATTAAGTGAGAATAACTTGGTTAGAATAAATGTACTTAACGATGCAACCGTCACAATCACAACACTGGGGGGGTTTTTTGGGGGGGGGGGAGGGGGAAAGAAATTGTAAGGAATAAGTTTAAATGTCGATATAAGACAAAAATAAACTGAATATGCATTAAAAGATGACATTGAGATTACAACATACATACATGTCCATGAAATTACTGACTGGATTTTTTAAAGACTTAATTGTTGTAGCTATGGCAACAAGTCATCAGTAAGCAGAAACTCACACATCATCTTGCACTTTGCAGAGTGCATTTCAGCCACACATAGCTGCCGTCACAAGGCCGATGCATGGACCATGAGTCTTCGGCTGAAAGGAAAAGAGGATAACTTTTTTTAAAATGAGTTAACAACTTCAAATTCAGGCCGAGTCTGAGATAATTTTTTAGCCTGAGGGCAAATTATACGGTGTTTTGGGCCAGCATCTATTTCTTAAAAAACAAAATCCATCACAAATTCCCAACTTGTGATTATCACAATGTACAATTGTACAAAGCATGATTTCATGTAAGTAATTAAGTGGCTGCAGAAACAAGGATTGTTCGCTTGTGCTGAACTAATTATTAGACATCTTATCAATAACCCAAGTTGCCTGTTGTTTTTTTGTATTTCTAATTTGTATGTCATAAGAGTCTGCCTTCATATTAGCATATTCTATAGGCTGTGAGGGATTTGCCAGCATCCGCATATTTATATCCTATGACTTACAATTATGTGCTCACAGGGAATTTATTTATTTTATTTATTAATTTATTTGCAACCAAACTTGAAAAGAAGTGGTTGGATTATAAACAAAGACACATCAAATCTTACACTAATTGTAAAATTGAACCTTAACAAAAAAATGTAAGTTAGAATGAACACAAAATATGGACAAAAAGAAAGTGAAAAACAAAGACAAAGAAATGTCATTGAACCACACACAAATCAGCCAAACAACTCACAATAAGCAGAAAGTTTCCACACTTGCGCTGCAAGCACGAAATTCTTTTTAAATGAAATTTTGCTGAGCGGATCAACTCACCTTTGATTAAATGTCACATCACTGCAGTAGGATTCTGCAAAGACCGTTTGATGGACGTATGTCAGTGTGTTGCCAGCGTAAGGTGACCAGATAAATTATCTGCAACAAATGGCAAAGACAAATAAAGATTAGTCCTTTGTCTGTGAACATCTCGAAGAAATACATCAACCAAATTGATGTGACCTGCTCTGAGAAAAAGAGTCAGATGTCTAAAAAAAAAAAAAAAAAAAAAAACTTCACACTTTTATTCCATTTTTTTTGGGAAAACGGTTTTTAGGCATGTTTTGAACCTGAATGGAAAAAAATGATGAAGAGGAAGTCAGGGTTTGAATTTTTCCCTCAAGGCAAAGTATAAGATTTCACTGTGGTCCAAAATTGTAGAAATTTATCAAATGAACAGAGTGATGCAAAGATTTCATTGATGCATGGTTGATTTGACCAAAAAACCCCAAAACAAACAAATGTGTGACACTTCGAAAACTAGACTGAATTTCTGAGAGCAGGTCAAATATCCTGGTAAGGTCAGTTCAAACAGGGCCACCACGAGAAGGTCCCAGGATACCAGCCCCAACACGCTTTCAGTATCGTCAGGCCCATTGCTGGATAAAAGGTAGGCCCCGGAGGGCCAGACACAGTTATCGACTGTCCGGTCCGCCCGCCCAGCCCCGAAGGACCAGGAAAGCACCCTAACCTATATGCGTGCCCCCCTAAGTCCATCCCCCTTACGGGTTCATGCGGTCTGATAGGAAGTAGCAGCGTTTGCCGGCTGTGAATACAGGGCCACGCCCCTATAAAGAGGGACGCACTACCTGCTCCTTTATGGCACGGCATCCTAGGGTTTCCAGGCCGCTGCGTAGGACCCACGCCCCACGTGGAAGGCGGACCTACCACGCGGACGCAACTCGCCCCTTGAATCTGTGCTGGATTTTCGCCGCACCTCAATTGAAGCACCCAGTCAGACTCCAATTAGTAAACGATACCGCCGCACCCACCTAAGCCCTAACGGCATAGGGATATAGGAGATCCCATAGCCTTGAGTTCTCAGAGGGATATAGGAGATCCCCTGAACTAAGAAAAAAACCCTATTTATTTAGTGAAATTTGTATCATTTCACTAATAGATGATGAACATTTATCAAAAAAGATTGTCCCTGTGGAAGTACGTGTTTATGCCCTAAAGGCGGTGCACAAGATAAATTTAATTAGTGGAGCCTTGCAGCAGGGATGGATCAGGGAGCAAGTTCCTTAACTTTTACTTGACAGAAATACTTCACTTGGCCACTAAATTGTCCAACGTTTAGTTTCAAGATACCAAATTCTAAATATTTGAAATATGAATTTTCCCGCAAGAGATAATAGGTGGTGCAAAGATCAGCAACCGACTTCTTTTCTTCATTATACATGTATTGGTTTCTATCCTTGCTAACTCTTTTTGCTTCTTTCAATCAAGGAGTAAATGACACTTTGAAAATATTTCTAATATGAATGTTGACATTTGCTCTCCAGGGAGCTGATTGCCACCCAAGATCCGCCCCTGGATGGACGTAGGGATATAGAAGATCCCATAGTCCCGCTGGTCTTGCGTTGTAGGATGAAGGGATAAAGCAGATCCCACATCCCATCTTGGTCCTGGAGGACATAGGGATATAGGTGATCCCATAGTCCTGTAGTAAATCTTGCTGTGCTCAATTTGAGCCGATGACATACGCTCAATTTGAGCCGATGACCTGAAGAGAAACCACCACCCCACACAAACACATACCACCACCACCAAACCCCACAATCACAAACACATACCACCACCAGCTGCACAATCACAAACATTAATATATCTGAACCAACTCTGGGAAAAGTATTAAGTTTTGGCAGAAGAAAATAGTCGGTAGTTTATGAAGAATACAGTTAAATATTCATTTTTTTGGCGAAAAACATTCAAAATTGAAGGTTGGCCAGGAAATTGATTGAGTAAATCTAAAAACCAAGAAGAAGAAAAAAACCAAAACCAAAAAACAAAGTCAGATGTGCACCATTCAATATTTGTTTCCATTTGTCTCTTGTATCAAGCAAAATTCTTGCATTTAGTATTTAGGCTTAAGCCACTGGCCAAAAATAGAATGAACATACAAGTCAAAATTGGAAACTTTTTGAAACATTTTTCCAGAGTTGTTCAAAACAAAAACTAAAAAATTCAAGCCACTGGCTATGACTCACTCTGCACAATCCATCGAAAGCCGCTAGCAAACTGTAGTTGGGTCTGGAGTTCTTGAGGTCCAAGGAATCTTTGTGATCCGGGGGTCTTGAGCATGTCCACAGCTGTAACAAAATGGTTACCTCACCTTTAAATAGTGAACATGCTAGTCTTGTTCCCCCGGCCTCTTCTTGCATCGTCTCAACTTCGCGTCCAAGAAAGAGTACTTGTTCCAAAGACTGTATCTTGTGTTCTAGTGGAGCATGATCACACTGCTGCAAAAAACTTTGGATACCTGACCCTGTGAACATGCAGTCTTGTCCCCCAGTGTGATGTCCTGAAGCTGCAGAAACAAAACAAACAAAACAACAAAAAAGTTGTTTAATAGGAATATATAACTTTGAACAAACACGTGTTACAATTCAGCTCATATTTTGGTCACATTTCTGTTAATTATCTTTGTTTATCCATCAATAACAAGGAAAGAAGGTTGCAACCTGATGCCACTTTTTTCTTCATATTTATAACGCTAAACATCAGTCATTGCAAAAAGCTTGAAAAGACACGAGTATGTGACTGAGAAACATATAGGCCTATTCATTTTTGGGGGAAATACTTTGAGAAGATTTTCTTGACTCTCAATAGCCTTTGTATGAATTGGCCTGTGCATACCTTTCCCCGCCAAACAAATTTGCTGAAATGTCAAAAAAAGTCATGATTATGTATTCTTTTCCACCAAAAAAATCTTCAGGTTTTTAACATGAAAGTCCACATTTGCTGACAAATGGTTCCGAAGAAAACAAATTGTGGTAAGTTGGTTCCCTGCAATATCAGTGATGGTGTATTGATGGGCCTGGTTCTCCATAATCCACTTTTAATTTATTTAACTCACCAAACTTGTTGAAGACATGTAAGAGCATGCTGGTATGTCATAGATAGAGGGCAGGGTTGAATTTTTAAGGGAAATTTTGGAGTAAAATAACGATGACGACGACAAAACGCAATATGAAAATAAAGATTGCAATCACTGAGATTTACCGTGAATGCGCAAGGCAGGCAGATTCAAACAGCAACAACAGCAGCAAATAAACAGCTGTATCAGGTCACTTTGCCAAAATTTGACGTAAGCTCAGTGAGGGCGCAATCATCACAACCCGTGACATGATGCTTTCATGAACAATGGCTATTTTCTTGAAGTATATCAGGGCTGTAAATGGCGCCACCAACGCCAAAAAAATTCGTTCCCCACCCAAAAAAAAATTGTCCCCACCCCTTCCCCACCCCCATCGTGTGCGCCACTGGTCCATAACTAATTGCAGGATCGCTGCAATGGTGGCGGCACATATTTTTGCTGATCAAGCCAGGTTGCGGCCATAACCCCGTACCCGGCCATGGTTTTCAATCTCGAATAGGAACGCCATTTGTTTGCTATTTTCATTGAAATCCTTTAAAAAATTTACGAGTGTAAATGCAGTACAATAAATGATTCTCCGTTACATCTTTGGATGCCTAAAATGTTGACATTCAACCCTTAAAAAAAGAGGATTTAAAACTCACTTTCTTTTTCGCCAGTCCTTTGCTCTGCCCGCGAATACATGAATGACGCTACAGACCACGTGTGTCACGTCACGGTACGTCAGGCATACTGGTTCCCGGCGCCCTATTATCATCGTAGCAAACTTACATCTTGTATCGGGATGGAACCAGTTTGCCATTGGCTGGTAAAAATCCGTCGGGGCGCTTAAACCATTTTCGACAAAAAAAAAAAGAGGCCCCCATGCACCTCCAGCCGCATACTGTAACCTATACATCGGAAGTACATGTACAAAAGGGACACAATCGTAGGGCGCTATTTAAAATGCGTAAATTTGAGTATGCCAACTAAATACAACAGAGTAGGCCTATATGACAAAGTGAAACAGGGGCAGATTTTGTTTTATTGGAATTGTTTTATTTATACATGTATCCTTATTTACTAAATTATTTATTAATTATAATTTTTTTTTTGGGGGGGGGGGCGGAGAGGTTCATCAGCAAAGCAACGCTGACATGTAGACTGTTTTTCTCGGACAGTTGGGGGGAGGGGGTCTATGTTCATATTCAACGATCACAAACACTATATTAAAGAATCGTTGGATTTGAACAAATGCCTTTTTTCCTGAGCAAGTGCCCTTTTAAAAAAGTTACGCCCTTTTTTGCGCCATTTGCCGTTACGAGGTCTTTTTTGTTGTAAATTTCGCACCTGTATCGCCCTGAATTAAAAAGCACCATATTATTATCTGCTATTGTCCATAATCCACAAGTTTTGAACAGCGCCCCCATCGAAAGATTGTATTTTTTTCGGGGCCCTTAAAGGGAATGTACATCATTGGCTTTTGCTTTAATTTTCAGAAATGAACTATTTTGAGGGGTTAGTATAATAGATCAAATTATTGTTGCACTGACATGTTTGAAGTTTTGTGTTCGGAAATGCTGGAAAAACAAAGAAAAACAAAAATGTTCAAGTAGTCTGGTTCCCTGACTCCACTGAAATTGAATGGATCATTTTATAGATGCCGGAAAATTGTACGGTAAGGGAACCAGTCTAGCTGGTATGCCCCATTCATGAACATGCAACCAATAGGAAACAAAATTTGGACTGAAGAAAAAATTGTCAAGTTTGGAGCAGCAGTTGAAAAATAGTTAGGTTTTTCCAACGGTGGTCGGCCGACCACCGTTGGAAATGTATACAAAAATACCATTTACTTGAAAATTACTTCACACCAGGTGCCATAATTTTACAGCATGCTTTAGACTGTCATTTACCAACATCCTGTAAGGTATTTCGTAAAAACTTGGTAGTTTTATTTTCGATGCTTGCAAATGTTGTAATTTCCCTTTAAGCTAGCGAGCCCCGAACCCCACGCCGTATAGGCTTCGCACTCGAATTAGTTCTCATCAGGATACACGTTTGTAACCCCCCACCACACACACACACTTTTGAGAGGCGATTGACGCCCTTGGTTCCATAGTAGAGCTATGTGCGCTTTGTACAGTGCGCTTTGTTCGCTGAATTTAGTGTGGGTGGCTAGGGCGGAGTAGGCCCTACCGAACACTGGTGCCAAGGGCCTACGGAACACTTAATCCGGGCCTGCCCTTATTTCTGTGAAGTTTGGAAGAAGAAAAAGCCGAAACGAATAATTATGATGGTACAATGTATACACAATATTTTATTATATTTAAAATGGCAAAATAGTGCTTCAGTATAGGGTAAATTATTTGACAATATTACAACAAAATTTCGTTTAGGCCAACATGTTTTTGATACTGTTGTTCGCCAATAATTAATGACAATGAATTTGTGAAAACGAAAACTGGAAAGGGTGTCAATACAAAAAAGGGGCAGCATGTCCCACGCCAAGTCGATTCATACAGAAAATACGAAAACAAGGGAAATCCGCAACATCGCACCTCTTTTGAGAACCGAGCAAATAATTACGGCTTAGGCCATTGCCAAAAAAAAGTCTTCGGTTTCTGGTATGGAGCTTGCCCCAAAAGTGGTGCGGCGACGAGGCTTATTTTTTTCATTTAACTTTTTTTTTCTTCAAAATTAATGTCGGCTGATGACTGTAAAAGGTGCCCGACTAAATTTAGTGCAAAATGTATGGGAGCCAAGAGAGGCCACATAAAGCTTATACCCGATCGTAACCCCATCTAAAAACACGTTAAAATTGTGCAGCAGCAGGATTCCAGTCGAGAGTTTGGCAGATTCGAGACATCATCTTACATTGAAAAAAAATTAACGCTTTAATTTTGCCAACGCGCATGGCTATGGCGATGTGCGCGCATACCAGAAACCGGAGACTTTTTTTGGCCTGTAACTAGGGGCAACCATGACCTGGAACAGTACAGGAATAAATATTGAAATGGACAATAGAACATCTAAAATGCTGTTAACATTATTTTGAACAATGCAAACTTGAACTGATCGCATACACAAATTGTTGAATATTGAAAGACAATATACAATTTGACTGATCTTTCCCTGATTTTATAATCATACAACCAACAAGAGAACCGAAATAATCTCTACAATAATCTTGTAGTTGGCATTACAAAAAGAGGCAGGGCAAAATCAGAGTTTGTCAAACTACATTCTGCATCACAGACAGAAAAAACCAGTACTCTTCAATTTCCGCTCAACCAAGAATTGTTATTCTTGCTCGATCACATGCAGAGTATAGTTTACTGTATTGCTAAAAGACTGGCATTTGAAGCCAGACTTTTTACATTGGCACCAAGTGGGCGAAGAATGCATAGAACTTAGAAGCGTATGTGGACGGCTACAAGCTATCTTTCATTTCTAGACAAATGCATATTAGCCTACCTCGAAAGAAAGACAAATATTAACACTGGCAAATTGTAGCCTACGGAGTAACATGTGATTGTTCTTGGCGACCATTTTGAATTTTGGAGAAAAACAAAATTGCAGTTGGCCATAAAAGAAAATTCAAGTACATTTAAGTAGGCCTACGTGTACGACGAGCAAATCCTGAACTTGTTCATCATGTTCGCCATAATACATTTAATAGGCGTAGGCCTACTCAACGCAACAACAAAAACTTATTCTAAAATTTAAAAAACACAGTTGCCTTGGTTTCAATAAATTCTTTCTCTCTGTATAACAGTGGGGGTACGAAAACGTTATTGAGGGCGCCCTATCAAAATATTGATATAGCCTGCACAGTTATCAAAATTACAACCAAAAAATCATTTGTTACTGTTAGCATCTTCAGAAATAGAAAATGTACTGATAAAAAGTTAATGATTCATATATTTGATTTCCTAGCTATTATCGGTACGATATCCCTAAAATCATATAGAATGCCTCTTTGTAGTCTAGTCATGCGTGGATTGCGCCTTTTCAACAAACTTCTATAAAAATTTAAAAAAAGCCCAGTCGAATTGATCTGAAAATTATTGGTTGTTTCCACCGGTTACCAACAGTGAAATAAAATAACATAAGCAAATCATGCACAATTATATCCTTAGCTTTGAGCCGTATTAGCTTAGCAGCTCCAGAAGAAGTCTGGTATGCAATCAATAGTTTCCATCTCTTTGAAAGTTAACATATTACTAATAACCACAATTCAAGAGAAATTTTACAATAATAATACCCTTTCAGGATTCCTCTAATAATGAAGCGCACTTCTGTACATAATTATCTTTTTATGTACAATATTCACAAAGGTTACAAAAATACACAAAATTACATATGACAGTCAAGTCTCTTCACACTATGGTGCTCTTGCTATACGACATCGAAATTTTCCCTGTACATTTTCTCATAGTGCTGTGTTGATATCAATCGCGGGCATTCATTAACACATCTCTGTTGATGCAACAGTTCATTGGTAACCTTAGACATATTGTTCGTATTGTTGATCTTATTCGGTCTCCCGATGAACGGATCTACCAGCTTGTTTCCCGTGATATTGATGTTCTTCACGCGAGAATTGTCGAGAAACTGCGGCGCCCTGTGGATGGTACTGTTATGGGCATTGCGAGTCCGTAGTACCGCCCTCTGTCGGACGTTAACGCTCAGTTTGGTGAATTGTTTGTCCTCGCTCCGTAGCATTCTTGCAGCCACCATGATAAGTCCAATGAGAATACAAGCTCCAGCAATCGGTACAGCAATCACGGCAGCTCTAAACCAAACTGCCTGCTCGCTAGCTGCTTCGTACGGTTCAGTCATATACTGGTCATCTGTGGAAATAAACACAAACCAAAATTGGCACAAATTAATTAAAAAAAATAAATAAACAAAAGTGCAGAGGTTTATTGCATCATGGAGAAATTTCTCCATGATTGCATAATAATACAAGTTCTGAAATTAGGTATGCATAATGAAACTAACTCAGTGTGTCTTTGTTTATGATCTGCATTGCAATTTGAAAATCAAACTTTTATAATGACGAACAAGTCATAATGTACTCTGCCACAAAACTCGAAATAAGAGGGCATTGAATTCCCAATGGCTGACTCTTAATAGCAATGAGGCTAAAAGATCAAACTAGATGGATGGTTGAAAAGTGTCTGGTTGGCAGGTGTTGTACGTGAAGCCAAACACAGGTCATATTAGTATCCAAATGTGTATGGCTAAGACACGGTCGAATGGTTACATTTATACACGAGTTTTTGTTGTCAACTTGAATCCGTTTTTACTTCATTGGAAGCTTAAACATGCCATGCTAAATCAACATGAAATATGTACACAACGTAGCTTATTTTGCTACACGCATACAACGAACATATTGTACGTTGGATGTGTGTTTTGCTCAATGTATAAATCTTCATGCAATTGAAGCAAAGAACCCTGAGGAAATGGGCAGGATGAACTGCCAGTTTTAAAGGAAATATTTTTTCCTATCCGTATTTGTTTACTTTTCCGTATTTTTCAACACGAATATGCCCTTTTTGTTTATTGCTGGTTTATCTGAATATTAACTCAGGTTTGTGTTGAGAAATGAAGACTTGATGTGGATATTTGCATTTTTCCTAAACATGAACTCATTTTCCGTCGGAGGCTACCTAAGGCTAAACCCACATGGATTGAAACTTAGTATCGCCACACTCGTTGCAATTTGTAACAACTACACAATCATAACACTCATCCATAAGCATTTTAGCTCTCAACAATTCGCAACAATGTACGAACAGCCAACCGAAATTAATGTGCATTTCGGCAACAACAAAAGGAGAAGTTCAACGGCCGACTGGGACAAAAACTGGAGAGAAACGGTCTATTTTGCACCGGTTTACCGACGCGGAAGACCATACTTGGGATGCACGGATGATTACCCAACAAACGATGTCTCTATCGCGCCTGATTGGCTAGCCGCGCGTCAGGAGGGTGTTTCTGAAGCCAGGACATGGCAGTAACTGTTGTTGTAGGCACGGTCATATTCAATCGCTTGGTCGATAAAGAACGCGTAACTGTACCACAACAGCTCCGTTCTCACGACAGTTTGACTCATCAGTTACTATTACTATTAGTATTACGGACTGCAATCCCCAACCTTTACAAACACCACTGGTTTCTTACTTCTTAGCACTGTTATTTTTTTTTGCAAGAGCTACAGTATACCTTCCCTTGAAGTTTAAGTGGCGAGACGAGGATTGGTCTACAGAAATTACTGGCATGACATTGAAGCAAATTTAAATTGTGATGTTTGTTTTCTCTTTAACTAACCAGTAAATAATGCGCATAATATCAAGCTGTATTGTGAACAGAAAGGGAAGGTCATGTGTTGCATGTTCACAAACGTATAGAATTTACAGAATGTTCATTGATAATTTTACCACATGATCTGAAATTGTATGAATGCATGTCTGGTTGCAGCTTCTAATTGGAAAACAGCACCAGAGCACTGTAGTGGCTCCCATGACCTTGGCCATAGATATGAAAATCTTTCTGCAATAATTACGCACTCTGCTCGAACACAGCAGAGGGAGACGCTTAATTAAGGGAAGAGCCTGACTCTTCTGTTGGTGGATTTCTTATGAGAAAATGTTCTACTGAGGTCAAAGACACTTCAAACATTAAGAAAGAAAAATTTCGCAAAATGTCAACAAAGTATACGTGTATACGAATGTGAGACGAGGCGTATCTTCGACATGGGTGTTATGGTCATCTTAAATTCCTCAGCAGCGACTTGACCCTTGAGAAATCACTCTGAAGAACAGACGACATGACGGAATACTTGACCTTATCAAAGGTCAAACGTTCAGGTCATATAAAAATGATTAATTCTACATGTAGGACTGGCGCTGCAGTTTCTACTTGTCAAAAAAGCTACGATTTAGCTATGGCGTTATCTCACCTTAATTAGAAAAACAAAAACGGCTTCATACTTGCTTAATAAACCACACAAGAATTACTGATCAAATCACGTGACAACGGGCGGCCTACTAGGTGTTTCGATTTCGATTACTTCCCAGCATACTTCCATCTACGCAGAAGTAAGACTACATCAGTACACTACGTCACAACGCAATCAGACATGCCCCCGCCAAATCAATCTGACAAAACCAATTTTTCGAAGAGATAGCACAGATCAATGTTGATACTGCACATGACAACCATTGATGGGTGGCAATATTCATTAATTTCACAAGTCCTTGTCTGCTTGACGTATTACCCATATTTTCTGTGTCCTTGTAAGTCTGCATATTGCTTAGACGACGCCATCTCGGGACAACACGGGAAATTGAAAACGTAAATTTGGACCACACATGTGTGGCGTCACGATGTATTTAATATTCCTTGGGTAAACTCGATCGTCCTATCAACCAAACACCAGACAGCGATTCCTTTAACATGATAAACATGACTGTCTCCTCGAAAACTTGCATTGTCTGCTGTTAAATAACACCATGCATGTACCGCATTGCTACGATAATTTCCCATTTGCAATCCATTTTTGTCACGATTTAAATTTGTTTCAGCTATAAAAAGGCATTAATGAATAGCAACGGCCATCTTAGTAGTTTTACTGCAAAATATTGATCAAATCAGTGGCAATAAACGTCTTACGTTGATGGAATAACGTGTTGCTTATTCCAAGATGGCTCTTACCAATGTTGAGACATGCTTTTCCAGAGCTGCATGCTAATCGTATACTCATCAAGTGTTAAGGCTAAACCTACAAACCCAGTTCTCTCAAAACTAGCAGAGAATCTAGGCTAAGGGAATAACAAATCGCCACAATTTCAATGTCTCTTTAGTTCTTTACTAGTGGCCCGGGACTGGGTTTCAGTTTGCTTCAACTTTGGCCCAGCTCTCTGCGCCGCATAAGGGCAAGTTATTATCATCAAAACCAAACCAGGGTCAGGCGAATTCGAAAGCACAATCGAATTTACCGCTGTCAAGATTCCAGCAAGGTTACCATAAATCTCCATTTAGGACCAGTTGTTAGCCTTCGATGAGGTATCTCAAACATTCAGCGTGGTTTTCTTGTCATTCTCAGTAAAAACCATGCACAACCGGAACCAACCTCCAACATTTTAGTGTGTCCAGAAAACTTTCAACAACTTCGAAGTCATCTTAAAGCATCAATCTCCCAACCGAACAAAAAAAAATCGCTTTGTATATTTGGACTTATTAAGATTAAATGGTCATAATTATGAGTGTGTTGGAAACCATTTATCTTTCGATGGTTTTATTTTTTCCTCTCAATCTTTCGGGAGACCAATTCGGAGAAAACCACACCAAGGAGTGTAGTGTTAAAATGATGGATTGTCTTCCGTATATAACCATCGACCGCAGTTGAAAAGTTCTAAGACCATAACCACACTGACCTCCACTAACTGAATATCTTCCACAACTTGACCATTAAATATGGCTTTTAACAGTAGTCAGTACAGTCGTAGTTGCGAATCCCCCATCCCCTAACCACAAAGAATAAGCTGATGCTTTTCTTTATCTTTCGGAATATTATCTGTATTTTTCACGGTATCCAAGCAATTGTCTGGAAGGTAGATCCCAGCAGACTGACTCATCCACCAGTTTACACTCTCCAAATCTCTGGGTGTATATTGCCCCAGGGTGGTATATGGACGGTAGAAGTTGATACTACGGTCCCGAGACTACACATCCCTCCTGCTACCAGATCCTGGCATCGCTTTACAGGCCCGGAGGCAGAAATTGTCTCAAGTACACAGCCTGTATCATTGACATTGACAGAAAGTGTCGGCTGGTCTGTTGGCCAGAGTGCTTGATCAATGTGACATCTCGGCTCATCTCGGGGGAATAGTGCAGTGAACTGTACATTCATCTCCCCAGTTTACCCAGCGATAAATACACAAAATTAGCCGAGATTTGAGGAGTAGAGGTTAGACTGGCTTCAGTCGACCCAGGTCAGGTTTTTTTTTAAGAAATCGCCAATGGTATTCTGCATCCGGCTTCAGAGGCATAAAAAGAAATGGAAAATTAATTAATGTTTCGAAGATTCTAAACTGAAGGCGACTTACAATAATTATGCTGACCTCAAGACAAAGATCGTCACCTTTTTATTGTTTATTTTCCCCTTACTTAAACCTTTTTTTCACTAGGACTTATAAAGAACGAAATACAAAATGGCGCCGAAAATAATGACAAATACGATTGAATACTTTCAATATTTTAAGAGCGAAAGTAAAAGAATCTTCATTACGATGAAATCTTTTTTTATGAGAGCCTTTCCAAAGAAAAACGTTTATTTTGTTTTATAACGTTGAGCTGGTTTCTTGACCCAACAATTCCACTTTTGTTGATAATACCGTGAATCCTTGAAGTCATCCCTCCCTTCCTTAAGGATTTTTTTGAAGTATCCATTCCGCATATAACCCCACCTCCGACATTTTGAACACAAATATTAGTTTTGAGGCAGTAATTTATGGGCTGTCCTATCGAGAGAGCTTGTAAAGAAACAACAGCAGTTTACGTACTTTCTACTTTCTCCGTAATACAAACAACTCGGCCGAGTCTGTCACTTTTTATGGACATCAGGGGTTTGTGTATATACAGTTCGGTATCGCGAGCTAGTATTACCGGCATGGAATCGTTTGCTCTGTTCAGTGGGTGGAAAAGACCGCACTGAGCCTCAAAACAACCAGAATTTGGTTTAACATATTACGACTTACCCAAGCATTACCGATGAATAAATGACTTATTTTTCTCTTGCTTCGATGAATTCAAGGGTCATCATTTTGGGAAGAGTGGGGGG